CGTTCCACAGGGCGGGCGCCACTACGGAGAAGGCCCTCTGCCTGGTTCCCTGTAACTTCGCTTCTCGCAGGGAGGGAACTGCCAGAAGGCCCTCAGAGCTGGACCTCAGCGTCCGGGCAGAACGATGGGGGTGGAGACGCTCCTTCAGGTATACTGGACCAAGGCCATTTAGGGCTTTCAAGGTCAGCACCAACACTTTGAATTGTGCTCGGAAACGTATTGGGAGCCAATGTAGGTCTTTCAGGACCGGTGTTATGTGGTCTCGGCGGCCGCCCCCAGTCACCAGTCTAGCTGCCGCATTCTGGATTAGTTGTAGTTTCCGGGTCACCTTCAAAGGTAGCCCCACATAGAGCGCATTGCAGTAGCCCTAGTATTTGAAGATGATTCCTGACTTGAAGTATGTTTTGTTTCCTTGCAAAAATAATGGCTCTAGCAAGCAGTTCTTTGGGCAAAGGGGAATCATGCTGTGATTTGAGTTCTAGCCTCCCCCAAATATTTCTTTTTATTATTATTATTTAAAAACGTGATTCTGATTTGTGTTGCTACAGAAGGAAGTGCCTTTTATTGGGCCTCCCTTGGTTGCCCTCTAGCGGCCATTAAAAGAAAACACACCCACACAAAGCAGCCTTGTATTACGTAGAGCCCTGAGACTGTACTGATGGAAGGGACCCCAGGGGGTCATCTAGTCCAGCCCCTGCAATGCAGGAATCTCAACTGAAGCATCTATGACAGACGGCCACCCAACCTATTCTTAAAAACCTCCAAGGAAGGAGAGTCCACCACCTCCCGAGAGAGACGGCTCCACTGTTGAACGGCTCTTATCATCAAAATGTTGTTCCTGATGTTTAGCTGGAATTTCCTTTCTTGTAACTTGATGTCATGGGTTTGAGTCCTACCCTCCGGTGCAGGAGAAAACAAGCTTGCTTCCTCTTCCATGTGGCAGTCCTTGAGATATTTGAAAACGGCTCTCATATCGCATCTCAGCTTTCTCTTTTCCAGGCTAAACATACACAGCTCCTTCAACCGTTCCTCATCAGGCTTGGTTTCCAGAACCTTGATAATCTTGGATGCTTAATTAGTTCTTCCCAGTCCTATTTTTTTCTTTAAAAAAGTTTAGGGGTACTGCCATTTTGACTCAAGAAAATCACCACTGTATAGTTCAAATCGGGGAAAATAAATACAGTAAATGGACAAAAGCACAAAGATCCACAAAATGTTTAGGGGCATGTGTTCCCCTGTACCCCCCCCCCCGAAAAAAGCACTGGTTTTTCCTAATATTTTGTTGGAAGCTCTTTTCTTAAATATGGTTTCTTTCATTACTAGTGCAGGGCGTTCAGAAGATGGTCATTGCAAGAGGAGGATAGTGCATTGGGGCAAATGGGGCATGGCCCCCCCCAACCTCATCCGGCCCCCAGCTGCCTGCCTTACTTATTTCCAGCCCAGTCAGTGGCCCTGCCTCCTGGCCTTCTCCTCCTCAGTCTCAGGGCTGCTCTTGCAAAACTCAGCCGGGAAGAGGAGCATGGGGACACAACGAGTTGGCTCAAGCTCTCATTGGCTCTGGCGCCACCTACTGGTCACCTCCCTGCCTTCCGTCCAACCAGTCCCAATGGTGACCAGGCGCCGCTGTAGAATCATAGAATCATAGAGTTGGAAGAGACCACAAGGGCCATCAAGTCCAACCCCCTGCCAAGCAGGAAACACCATCAGAGCACTCTTGACATATGGTTGTCAAGCCTCTGCTTAAAGACCTCCAAAGAAGGAGACTCCACCACACTCCTTGGCAGCAAATTCCACTGTCAAACAGCTCTTACTGTCAGGAAGTTCTTCCTAAGGTTTAGGTGGAATCTTCTTTCTTGTAGTTTGGATCCATTGCTCCGTGTCCGCTTCTCTGGAGCAGCAGAAAACAACCTTTCTCCCTCCTCTATGTGACATCCTTTTATATATTTGAACATGGCTATCATATCACCCCTTAACCTCCTCTTCTCCAGGCTAAACATGCCCAGCTCCCTTAGCCGTTCCTCATAAGGCATCGTTTCCGGGCCTTTGACCATTTTGGTTGCCCTCCTCTGGACACGTTCCAGTTTGTCAGTGTCCTTCTTGAACTGTGGTGCCCAGAACTGGACACAGTACTCCAGGTGAGGTCTGACCAGAGCAGAATACAGTGGCACTATTACTTCCCTTGATCTAGATGCTATACTCCTATTGATGCAGCCCAGAATTGCATTGGCTTTTTTAGCTGCCGCGTCACACTGTTGGCTCATGTCAAGTTTGTGGTCAACCAAGACTCCTAGATCCTTTTCACATGTACTGCTCTCAAGCCAGGTGTCACCCATCTTGTATTTGTGCCTCTCATTTTTTTTGCTGTAAACAGATGCTGCCGAAATGTCGGCTCGCAGCTCGATTCTGACAGCTTCTCTGCAAAAGCAACAATCCCAGAAGAACAAGCACTGAAACTGGAGCTGAGGCAGAGAAGCCAGGACTGAGCTGGGGCTGCATAGAGCATTTGTCTCATGTCTACAAAGAAATCACGCCCTGCAACTCACAAGTCCTGGCTTTACCTCCACAAGGGTGACCTGGCTGTGGTGACCTGGTTGGGGACTCCTGGGGAGAGGACTCTGCATGCGCTTGTTTAGTCATTTAGTCATGTCCGACTCTTCGTGACCCCCTGGACCAGAGCACGCCAGGCCCTCCTGTCTTCCACTGCCTCCCGCAGTTTGGTCAAACTCATGCTGGTAGCTTCGAGAACACTGTCCCACCATCTCATCCTCTGTCGTCCCCTTCTCCTTGTGCCCTCCATCTTTCCCAACATCTGGGTCTTTTCCAGGGAGTCTTCTCTTCTCAGCTTCAGGATCTGTCCTTCCAGTGAGCACTCGGGGCTGATTTCCTTCAGAATGGAGACGTTGGATCTTCTTGCAGTCCATGGGACTCTCAAGAGTCTCCTCCAGCCCCAGAATTCAAAAGCATCCATTCTTTGGCGATCAGCCTTCTTGATGGTCCAGCTCTCACTTCCATACATCACTACTGGGAAAACCAGAGCTTTAACTATACAGACCTTTGTTGGCAAGGTGATGACTCTGCATGTGCTTAGAGGCATCTTTAAGATGGTCAAGCCAGAGGGCATGACACCTACAGGACCACCTCTCCTGGTATGCCTCACGGAGGACCTTAAGGTCCACAAATGACAACACTTTGGAGGTCCCAAGTGGCAAGGTGGTTAGACTGGTCTCAACTAGGGCCAGGGCCTTTTCAGTACTGGCCCCGACTTGGTGGAATGCTCTGTCACAAGATACCAGGACCCTGCGGGACTTGACATCTTTCCGCTGGGCCTGCAAGACAGAGCTGTTCCGCTGGGCCTCTGGTATACGGACTTTAACTATACGGACCTTTGTTGGCAAGGTGATGTCTCTGCTTTTTAAGATGCTGTCTAGGTTTGTCATTGCTTTTCTCCCAAGAAGCAGACGTCTTTTAATTTCATGACTGCTGTCACCATCTGTTCCGTCTGGCCTTTGGTTTGGACTCAGTCTGACCCTTACGTTTCCCTCCCCTTATGGTTTTCATCTATGGGCTACTATTAAAATGAAGCTGCATTTTAAATTGTATTTTAACCCATAATTTAAATTGGTTTTTTCCCTCTTCTCCCCCCCCTTATGTTTTTATTGTAATTTTACTGCTGTTAGCCACCCTGAGCCCGGCTCTGGCCAGGGAGGCCGGGGTATAAATAAAAATCCATTATTATTATTATTATTATTATTATTATTATTATTAATCTTCTAGCGGTTTCTAATTCGAAAGAGAAGCTTCAGCAACAAATCCCTGCAAAGGCATGCCGGTCCTTAATCTCATCCAACTTGAACCTGCCAAATTCATCTCCACTGAATGTCCACAAGTTCTGGTTTGTTCTGGCACAAACAAGCAGGCATGATTCAGGTCTGAAACATTTGGGGCCACATTCCACAGGCCTGAGACCCAGAGGTTTGCTGACCTTTTGCAGAGAAAATCCTGGAGAGGGGCGCGATCTGGGGAGGGGAACAGCCAGCGGTGGAATGGCAGCTGCATCTCTGAAAAGGCCTTTTTTTAAACAAAAGATGGAGAAGGGATGCTCTTAATGGATGCAATGTCTAAATCTTCCCCCGGGGCAGGAGCAGGAGCTATTTCAAGCTCCCACATATGTCAGGACTGTGAAAATACTGTTTGTGGGGAGAGTAAGGGATGAGGAATGGCGGGGAGGGCGGCGGCGGGGGGGTAAATATAGCCTTGCCACATTCCTGTCCAAAAATACATCTCTGGGGGAACTTTCAGAATCCATTGTCGATTCACTGGGAGGCTGGCTCAGTCGGGAGGAAATCGTCCATCATGCTCTGAGCACGGAAAAAGAGATGGACTGAGCGCTAAGAAACAGGCTCCCCCCCCCCAAAAAAAATGGGGGTTGGAGGAGAGGAGCCATGGATGCGAAGGTCACCCCAGAGGCATCCCAGCTGGCGGGAAAGTGCGGCAAGGGACGCTTCCCTCCTCGCCCCCACTGTCCCATTTTTAAAACAATTTAGATCTTAATGATTTTCTCCCCCCCCCCACAACCTCCTTTTCAGTTTTAAGCTGCCTCTTTCTGGTTCTCCCAGATAGCCTTAATTTTACGCTTTGGTGATGCTCATTTTCTAAGACTTTTAAAATTAATTATTTTTTGTCCAGTCCAGAGTTATTAGGAAGAAGAAACTCCCAAAATCATAGCCGGGGGGGGGGGGTCTGTTCCTACAAACCATTTAACGAAACCCTCTGGGTTTATGGATCCCAACAATTTCTTTATTCTTTAATAATTAAAAAAAACACACATCCCTCTGGAAAAATAGAATCAAGTCCTGAGTAACTTCGTTGAGGGTTGATTTGGAATGGGGCAGCGTCAGCTTAAATCAGTATTCGATTTATACCCCCCCTACACACCTCTCCTGTTTATCCTGTGAGGCTGGGCAAGACTAAGAGACAGCCAAGGCACCCAGTGGGCTCCAGGACGGAGCGGGGATTCGAACCCAGGTCTCCCAGGTCCTAGTCCGGCGCCCTAAACACTGCACCACACTGGCTCACAGTTGAAGTTGATCTCTGTAAAGGAGAAAATCAGTCCTTCTCTGACACCCATAAGGCAAACAGCAGTTTTGGGGGTGCAATTCAGTTCAGGAAACATGCATGGTGTGAGCGCCTGTCCTGCAAGTGCAGGAAAGTGGAGGAGAAGAAGAAGAAGAGGAAGAGGAGAAGAAGAAGAAGAAGAGGAGAAGAAGAAGAAGAGGAGGAGGAGGAGGGGGAGGGGGAGGATTTATTATTTGTATCCCGCTCATCTGACTGGGTAAAATGTAAAAAGGACAGACTGCAGATTTCTGTTTTGGTTCTGATTTGGGGGCCAGTTGGAAAGTTGCTTCCAAAACTGTTACAGTGGTACCTTGGTTCTCAAATGCCTTGGCACTCAAACAACTTGGAACCCAAACACTGCAAACCCGGAAGTCAGTGTTCCGGTTTGCGAACTTTTTTCGGAAGCCGAATGTGTTCCGTTTTGAGTGTTATACTGACAATTTGAATGTTACGCTGAGGCCTATCCGCTTTTGCTATTTATTTTGCATTTTTGTTTTTGCGGCACTTTTTTGTTTTGTTTTGGTGACTGTGTGGAACCCAGTTCAGCTACCGAGTGATTGATTGTGTGACTGCAGTACATTGTTTATTGCTTTCATTTTATGGATCAACGGTCTCGTTAGATAGTAAAACTCATGTTCAATTGCTGTTTTAGGGGTTGTTTTTAAAAAGTTTGAAATGGATTAATCCAGGCGTAGGCAAATTCGGCCCTCCAGATGTTTTGGGACTACAACTCCCATCACCCCTAGCTAACAGGACCAGTGGTCAGGGTTGATGGGAGTTGTAGTCCCAAAACATCGGGGGGGGGGGGAGTTTGCCTATGCCTGGACTAAACCATTTTGCATTACTTTTTATGGGAAAGCGCACCTTGGTTTTGGAACGCTTTGGTTTTGGAACAGACTTCTGGAACGGATTATGTTTGAGAACCAAGGTACCACTGTATTTGCAAAAAAAGGAGCTGTTTTTCTTAAGACCTAGTACAGTCATACCTCGGGTTACAGGCGCTTTGGGGTTGCGCGATTTCGAGTTGTGCACCGCGGTGAACCCGGAAGTACCGGAACTGGTTACTTCCAGATTTCGGCACTTCCGCATGCGCAGAAGCACCAAATTGTGACCCGCGCATGTGCGGCACTGCGGGTTGCGGACGTGCTTCCTGCACGGATCACGTTTGCAACCTGAGCATCCACTGTAATCATAAGAACCTAAGAAAAGCCTGCTGGATGAGTCCAATGGCTCATCTGGTCCAGCCTCCTGTTCTAGCAGTGGCTAAGCAGGTGCCCATTGTGGGAACCCCCCAAGCAGGATTCAAGCATGAGAGCCCCCCCTCTCGCCTGCTGAAGCTTCCAGAAACTGGGATTCAGCAGTTTTGCTCCCTCCAACTTGGGGACGCGGAGAACAGCCATTCTGTCCCCTGGTTGCCCTCTCATCTCCCAGAAACCCACCCGTCTCTTGTCTCAGGCTTTGCATTCCACTCCTCACCCACTTCCCAGACAGTGGGGTGCAGGGGAGCTTTCTGGGGGGGGGACAGTGGGTGTTGCGGCCGCTGCAGTGGGTGCCCCAGGGAGAAACAAGGGTGAGAACCGAGGACACAATAGCAGCTCTTCAGCTTCTATTTTTTAATCATTCGTAGAAATGAACTCCCAATTTCCAACAATGGCTTTTTCAGCATCCTGCCTTCAGAAACCCAACCAAGTCTTCTTCTTCTTTTCTTTTTTTTTTAGGGGTTTTAAAAAAATTATTATCTATCAAAGTGTTTAAAGAGCAACAGCGCCAAAGCAAAGAATCTGAAAATTCTCCCCAAACCAAACAGCACGACTCTCCCCAAACCCATACAACATGCCTTTGTAAAAAATAATTTAAGATCCTGAAAAGGTAGGTTTAAAAAAAAACTCCAAACATTTGTCACCAAAATAATCCTCCTTTTTTTTTTTTTTTTTTTGCATTTCTGACCAAGTTCTTTCCTAATTTGAGATGAATCACTCCAGATCTAAATCATAAGCCGTCTGAACCCACAAGAAATGCAGAACGGATGGGTGGGTGGGTTTGCCGTGGTTGGGCTCCATAGGGAAAACCACACATCAGTGGCTCTCCACTACCCTTGGGATGCCAGCATTGCAACGAGAGTTAAAGAATGGGAGAGGTGGAAGGGGTCCTGTGAGTCATCTAGTCCACCCCCACCTGCAATGCAGGAATTTTAGCTAAAGCATCAAACCACCTCTTCAGAACTTCCAAAGAGGGAGAGCTCACCACCTTCTCGAGGACACCATTCCAAATGATCTTACCATCAGAAAGTTCTTCCTAAAATTTAGTTGGAATTGCCTTCCTCCTCATTTGAATCTGTGGGTTCTGAAGCAGCAGAAAACAAGCTTGCTCCATCTTCCATGTGACGCCCCTTCAGATATCTGAAGTTGGCTCTCGTACCATAGAATTGTAGTCTCGGAAGGGACCTGGAGGGACATCTAGTCCAACCCCCTGCAATGCAGGAATCCCAACTAAAGCACCCAGGGCAGATGGCCATCTTTCCCTTCTCAGTCTCCTCTTGCTCATGCTAAACACACACAACTCCCTCAACCATCCCTTCCAGACCTTTGATCATCTTGGTTGCCCTCCTGCGCACACCTTCCATCCTGTCAATGTCCTTCTTAAACTGGGGTGCCCAGAACAGGATGCATTACTCCATTGCTTTGGGTCGTCCCCTCTGGAGCAGCAGCCTCTGCCCCTTTACAATGCTCCTGGCCATCTTGAGGACCTAGACATCTTTGAAGCACCTGCTAAAGGGAATACTCAAGACCTTCAGCCACCTTTAGCCAGATACCTTCTCCAGTGTCAGGGATTGTACCTAATTTCGAGACATTTGAGCTGCCTGATCTGTGTGTGCATTTTGGGGGATCCCTAGGCTCGTCGAAGGGACGTGGGTGGCACTGTGGGTTAAATCACAGAGCCTAGGTCTTGCTGATCAGAAGGTCGGCGGTTCGAATCCCCGCAACGGGGTGAGCTCCCGTTTCTTGGTCCCTGCTCCTGCCAACCTAGCAGTTCGAAAGCACGTCAAAGTGCAAGTAGATAAATAGGTACCGCTCCGGCAGGAAGTAAACGGCGTTTCCGTGCGCTGCTCTGGTTCACCAGAAGCGGCTTAGTCCTGCTGGCCACATGACCCGGAAGCTGTACGCCGGCTCCCTTGGCCAATAAAGCGAGATGAGCGCCGCAACCCCAGAGTCGGTCACGACTGGACCTAATGGTCAGGGGTCCCTTTACCTTTACCTAGGTTTGTGGAACAGGAACCCCGGCCTCCTAACACAGCCCCAAACTCATCCCACAAAGCATTGTGCCCTTGTGCCGGCTCCCTCACCCCAATGGCATGGACCCTCAACCCACGGGAGACCTCCTCTCCCCTCACCCCAATGCCCAGGGGGCGAGAGGGACACCTAGAGCATGTAAAAGTCATTGTTGTTTGACAAGTCCGCGTAGTGGCGAAGGCTCAGCGCCGATGGCGGGTGCTGCTGCGACGGCTTCTCGCTCTTCTGCAACCTCCGCCCCTTGGCCTCTCCCACGGGCGTCCGGTGGCACTGTGGCCCCGGTTTGGGCTTGGCCCCGCCTCGCCCGTGGCCCCCGAGTTTGTGGTTCTCATTGCAATAGGCCACGCAGCAGCGGCAGGCCAGGAAGGGCTTGGCGTGGTCTTTGGCCTTTGACCTGGGCAGCGGCGCCAGGCCCCTTTGGACGGGGAGGCCTTTCGGCCGGGAGCCGGGCGCTTCAGCCGGTCCTTTCAAGCGGCCCTTCTTCTTCTGGACGTGGTCCAGGCTGATGTCCGAGTGGGAAGAGCAGCTCTCGTTCCAGGAGCAGCTGCCGGCTGCGTTCAGGCTCCTCAGGGGCAGCGCCAAGCGCAGGGCTTTCCAAAATTTGGAGCCGGGGCGCTTGGACCTCTCTCCCTTCCAGGCCACAAAGGCCACCGACTCCCTCAGCTGCTGGATGTTGGGGTGGGCGCGGAGCAGGGGGCGGTACTCCACCACCACCAGCTTGGTGGCGATGTTGTTCTGGCACAAGAGACCCAGCTTGAACTCCAGCATGCTGATGCTTTTCTCCAGGATGTAATCGGGACTCAGGACCACAATCATCTTGCGGCTCCTCTGGATGAAATCAAAAATGGCTTCCGTGGTATCTGAGGGGAGAGGAAAGGAGGGCAGTCAGGTCTCTGCCTGGATAGCTCAGCTGGTTAGAGCGTGGCGCTGAGAATGCCAAGGTTTCAGGTTCTTCCTCTCTCCCCCCAATTTTTAGAAATAGCATTCATTTTAAGCAGAATCACATTTATACATTACAGCGGTACCTTGGTTCTCAGACTGAATCCGTTCCAAAACCAAAGTGTTCCAAAACCAAGGCACGCTTTCCCATAGAAAGTACAGTGGTACCTTGGGTTACATACGCTTCAAGTTACATACGCTTCAGGTTACAGACTCCGCTAACCCAGAAATAGTACCTCGGGTTAAGAACTTTGCTTCAGGATGAGAACAGAAATTGTGCAGCGGCAGCGTGGCAGCAGCGGGAGGCCTCATTAGTTAAAGTGGTGCTTCAGGTTAAGAACGGACCTCCAGAACGAATTAAGTATGTAACGAGAGGTATCACTGTAATGCAAAACGGATTAATCGGATCCAGACTTTTAAAAACAACCCCTAAAGCAGCAATTTAACATGATTTTTACTATCTGATGAGACCATTGATCCATAAAATGAAATAATAATAATAATAATAATAATAATAATAATAATAATAAATAATTTATTATTTGTACCCTGCCCATCTGGCTGGGTTTCCCAAGCCACTCTGGGCGGCTTCCATAGAAACCAAAAATACAGTAAAATATCACAGATTAAAAACGTCCCTGAACAGGGCTGCCTTAAGATGTCTTCTAAATGTCAGGTAGTTATTTATCGCTTTGACATCTGATGGGAGGGCGTTCCACAGGGCGGGCGCCACTACCGAGAAGGCCCTCTGCCTGGTTCCCTGTAGCTTTGCTTCTTGCAATGAGGGAACCGCCAGAAGGCCCTCGGCGCTGGACCTCAGCGTCCGGGCAGAACGATGGGGGTGGAGACGCTCCTTCAGGTCTACTGGGCCGAGGCCGTTTAGGGCTTTAAAGGTCAACACCAGCACTTTGAATTGTGCTCGGAAACGTACTGGGAGCCAATGTAGGTCTTTCAGGACCGGTGTTATGTGGTCTCAGCGGCCGCCCCCAGTCACCAGTCTAGCTGCCGCATTCTGGATTAGTTGTAGTTTCCGAGTCACCTTCAAAGGTAGCCCCACATAGAGCGCATTGCAGTAGTCCAAGCGGGAGATAACTAGAGCATGCACCACTCTGGTGAGACAGTCCGCGGGCAGATAGGGTCTCATCCTGCGTACCAGGTGGAGTTGGTAGACAGCTGCCCTGGATACAGGATTGACCTGCGCCTCCATGGACAGCTGTGAGTCCAAAATGACTCCCAGGCTGCACACCTGGTCCTTCTGGGGCACAGTTACCCCATTCAGGACCAGGGAGTCCTCCATACCAGCCCGCTCCCTGTCCCCCAAAAACAATACTTCTGTCTTGTCAGGATTCAACTTCAATCCATTAGCCGCCATCCATCCTCCAACCGCCTCCAGGCACTCACACAGGACCTTCACCGCCTTCACTGGTTCTGATTTGCAAATAAAAGCAATAAACAATGTACTGCAGTCGCACAATCAATCAATCAATCAGTAGCTGAACCGGGTTCCACACAGTCACAAAAACAAAAAGAGCCACAAAAACCAAAATGCAAAATAAATAGCAGAAACAGACAGATCTAAGCGTTACACTCAGATCAGAAGTGCAACACTAAAAATGAGCACATTCAGCTTCCGGAAAAGGTTTGCAAACCGGAACACTTACTTCCGGGTTTGCAGTGTTTGGGTTCCAAGTTGTTTGAGTACCAAGGCGTTTGAGAAGCAAGGTGCCACTGTAGTGGGATTCTCAGAGTCCCCCGACTTCCCCCTGCCCCCCTCTTGGCTTCCAACATTTATCTTTTTGTTTTCAACCTTACCACATCTAATTATACTTATCCACACTTATTTAAACCCACATTTAACCTTATCAAATTATATTACAAGTGTTAAATCAACCCTGCGGACGTCTTCAGATATTTACAGTGATCTTTAAGCTACTCAATAAATTTCCCCCCAATCCTTATTGAATTTCTTGTCATCTTGGTGTCTGATCCTCCCCATCACTTCTGCTGTTTCGGCACAGTCCATCATCTTGACTATCCGTTCTTCTTTGGAGTTTTCTCTTCTTTCACCCCTGGGCAAAAAGCATTATTGCAGCTTTCGCCAAGGTTGCAGGTTCGATTCCCGTATGAGACAGCTGTGGATTCCTGCATTGCAGGGGGTGGACTGGATGATCCTTGGGGTCCCATCCATTTCTATAATTATATATATATATATATATATATATATATATATATATATATATATATATAGGCATTTTCTCCAGCATTTGGAGCAGTGGGTTCTAGTCACAGAATCATTGCATACTCTCCAAGTTCCCTGATTTTCCAAGGACAGTCCTGGAATTACAGAAGCTACCCCAGTTTCTGATTTGATCCCAGAATGTTCTGATTTTTCCTTCTTTTTTTCCCCCCCTCCACCTCTCAGAAAACAATTAAAAGCGATGTGTGTCTGTCTCTGTAGGTGGAAAAAACGGAGTCCTGTTTATACTGACAATAAAATTCTTGCACCAAATGAAGGAAATTGTGATGCTGGCATACGAAGCCCTTTCTATAATTTTGGTGGGGAATGTCACCAATCCACTTTAAATTCTTACATTGTATTTCAATATTTAGTTGGAAGCAGCCCAGAGTGTGTGGGGAAACCCAGCCAGATGGGTGGGGTATAAAAAATAAGGTAAAGGTAAAGGGACCCCTGACCATTAGGTCCAGTCGTGACCGACTCTGGGGTTGCGGCACTCATCTCGCTTTATTGGCTGAGGTACAGCTTCCGGGTCATGGGGGCAGCATAACTAAGCCGCTTCTGGCAAACCAGAGCAGCGCACGGAAATGCCGTTTACCTTCCCGCCAGAGTGGTACCTATTTATCTACTTGCACTTTGACGTGCTTTCGAACTGCTAGGTTAGCAGGAACAGGGACTGAGCAACGGGAGCTCACCCCGTTGTGGGGATTCGAACCGCTGACCTTCTGATCAGCAAGCCCAAGAGGCTCAGTGGTTTAGACCACAGTGCCACCCGCGTCCATTATTATTATTATTACATTGCAATGCTTCCAAAACCAGCTATTTCTTAGGGAACATGGGAAGTCTTGCTTGACACTGTCTACTCAGAAGTAAGTCCCACTGTATTCAATGCAGCTTGCTCCCAGGGTCAAGACTGGGCAGCCTGACACTGCAAAGTTCAGCATATTTACTCAGAAGTAAGGGTTCACCCTTTAGTAATGTTCCTGATCATTCTCACAGTTTCTTCTTCTTCTTCTTCTTCTTCTATTATTATTATTATTATTATTATTATTATTATTATTATTATTCCAACCCTTTTCCCTGACAAGGACTCATGGCAGGTTACAGATGAAATTGTTGCAAACTATCCCTTCCCTCACACATTTTTACTTTACAACAACCCTGTGAGGTGGGTCGGGTGGAGATGTTTTAATTGGATGAAGGTGACAGGTGAAGATGTTTATAGCCACATCTATGTGTGCGGGAGATCAGACACAGAAGAAGCTTCCTGGTGCCCCTATTTTTATCCGAGAAATGTTTGTCCCAGAGCTGAATCTCTGGAAGGGACCCCAAGGGCAATCTCTAAAGTGAAAAGTCCCAAACCTTTTCTGCAAGGTGAGTCCCTCCATCTGGCTGATAATTTTGGTTGCCCTTTGCTGAACCTTTGCTAACTCCACAGTATCCTTTCTGAGGTGACCGGCTCTCTGGGATCCTGACAACAGGTGAAGGCTCAGGACCTCATCTTGTGGGATGTAATCCACTGATGCTGTCAAATGCAACATTCCTTATTTCCCTAGCGTGGGCACGGGCAGGGGACATCCAGTCAGGGAAACTAAAATTGTCTATCAGAAACTTCACTCTTGTGGTTTATCACCACAGCAGCTACTCACGTTGGCTTTTAGTAAGGCAGACAGTCTAATTTGTCAGCGCCGAAATGATATTGAGCGTCAGAACAACTTGGCCACAAGAAGGAAATTCTGCCCATGGTATGACTATTTTCCACCTTCCCATTTTGACTCTCTGGCACCCTTTCTGCATAACCTAGCAATTCTAAAATATAGACATGCTTTTACTCTCGCGAGATTGAATGCGTTGCCCTCGGCTGGACTTGAGGGACGATTCCAACAGATTCCACATGGAAAACGCTTATGGCCCTGTGGAGATGGCAGTCCTGAATCGGTGGCGCATGCCCTTCTGGCTTGCACTCTTCATAAAGACTTATCACCCCTCTTTTATTGTCCATTCCGGGTCGCCCAGCCACTGCCCCAGTGTCCTTTCTCTTGGCAGATCAAAATGAGGAGGTGACAGCAAAGGTTGCAAGGTTTCTAGCTGGGGCAACGAGAATAAGGTCCACTATTTGACTATTGATTCAAAACCCTAAAATGTATTTTATATAGTTGACTTTTTTATTTCTGTTCTTTGGGTATTGTACTGTTGTTTTATTGCTGTGGCCAATGGCTGACACAAATAAAAATTCATTCATTCATTGTAACTTCCTATTCCACTGGTCTGGAATATCTCCCTCTGCATGTGAGATGAGCATGGCTCTGGCTGACTCCATCAAAGAGCCGAGTCAAGCAGTCGTTCTCTCGGTCACTTTTGTCTTTCTATTGTCTTGCTCTCCTGCAGCCATTTTGTTGTCTTAATGTAATTTTGCTGTCTGCTGGCTCTCAGCCACCAGCACATGAGTTCAGACTCCATATGAGATCAACTCACAGTTTCTTTGTGTAACTATTAAGTAAAGCCTGCCTTTCAGGGATCAAATGGTGAGCTGAAATGTGAGCAAACGTTTTGTTACTTTACTCAGAAAGACTCTCGTGTCTTTATTCTTTTAAGAGGGATCAAAGGGGACACTGGGAAATAATCTTAACTAAGAGATTTAAACGAGTCTGCAAACTAGATTCCAGCTATATTGAGGGGAATCTCCTCTGCTACATCACTCACTAGCGTGAGTGAAGGAAGGATAATACTTATTCAATATACCCTTTCCTACTATCCTTAACGAGGATGCGGGTGGCGCTGTGGGTTAAACCACAGAGCCTAGGGCTTGCCAATCAGAAGGTCAGCGGTTCGAATCCCTGTGACGGGGTGAGCTCCCATTTCTCAGTCCCTGCTCTTGCCAAGCTAGCAGTTCGAAAGCACGTCAAAGGGCAAGTAGATAAATAGGTACCGCCTTGGCGGGAAGGCAAACGGCGTTTCCGTGTGCTGCTCTGGTTCACCAGAAGCGGCTTAGTCCTGCTGGCCACATGACCCAGAAGCTGTACGCCGGCTCCCTCGGCCAGTAAAGCGAGATGAGCGCCGCAACCCCAGAGTCGGACACGACTGGACCTAATGGTCAGGGGTCCCTTTAGCTTTACTATCCTTAACGGGGACGTGGGTGGCACTGTGGGTTAAACCACAGAGCCCAGGGCTTGCCGATAAGAAAGTCGGCAGTTCGAACCCCCGCGACGGGGTGAGCTCCCGTTGCTCAGTCCCAGCTCCTGCCCACCTAGCAGTTTGAAAGCACATCAAAGTGCAAGTAGATATATAGTTACCACTCTGGCGGGAAGGTAAATGGCATTTCCGTGTGCTGCTCTGGTTCACCAGAAGCGGCTTAGTCATGCTGGCCACATGACCCAGAAGCTGTACGCCGGCTCCCTCAGCCAATAAAGCGAGATGAGCGCCACAACCCCAGAGTCGTCCGCGACTGGACCTAATGTTCAGGGGTCCCTTTACCTTTACTATCCTTAACATTCCCACACCTCTTGTTCCATGCGCAGAAGATGGCAAGACTTGACCACTGGGGACGGGACAAGGTCCTCCACTGTCCTCTGAGAGCAGAAGGCTATCTTGGGAGGGGGGCAAGGACCAGCCAAGCAGCACCCAGTGCTCTGTCCTCCAACACCTTCTCTCTGTCTCCTTTGGCAGCTGCCTCATTGTATACAACACCAGGGCTGGTCCAGAGGGGCTTGCAGGAGAGCACTAGCAATGCGCAAAGAGAAGACACACTGAAATCCATGGATCTAAGCTAGTCGTGCCTATTAACTATGGTGGGTTTGCTCCTCATGGGACTAGCATTGGCTACAACCCACATCAACAGTGCCTCTAAAAACTTTTACACATCACTTGGGAAGACAGGCAAACTAATACCAGTGTCCTGGAAGAAGCAAATATCACCAGTGTCGAAGGAATGATTCTTCAACATCAACTTTGTTGGACTGGTCATGTTGTGCGGATGCCTGATGATCATCTTCCAAAGAACCACTCTATTCCCAACTTTAAAATGGAAAGTGTACTGCTAGTGGTCAACAGAAGAGGTTTAAAGACTCCCTCCAGGCAAATTTTAAAAAATGTAGTATAAACACTGACAACTGGGAAACACTGGCTTGCGAGCTCTCCAGTTGGAGAACAGCCTTGAACAAAGGTGTCGTGGGCTTTGAAGACACTCGAACTCAAGACACAAGGGAGAAACATGCTAAGAAGAAGGCACGCTTGGCAAATCCACACCGTGATCAACTCCTGCCTGGAAACCAATGTCCCCACTGTGGAAGGACGTGTGGGTCCAGAATTGGCCTCCACAGTCACTTAGGCAAGTTTTTAATGTTTGATGCTTTATTCTGTTTAATATTCTGTTGGGAGCCGCCCAGTGTGGCTGGGGAAACCCATCCGGATGGGCGGGGTATAAATAATAAATCATTATCATTATCATCATTACCACCACCATCATATGATGATGATGATGGACTCACTGTTAAAACCGTTTTCATGGAATCTTATTTGGCTACGAGTGTTTGCCAAACAAGTCAACCCACTGCAAGGCATCTTACTATATTCCTAGTGGGTGGCATTAGGTCTTACTCAAAGTAGACTCATTGGGATTAATGGACCTAACTGAGTCATGCTCATTTATTTCAATGAGCAACCTTGAAGTGAGTCTTGGCTGAAGACCACCCAATGTATCCGCTTCCTTGGGGAAGGGTTGTGAATTTTACTGCCTCATGGACACATCAGTCCCATCTGAGCCCAGGGTGGTGTGACCCGACTCAGCTCCTACTCGTTGTGACAAGACTCCTGCAAAGGAACTTCTGAGACCTGGCTAATGGCAGACCCCTCTCTTGATGGCCAAATGGGGAAAAGAAACTGGGGTTGTGGAGGAGGAAGGAACAGACACACACACACACATGAGACATGGAGAATGAACTGAAGCACAAAAAGGAAAACTATTAAAATAAGCGTTTTATTTCAATGCAAACTGAACGCAACAAAATTAAAACAAGGTCACTTTTCAAAGCAGATGATATAAGGAAAGGGAGGTGGGGAACTGGCAACGTGTTAACAAAAATGGCAACAAAAAGAGATGAATGGATGGATTCTCAACTGCAACCTCTTTGCCAACCTTATTTTGCCCTCCAGCTGCTTTGGGATATGTATGCATTGCAGCGGGTTGGACTAAATGACCACTGAGGGTCCCTTCCAACTCTATGAGTACTATCAAAGTTCTTTATTGGGCAGAGCGGAGGGCAGGGCTTCTCTCCTCCGACAGGCCACTGTAGGGTATGGAAGAGGGCTCTGGAGGACTCTGCCCCATCTCTGCCAGGCCACTTGCTCGCCTGTGTGGAAGCCCTAGTCGCCTATGGTGAGCAGGCTAGTGCCTAACTGCAAGGGTGCTTGGAAGAGCCAATTCATTCACTAGAACACCCACATCAGAAGATGCATGGTCCAGGACTGGTGCACGTAATGGGTTTAGACACTGTGCACCAAGTTTAAATCTTTGCTCCATCAAGAAGTTTCAGACCACGTCTCCCGAAACAACAGCCCAGAGGTCAAAGGTCATTTGGGTGTTTCAGGCACAACCTGCTCAACTTATCTTTTTTCATGCACCTGCTAGAAATGGTTTGGCTCTAGGATGTTCTGAGTCCGCCACAGAAGGCAAGCACCTGCTGTTGGCCGCAGACCCTGAGATGTGGGAGAGAAAGGAATCGGGAACCCTGAGACGTCTCTCTGTGTCTTTGTGGTTAAGGATCACACATGGTTCTTCTTTGGCTTGCTGATGTCAGCCGCCGAACATGCAACCCGCCGTCGGAGCGAGTTCAGGGATGGAGATCTCACAGCTGCGTAAACGGGCTTTGGAATCCTACAGCCAGTTGCATCGTGGTTTCTGTGTGTGTGTGTTTGTGTGAATTAAGTCAAGAGATGGAAAACTGCTTCCATCAAATCTGAAAACGAAAAGAAAATCCCACCCTGTGGACTGTTCTCCCAGGCTCACCAGCAAGAACTCTATGTAAACTTGTCCGTGTGGCTCTCCTGGCAGATTAGAGGCAGATGGCATGAGAAATAATACTGAACATGGGGGTTAAAAAAAAAAGAGGTACCGTTCCAAACATGGCTTTTCGTTCTAGAGGAGATGGGAGCAAAGGGAGGCTGATGGGAAATGGTGAAAGGAAAAGGAAACACCCAGACTCTCCTAGGATTCAGGAAAGAGAATGGGGCTTTTGACCTGAAGGCACCCCCCCCCACGTCCTTGCATTGCAGGGGGTTGGACTAGATGACCCTTGGGTCCCAATTCTGCAGTTCTATGTTTCTATATCGGCTGCTTCAACAGGAGGGCGGGTGGGTGAGGAAATGCAGCCCCCTGCCTTCACGGGGCAAAAAACTCCCTACCTGCTCTGCGTTCTGGGCGGTGGGGGCTTCCAACCAACCCTGGCAGAGTTTAAAAATATCACAGTGGGTCTCTAGGCCAGGGGATCTAGGTAGGGAGAATGGCCTTCAGAGGCCCTCGAGATCTATTGCGCCAAACTGGGGGGCGGGCAAGACCTCATTGCTCCCACATCAACCTGGAAGGATACTGACTCGCTCCAGTAGAAAAACAATTTGGCTTTTGTGGGCTGGCGTCCGAAGGGAAACCGAGGCAGGCGAGGCAGGCTCAAGTCAGGCGCTGGAGGGGAGAGGCAGCCAGGCCCTTGGGATTTGAGAGAGGGTGCCCTCCATCCCCAGAAACCCTCACTCTCCAGCTACGCCTCTCCCCCACCCCAGCGCTGGGTGCTCAAGCTCCCCTTGTCCTCAGACATCTCCCAGAGGAGGCTGGGCAAAGTCCTGCTCCTGCCCGGAGCTCTTGGTCCGGCCGCTCTTGACGGGCATCTCCACCAGCAGTTGCTTCCAGAACCTTCCCCGAGGGTAGCTGGACTTCTCCCCCTGCCACTTGATGACGGTGAGGGCGGCCTTTGCCCGCCTGAGCTCCTTGACCTTGCTCTTCTTGATGGCCTGGTACTGGACAAGGATCACCTTGATGGACCCTCTGGCCGCCATGTTCTCCAGGCCCGCTTTCAGCTCCAGCAGAGCTTGCGTCCCCTGGAGGACATAGTTGGGGCTCAGCACCACCAGCAGACGGCGGCTCCTCTGGATGAAGCTCAGGGTCTCATCCGTGACAACTGGCAGAGGGCAAGGAGGGAAGAAAACACACTGAGTGGGTTAGGGAAGGTTGGGCAGGCAGACTGCCCTCCGGCAGCTGAGCCCAGGAACCTGTGAGTTCTCAGCTTCCTCCTTGTGAAGTTTCTAGCCCCTAAGAAAGTCTGGTGCCCTCCAGATGTTGGGAACTGCCATCTCTGTGGCTTATGGGAGCTGCAGTTCAAAACATCTGGGTCTTCTACCGTAATTACTAAACCATCTGCAAATGCTTTCAGTTTAAATTCCTTATTGCCTACCTTTACTCCTCTAATATTTTCATCGGCTCTTATATTACGCGTCAGGCCTTCTAACACTAATATAAATGATAGCAGAGAAAGAGGACAGCCCTGCCTTGTTCCTTTCATAAGGTTGCATTCTTCAGTAACGGTATTATTAAGAGTCAACCTCTAGCCTAGAGTAAATAGTTTCTATTTCTCTTATAAATGTCGTTCCAAAGTTCATTGCCTCTAGCACCTTCAGTATGAAGGCCCATGAGACATTATCAAAGGCTTTTTCAGCATCAATAAGCATCATAAACACAGACAAAGGAGCGTGTGCAAAATGTGAGGAGGCTGCCCGGCCAAACTCTGCTTTTCACCCCAGAGCAGGATATTAATTGGACTCCAGCTAACACCATCCCTGACATTTGGCTCATTAGTGGTCATAACTGCCTCTTGTGGCAGCGAGTTCCACAGTTTAACTAAGAAGTCCCTCCTTTTATCTGTCCTGAATCTTCCAACATTCACCTTTCACGTGTTAGGGAGAAATAATAATAATTTATTATTTATACCCCGCCCATCTGGTGAAGAAAATCTTCAATCTTCCCACTTTCACCCGGCCATGCATAATTTTGCAAACCTCTATCAGTCCGCCTCTTCCTTGCCTGTTCTCTAAAAAGACCCAAGCTTTCTTCATATTGTTGCTCCGTCCCCTTGATCATTGTTGGTTGCCCTTTCCTGAACCTCTCGGTTGCCTGACAAAACTTTGCATTTGACCCCAGTGCAGGGACGGCCGTCTGGATATTTATTTAGACTCCAGCTGCCATCAGCACTGACCATTGGGAAATACTGCCTGGGAGCTGGAGTTTAGCAACACCAGGAGGTCCACAGGGGCCTGACACTGGGCCAATCCTACTATTCTCTGTCACTCCTGGGATAGCTCAACTGGTAGAGCACAAGGCTCTTCCAGGGTCGTGGGTCTAAGCTCCACGTTGGGCCAAAAGATTCATGCCTTACAGGGGGTTGGACTAGATGAACCTTGTGGTCCCTTCCAGCTCTACAATTCCATGATCATATTCTATGTTTATACCCCCTATTCTCTTCCCAATGAGACATGTACCAGAACTCCTTAACCATCTCGTAAGAGACAAGGACCTTCCAGTCGCTGGGGCATCTCAGTGTCTCATTTTGGTGCTTTTAAACTTAGTCATTTCAACTTTGTCCTTTTTGATCCTGCTGTCTTTGAGCTCTGCGGAGGCTTTTAAACATTTATGGCCCTCAATTTTCTGTGTTCCTTTCTATTTTAAACTGTCAACAGTTTCTCGCCATCCACCAGACATGCCTCTAACTGAAGCTTCAGGGAACTAGCGGCGAAGATCAACTGTTGGCCTCAGATGCAAAACCTCCTTTGGATAAAAAGATGCACACACACACACACACACACACACACACACAAATTCAGTCGGGCTCAGGTTGGCATGCAGGTATCTACCAGCGATGCCCATGGAGGGCTCTCTGGGGTGCAGTGGGGACCAGAGAAGACCTTCAGGGGTATGTGGGGGTTGAGGTCCCCCACAGAAATCATTTTTCTGTCCTGTGTCCTGTCCCATTCTGGATGCCACCATCTAAGGAGGAAACCGACAAGCTGGAAAATGTGCAGAGATGTTCAGGGGTCTGGAAACCAAGCCTTGTGAGGAACGGGTGAGGGAGCTGGGTAGGTTTAGCCTGGAGAACAGAAGACTGAAAGGTTGCTATGACAGCCACCTTCAAATACCTAAAGGGCTGCCCCATGGAAGACGGAGCAAGGATCCAAACCAATGGATTCAAGTTTCAAGAAAGGAGATTCTTGCAGGAATAACCTTCTGACAGTAAGAGCTGGTTGAATGGACTTCCTCAGAAGGTGGTTGACTCTCCTTCCTTGGAGGTTGGATGGCTCTCTGTCAGGGGCCCTTTTTGTATGATTCCTGCAATGCAGGGGGTTGGACTAGATGACCACATGGGGTCCCTTCCAACTCTCCAATTCTTAAGCTATCATCTATGATCATTCTTTTCCCACACAGTAGCTATACCAGAGGTGGAGATCTGGGTCCAGCTGATGGTCCTCCCACCCCCAGCATTGGCCAAGTTTGACAGGCGGATGGAGCTCCTCACCTGTCAATAATTTGGCACCACAAAGCAGTCAGGCGACCTGTTTTTGCCTGTGCAGTTTGAAATCAAAGCGGGGGCGACAAACGCACAGTGCTCTGCTAGCTCCGAAGACCAGCAAAGCATTGCGCTTTGAAAGCCCCACATCTGATGTCACCTACTGCGTAACCCATATACGTAATTTCAGCTGGTTCCTATTTTTCTATCCCTCTGACGGAAAAGTGCCGTGGCGACTGTCGCATCGATTAATATTACACACAAAGGCGCATCCATAATTTACAGGCGTTCTCCGAAGATAGGCATTTCACGTTTAATTAAATCCCTTCTCCTCGTAAAAAAAAATGTTTCCTCTCCAATTAGATGGCGTGCAATTGATTATGCACCAGGATCCGAAATAAACTGAGATGAGGGAGGCGATGCATTGCAGAAACGGAGGCAAAGCAAAGTATGAATGCTAGCTATGCTTTAAGACATGGGTAGGCAAACTAAGGCCCAGGGGCTGGATCTGGCCCAACCGCCTTCTCAATCCAGCCCATGGATGGTCCAGGAATCAGCATGTTTTTACATGAGTAGAATGTGCCCTTTTATTTAAAATGCGCAGGGCACAGGAATTCGTTCATTATTATTTTTTTCAAATTACAGTCTGCCCCCCCCACAAGGTCTGAGGGACAGTGGACCGGCCCCCTGCTGAAAAAGTTTGCTGATCCCGCTCTAAGATCATTCTGAGGATCAGATGAAGCTGATCTGTCCGGCTCAAGATTGCCTACACTGACTGGCAGCATCTCTCCAGAATTACAGGCAGGGTGGCGGATGATCCTTCCCTGGAGATTTTCAAGCAGAGGTTGGATGCTCGCCACTCAGGGATTCTTCAGCTCTGATTGGACTTTAGCTCTGCACGGGGTTGAGCTAGATGACCTCCAGGAATCTCTTCCCACTCTAAGATTCTACGAATCTTTCCCAGCCCTACCTGGAGATACTTCCATGGGTTAAACTTGGGACCTTCTGCGTGCAAAGGTGGCCCTCTGCCCCACTGAGCTGTGGGACTTCCTCATTCTTGTGGCTTTCAGGACTCGGAAAAGATGACTAATAACAGCTAAAAATGAACGAGGGGATGAATGAATTCTTTCAGTGTTCATAAACTTCCTTCCTTTCCCCCCAGTAGCTGGGCTAAGAAATCCAGCTGGGCTAAGAAACATCTGGATTGGGGAGCAAATTATGCAATGCCCAAAACTTCCCCCTTATTTGCACAAATCCCTAATGTGAAATTTAAGTCGCCTGGAGGAGATCTGGGGGTGGCTAAGTTTGAGACCTGTCCCCCCCCCCGCCACTTTCGAAGTGGGAAAAGGGTGCATAGGACCCTGGCTGAAGCTTTCCTGCCCCCAGTCGCTGATCCCTAAGGCGCTTACTAGCAAACTCCAGCCTGCAAGGGAGAAGATAGAAGGACACTGAGCTCTGTCACGTGCTGACATGCGGGTGTCTCCTGGGTAACGCACAGTGGAGAACATCAAAAAAAGAACAGGGAGAGGCTGCAGGATCAGACCCAAGACCGATCTAACAGAGGACATGAAGGGAACAGCCCTCTATTGCTCTTGATCTCCAGCAACAGGTACTAAGAGACAAACTGCCCCAAAATTACTTTCACACAGCAAACACCTTCTGTTTTAACTTTCAGGCACCTGCGGATTTTTCCACATTCAGGCAATCGCTTCCACAATGCTTCATTGACTCCTGCTTTCAACTGTTTGAATATATGTTTTGACTGTATTGCTTTATGTGGCATTTTTCCATTTCCGCCATATTAAGCAGTTGGTCCCTTTCCTTTGGGACGCGGGTGGCGCTGTGGGTTAAACCACAGAGCCTAGGACTTGCCGATCAGAAGGTCGGCGGTTCGAATCCCCGCGACGGGGTTAGCTTCCATTGCTCAGTCCCTTCTCCTGCCAACCTAACAGTTCGAAAGCACGTCATAGTGCAAGTAGATAAATAGGTACCACTCCGGCAGGAAGGTAAACGGCGTTTCCGTGCGCTGCTCTGGTTCGCCAGAAGCGGCTTAGTCATGCTGGCCACATGACCCAGAAGCTGTACGCCGGCTCCCTCGGCCAATAAAGCGAGATGAGCGCCGCAACCCCAGAGTCAGCCACAACTGGACCTAACGGTCAGGGGTCCCTTTACCTTTACTTTTACCCTTTCCTTTCTTGCCCTGATCTGGCCACAGTGATCCATGTGACAGTCACCTCCAGGCTTGATTATTGTAACTCGCTCTGTGCAGGGCTGCCCTTGAAGCTGTCCCAGAAACTCCAACGGGTGCAGAATGCTGCAGCGAGGCTCCTTATGGGGTCCTTGTCATGGGAGCATATTCACCCAGTGCTTTACCAACTGCACTGGCTCCCGGTGGAGTCCAGGGTCAGGTTTAAGGTGGTGGTTTTGACCTTTAAAGCCCTATACGGCCTAGGACCCACATACCTATGGGACCGCCTCTCCTGGTCTGCCCCGCGGAGAACCTTAAGGTCCACAAATGACAACACTTTGGAGGTCCCAAGTCACAAGGTGGTTAGACTGGTCTCAACCAGGGCCAGGGCCTTTTCAGCACTGGCCCCGACTTGGCGGAACGCTCTGTCACAAGAGACTAGGGGCCTGCGGGACTTGACATCTTTCCGCTGGGCCTGCAAGACAGAGCTGTTCCGCCTGGCCTTTGGTTTGGACTCAGTCTGACCCTTATGGTTTTGATCTATGGGCTACTATTAAAATGAGGCTGCATTTTAAATTGCATTTTAACCTGTATTTTAAATTGGGGTTCCCCCCCCATTATGTTTTTATTGTAATTTTACTGGTGTAAGCCGCCCTGAGTCCGGCTCTAGCTGGGGAGGGCAGGGTATAAGTAAATTATTATTATTATTATTATTATTATTATTATTATTATTATTATCATCATCATCACTTTGATTTCTTTCTTTTTTAATGAAATAGCAGAGAAGATGAAAAGGTGGGGAAACAGAGGCAGGGCATCACTGGCTCAGCATTTTCTTGCCTTCCACTCTCCCTTTCTTGGCTCAGCAGCCGGTCCTCACGGTGGCCGACCAGCTGCCTGTTGGAAACCAGCAAAGAGGATCCGAGCACATAAGCAACTCTCGCCTCCTGTGGTTTCCCGCGACTGGCATTCAGGAGCATCGCTGCCTCCGACTGCGGAGGCAAGGAGATCCCACCCTGCACAGAATGGAGAATGCAGTTGTCATTTCCCTGCGCAGAGGGGCTGCCAGACCAGCTGTCTTTGGCCAGCTGCAATGCAGTGTGTTCCTCATAGAATCATAGAGTTGGAAGAGACCACAAGGGCCATCGAGTCCAACCCCCTGCCAAGCAGGAAACACCATCAGAGCACTCCTGACATATGGTTGTCAAGCCTCTGCTTAAAGACCTCCAAAGAAGGAGACTCCACCACACTCCTTGGCAGCAAATTCCATTGTCGAACAGCTCTTACTGTCAGGAAGTTCTTCCTAATGTTTAGGTGGAATCTTCTTTCTTGTAGTTTGGATCCATTGCTCCGTGTCCGCTTCTCTGGAGCAGCAGAAAACAACCTTTCTCCCTCCTCTATGTGACATCCTTTTATATATTTGAACATGGCTATCATATCACCCCTTAACCTCCTCTTCTCCAGGCTAAACATGCCCAGCTCCTTAGCCGTTCCTCATAAGGCATCGTTTCCAGGCCTTTGACCATTTTGGTTGCCCTCCTCTGGACACGTTCCAGTTTGTCAGTGTCCTTCTTGAACTGTGGTGCCCAGAACTGGACCCAGTACTCCAGGTGAGGTCTGACCAGAGCAGAATACAGTGGCACTATTACTTCCCTTGATCTAGATGCTATACTCCTATTGATGAGGCCCAGAATTGCATTGGCTTTTTTAGCTGCCGCGTTCCTTTTCTGCTGCTAATTTTAAAGTGTCCAGGATTCACTGCAGACGCAGTGGGGCCAGCCAGGTTTGCTTAAACATGAAGCTAGTGTGGCAGCACCTACACTTTGGAACTCCCTGCCTCATGATACCAAGCAGGCACCTTCACTGCATTCTTTTCGGCACCCGCCCAGACGCACAGAAAATGCTGGCGCGAATTTTAATCTATTTTTGTATTCTAAAATAATAATAATAAAAATCCTTCCAGTAGCACCTTAGAGACCAGCTAAGTTTGTATTTTTAAAGGGATGCGGGTGGCACTGTGGGTTAAACCACAGAGCCTAGGACTTGTGGATCAGAAGGTCGGCGGTTCGAATCCCCGCGACGGGGTTAGCTCCCATTGCTCAGTCCCTGCTCCTGCCAACCTAGCAGTTTGAAAGCACGTCATAGTGCAAGTAGATAAATAGGTACTGCTCCGGCGGGAAGGTAAATGGCGTTTCTGTGCGCTGCTCTGGTTCGCCAGAAGCGGCTTAGTCATGCTGGCCACATGACCCGGAAGCTGTACGCCGGCTCCCTCAGCCAGTAAAGCGAGATGAGCGCCGCAACCCCAGAGTCGGTCACAACTGGACCTAATGGTCAGGGGTCACTTTACCTTTACCTTTTTAAGTTTGCATTTTAAGTTTGTGTACATTTCAATGCATTGCAATTTGCTTCCTGGTGTTATGGTTTTATTTTTCCGTAAACTGCTTTGAGGGTGCCCCCTTGCCACCCGCATTCAAGCAGAGTATAAATTTTATGAAATAAAAAATAAAAATAAATGAAGACGAGAACGGAAGCGCCTTCTGGATCAGGCCAAAGTGGGGGGGGGGCATCTAGCCCAGCGTCCTGTTCTCACAGGGACTGACCAGATTCACCAAAGGGAAACCAGCAATCAGGATTCGAACACAAGACTGGTTTCCAGCAACTGGGACTCAGAAGCATTTCTGCCTCCAACTGTAGCCATAAAAAGAGTAGCCATAATTAGACCCAGTTCTCATCTGCCTGACATGCACCTTGCATCACCGTTAAAACAAAGCTTTTATATTTCACTAAGGATGTTTCTTACATTGGCATGATTACATAGAGGGGAGGATGAATTTTTAGGGTTGGTGGGTTTCCTAAGACAGTTCCTCCCTGGTAGTCTCTTCCAGAATCTCATTTGGGACACAGCGCCATTGCTCTCACCGAAAAAGCGCCCCACCCCTATCAGCCAGGACCGGGGGACGAATCTGACAGAGATCTTGTGCTGACCTGCACACGGGTTGCCCTAGTCCAGTGGTTCTCAACCCGTGGGTCCCCAAATGTTGTTGGACTACAGCTCCCATCATCCCTGAGCTCTGGCCTTGCTAGCTAGGGGTGATGGGAGTTGTAGTTCAACAACATCTGGAGACCCACAGGTTGAGAAAGGTAAACAACGATTGCCCTAGTCAATTCAGAGGACGGAGAGGACACGCAGACAAAGGGAGCGTGCCTGTGGATCAGCTTCCCCTATCAAAATGGGAGTGGGGGGCTACATCCTGCCCGGGAGCTGGGAAACTCTGTGCACTCATACCAGAGCCCTGCAAGGAAGTGCTAGCGGGGGGGGGGGGGCGCAGAGATGCCCTACAAAGTGTCAAACGCAAGCCGGTGGCAGGACTTATCCCTTTGCAGGCGCAAAATTCTGCAGCTGCTTTTAGATAATGAATGCAAAGTCGGTGTGAAAGTGTCACTTCTAGACAGCAGAGAAAGCAGGGGGGATCCCACTGCAGCTCTGAGGGGGGAGTCATGGTTAACTGGAAGAGATCCCAAACCTGGTGTTGCTGGGCAAGGGCTTAGCCACAATTTTTGTTAGGGGGGCAGCCCTTTCGGGGGGGTTTTTTTTTGGGGGGAGAGTCTCAGTTAACTATGTATTTTCATTGGGGGTTTTTTGGGGGGGGGAGGAATGCCCTTCCCTGCCCCTCTTGGCCACATCCATGCTGCTGAGTGGGTCTCCTTTGGGGTGGTCCTACCCCAAGAGAATGCCTGGACAGGGGCAAATGCCTAATTCATAGACTCATAAAATTATAGCCTTGGGAGGGACACCGATGGTCATCTAGTCCAATGCCCTGCGATGCAGGAATCTCGACTGAAGCACCCATGACAGATGGCCTGTCATGGCTAAAAATTGGCCGCTGTTTCTTTAATGCTAAAAGAACTAAGTCAGCTTGAGTCAGTGGCCTACAATGACTCTTGCAACCTTTCACCAAATTGTTATAATGTTAGTGTTTGGTGGTGTGGATTGGTTGGATGGTAGAAAGCTGGTTGTGTTTGGTGTGTGTAAAAGCTGTCGGTCGTGTTTGGAGAAGAAGACTTTTTAAGAATAAAAGCAGCAATACTCTGCAAGAATACTCTTTCTCAAAGACTCTTTTGTGCCAACTGAGGTCTGAAGACTAGGCAAAGGAGTAAAAAGGAGGTCAGAACCTTTTCTTTTTCAAACCATCCAACCTCTGCTTAAAAACCTCCAAGGAAGGAGAGTCCACCACCTCCCAAGGGAGACTGTTCCACTGTTGAACTGCTCTTACTGTCAGAAAGTTCTTCCTGATGTTTAATCAGAATCTCCTTTCTTGTAACTTGAAACCATGGGTTCGAGTCCTACCCTCCAGAGCAGGAGAAAACAAGCTGGTTCCTTCTTCCATGTGGCAGCCCTTGATATATTTGAACATGGCTCTCATATCTCCTCTCAGTCGTTTCTCCTTCAACCACTCCTCATAAGGCTTGGTTTCCAGACACTTGATCATCTTGGTCGCCCTCCTTGGTTGCAGACTTTCCAGTTTATCAACATCCTTCTTAAATTGTGGTGCCCAGAATTGGACACAGTATTCCAGGTGTGGTCTGACCAAGGCAGAATAGAGTGGGACGATGACTTCGCTTGATCTGGACCCTAGACTTCTGCGGATGCAGCCTAGAATAGCATTAGCTTTCCTTGCTGCTGTGACTCCAAAGGAGTCCTGGGATAATTCCCTTCCTGCCAGTTCCTCAAGAGGATGGCGTAATTCTCTACCTACAAGAGAGACAAAGAGCGCAGGATGCTCTCTAAGAAGCCAGAGATGAGCTGACAGCAATTTCATGCGTTGCCAGGCTCCCTTAAGAATCAGATCCACTTAGACTTCAAAGTGAAAAGGCAGAGTTCGGCTGCTTTGAAGTAAGAGGGGAGGACAAAACACAAGCAGGGAAAACAACTTTGCCACCCAGCTGTGCTCAGCAGGAGAGAAGAGGCTGAAGGGCCACAGGACCCTCCTGCAAAGACCCTGGGAAAGGGGTCAGGAGGAGGAGGAGGAGGGGCACAAGACGCAGCTTGCAAGGCTGCACACACTGAGGAACTCAAAATGCCAAAATATTTGCAGTCCAGTCCTTTGCATGTCATCCTCACATATATTTTATTGTATTTTTAATATTTTGTTAGAGGCTGAGGAAACCCAGCCAGATGGGCAGGGAATAAATAATAAATTATGCTTGTGAAACATGGACCACTTCTAAACACCATCTCCAACTCCTCAAAAGATTCCATCAACGGGGTCTCTGAAAAATTTGGCGCACCACTTGGGAAGACAGGCAGACTAATGCCAGTGTACTGGAAGAAGCAAAGATCACCCGTGTTGAAGCAATGATTCTTCAACATCAACTTTGTTGGACTGGTCATGTTGTGCAGATGCCTGATGATCGTCTTCCAAAGCAACTACTCTATTCCAAACTTTAAAAAAGGAAAGCGTAATGCTGGTGGTCAACAAAAGAGGTTTAAAGGCAAATCTAAAAAAAAAAAAAAGTAGTATAAACACCGACAACTGGCCGGCGAGCACCCCAGTTGGAGAACAGCCTTGACCAAAGGCGTCATGGGCTTTGAAGACACTTGAACTCAGGACGCAAGGGAGAAATGTGCTAAGAGGAAGGCACGCTTGGCAAATCCACACCGTGATCAACTCCTGCCCGGAAACTAATGTCCCCACTATGGAAGGACGTTGTGGATCCAGAATTGGCCTCCACAGTCACTTATGGACTCAAAATCTTGTTTATGGAAGACAAAAGCAACTACTCTACTCCAAACTTAAGAAATGCGCTAAGAGGAAGGCACACTTGGCAAACCCTCACCATGATCAACTCCCGCCTATGTCCCCACTGTGGAAGGACGTGTGGATCCAGAATTGGCCTCCACAGTCACTTACAGACTCATTGTTAAAACCGTGTTTATGGAAGACAATCTTACTCAGCTACGAGGGCTTGCCAAAGAAGAAGATAGATGATAGATAGATAGATCACTATCACCATCACCATCAATAGGATCTGCTGCCAAGAAAGCTGTGCCTGGGACTGCCTCTTAGGTTTTTCTGTTCGGACACAAGTACCATTCAATTCCATGGAGCTGACTCTAAGATATATGTATATATTACGCATCAGGAATGGTTGAGGGAGCTGGGGAGATAGGAGAGCCACCTTCAAATATTGAAAGGGCTCTTCCACAGAAGATGCAATGCTCTGCCCTTGCTTTTGGAGGCTCTCCCCCCCAAAAAAAGTTGCAACAAGATACTGCAGGCCTTAATCTGCTTCGCGCACCTGCTGTAAGTTGCAGTTGATTAATCAAAGGATGAAAACAAACATAAACTGAGAGATTAAAAAACCTCAAGAACAATTAAAGGAGGGGCAGAGTCTGCCTAACGATGAGCTAGCGGGTGAATGAGTGATAAATATGCCTGTCAGATGTGGTGTAGTCTGGGAGAAACACAGTGCACCTGTAGAGGCAGTGGGGGTATAGTGGTTAGAGTGTCAGACTAGAGACCAGGGTTTGAATCCTCGCTTGGCCACAGAGTTAAAGGGTACATCTGCACCAGTGCCAGATTTATGTATAATCATACCTCGGGTTACTGGCGCTTCAGGCTGCGTTTTTTCAGGTTGTGGACTGCCAAAACCCGGAAGTCCTGGAACGGGTTACTTTCGGGTTTTGGCGGTTGCGCATGCGCAGAAGCGCCGAATGGCAACACGCGCGTGCGCAGACACACAGACGTGGGTTGCGAATGTTGCAGGTTGCCAACGTGCATCCCATACGGATCACGTTTGCAACCCGAGCGTCCATTGTTTAAGCTCTAGCTTAGGGCCCCACTCTCTTGGGGGCCCCAAAAAAATTTAAAGGAAAAAATAACCTGGATGCACATTTCCAAAATATAAGATAAAAAACAAATAAAATAAAACCTACCTACAGCAACCGTGTTTTGTGTTGTGTAGGCTCCCATGGTGTAAGTCATGGGCCCCGCCTGCTAGCCTGCTTCCTCAAATATCACTGGTTTGCTCCTTTCTATATATAGAGTGCCTACATTTTGCATGGACTGTTCGCATGGCAACATGTGCAAAAGGCTATAGGTACCTATGAGGTCCATCAATTGCCATCTAGCATATATTCAACAACAAAAAACAGGAACAATTTGTTGTTGACAAAGGACAGCTGGACATAGAAAGGGCCCCATTACCTTCAGGAGCTTAGGGTCTTGTCAAACCTAAATCCGGCCCTGACCTGCACCCACTCTGAGAGTATGAAAAGGAAATCAGTGAGAGGGAAAGAGAGTTTGCAGCTCTTAACTGAGGGATGGAACTCTGGATATTGCTGAGCTACAACTCCCATCTGCTCTAGCAAACAAGGCCAGCGGCCATGGGAGATTAGGAGCTGTAGTTCAGGAACATCTGGGGGCCAAAAGTTTCCCCACATCAGCCCCTTGTGAGGGGTGGAGGGGACAATTTGGGAATCACTGACTTGGGAGGGACCGTAAAAGTCATTGAGTCCAACCCCTGACAATTTGGAGAGCATAGCCAGAGAGGATCCCTGAAGATCTTGTCTGGGATCAGGTTGTTTGAAGGACTGCCTGTCCCTGTATGAAGCCCACCACTAAGATTTAAAAGATTGGCGGGCAATAGAGTCATGGTCTTTTTGGTGTTGGCCTCTTGGTCTTGGAACTCCCTCCCAAGTGATATCGAATGCACCTATTTTTTATGTTATTTATTTTACGTAGGATAATTTAGAAAATCATTTAAATCAAATAATTCCTGTGCAGCGTACATTAAAACCATCACCGCTCTATAAATAAAAGCAGGAACATTTTAAAACGGGCGTACCTAATTGGTTTTTGCATCTGGGTTAAGCTTGCTGAAACAGATTTTTTAAATAAAAAAAGCGCAGGTGTCTAAAACTGCCAAACTTTAATAGGCAGGCTACTCTTGGGGTTGCTGTGCTGAAAGCTCAACTCTGCAAAGACACGGAGCAAAAACTGTTCGGCCCGTGTGTGCAAGTCCTGCAGACCAAACTGGTCAAATAGGAACATGGAGGGCAGGCTTTCAAAAAAGGCCATGAAGACCTTTCTGCTTCCATCTTTTTGAACTAATACACTTGGCCTGCTTTCTTTAAAGAGGTTATTTATGATTCTGCGGCATTCCTTTTTTAGCTTATTTCGTTTGAGGTGCTGCGTTGGGCTGCAGAGAGTTTTTAGACTTTTGACTTTGCAACTGTAATGAAATTTTTAAAAAGTATTTCAGTACAACTGAAACTAATATTACGCAAGCTGCTTCACAGGAACAAAGGAAGCTCGTACGGAGTCAGAGCCTTGGTTAACCCAGCTCAGGGTTTCTACACTGACTGACCATCTTGGCTGGGAGTCTTGGAAGACCTGCTCCCCAACTTGAAATCCAAACTCTTCTTCTTCTTCTTCCCCACCTCCCCGGGCTTTGCCTGGAAAGGCAGTATATCACAAAATACCAGAAATTAAAAAGTACATAGTGAGACCCAAGGAGTGATCATCTCTGTAACCGAAACTGGGGAGAGGAAGAAGGTGAGGCTCTTCCAAGCTAGGAAGGAAAGAAGGGTGGCAGTCTGGGATCTGTAGGAGCTGAACGAGGATGTTGGGGGGGAGGACACAGAGAATGGCAGCCTTCCCATCTCGTCTAAAATAGCAGGGGAACAGAAGGAGCAGAGCAAAAGCTTGAGGGCGTGGGGGGCGGATTCCATCTGTCAGAAGACATCTGTGACTAAGACCGGGAGGAAAGGAGAGATCGTTGACGGCAGCCACCGGGCTCTGTTCCCTGAATCCCACGCCCACCTTTCCTCAGCCTCCCCTGTGCTCTGTTTTACGGAGGTCATGAACTGGCCACCCGTCAGCGATGCTTTAGCTGTGATTCCTGCATTGCAAGGGGGTTGGACTGGATGACCTTTGGAGTCCCTTCCAACTCTACAATTCCATGATTCACAGGACAGTGATGGATGCAACAGGTAGCTCTTTCCAAAGGCTCTTTGGAACCCCAGGCTCATCCTGCCGGGATGCTGTGGAGTTGGGAAAGGATCAGCCAAGAGCACCAGAATGATCAAGGGGATTCACAGATGAAGAATGGTTGCTGCTTTGAGGAACGAGAAATAAGAGGTGACATGGTGGGAAGCAGATAGAGGAAAGTTTTTCTCCCTTTCTCAGAACAATAGTACTAGTGGGTATCATATAAGCTGAATGTTGGAAGATTCAGGACAGATAAAAGGCAGAATTTCTTCATGCAGTGCACAGTTCAACTGTGGAACTCCCTGCCACTGGAGAGAGGCACCAACTTGATGGCTTTAAAAGAGGGTTCAAGAAATTCATGGAGGAGAGAGGGGTATTGATGGCTACTAGCCAGGATGGCAATGCTCTGTCAAGACCAACTTTAATTGGTTTTAGAGTATGCAGGTTTTCCAGTTTCACAGAACTAGACAGCGACAGCTCGACGAAGGGTTCTGTGGAACCAAAAAGCTTGCTGTCACCAACCTTAGGCCAGTGTAATTAAAATAGATCTCTCTCTTTTTGCAGCAGATGACAAAGGCTATTGCTGCTGCAGAAGAGAGAAGAGAAAGTTGCATTCCTTCTGCCAGAATTGGGCCAGGTCTCTGCAAAAAAGACGAGCGAGGGAGGAAGGAAGGAAGTTAAATTTGGACGCTCACATCAGTTGCTCTGGCTCTGGATGCACAAGGCAGGGAGACCTGCAGGGCAGACAGATGCTGTTTTTAACCACCGCCGCTCCTGGGCCCAAAAGCCGTATATGTGCACTTCTAGAGCATCTCAAGCCTGGAGGGGGTTTCTAAACAAGAATAAAAACACAGGGAGCTTTTAAGTAGATGGAAACCTGAGCCCGGAAATGGAATAGGAAGTGGGACCAGGTCTTATCTGAAAATATATGCAAGGTCCAAGGTCACAGTGGGGTGATGAGGACCCTAGCCATCCCCACACGAACCTCTGGACCACAGGGAGGGCTCAGTCAGGATGGGACGGGGCTGTCCATCAGGCCCTTCCTGGTTTCCTTGTGCTGACCAAGATGAAAGGAGGATGAAGGAACCGAACAGAGCAGCTGGCTTGGCCAAAACTGGACAGAAGGCCCCAGGCCTCAAAAATTGGAGACTGAGAGGAGACATGAGAGCCATCTTCAAATGTCTCAAGGACTGCCATGTGAAAGATGGAGCAGGCTTGCTTTCTCCTGTTCTGGAGGGTTGGACTCGAACCCAAGGCTTCAAGTTAGAAGAAAGGAGATTCCGACTCAACACCAGGAAGACCTTTCTGACAATAAAAGCTGTTTGGCAGCAAAACTGACTCCCCTGGAATGTGGTGGACTCTCCTTTCATGCAGGTTTTTAAGCAAAGGTTGGAGGGTCATCTGTCCTGGATGAGAATCCTACATTGCAGGGGGTTGGACTAGATGACCGTTGGGGTCCCTTCCTACAATTCCACTCTTCATGGGTCTTCCTCCTAGGGGGAGGGATTATTTTATGTACTGTGTTATCTTATGTACTGTGGCTTGCCATTGTTTTATTGATTATAGTTTAGAAATTATTTATTGTAACTGTTGAGTGGATTTCTGTTTAACTTTCATATGTTATTATTACTTAATACTATTCTAATGATTGTTGAATGTTACCTTTTTGATGCAGGTTGCCTATTTTAAAGTACTATCACATTTTTGTCTTGCATGAAATTGTTATAAGACGTTCCTTTTTCTGTTTCTTCAGCTTGTAAACCGCCTTGAGTATTGTAAGACAGAAAGACGGTGTACAAATTAAAAAATGATGATGATGATGATAGGGGCCTGAAGGTTCTGGGAATGGGAGCAAAACACCCCCCTCCTTGAAGAGGGAGACAAAAAAATAACAGTGGGGACTTCTTTAAGAAACTTGTGGCAAGCTGCTTCCAAACCCAACGTTAACCGCAAGGGCTGCCGGAGCTGCCTTTGCTAAGCGTGGCGGTTTGCTCTCTTTGCCGAAGGGCTGTGTGTGTGTGTGTGTGTGTCTGTGGGTGTGCGGTTTGTGCGAAAGCAGAAAGCCTGCTGCTCTCGGCTGCTCTGAACGCTCCAGAGATACTCACTTCCCCCGGGGAGGCTGTCTCTGTCAAAAATGCACAGCTTGTAGCCAAACTCGTTCTCCAGAACCCCTCTCAACGTCAGCAGCACAAACTCTTCCTCCTCGGCGTTCCTCGCGTAGGACACATAAATGTCATACTCTTTCCCGTCTGACGGCCCCAGTCGGAGAGGGAAGAGAGCAGACGAGGAAAAGAAAAAAAAGGGGGGGGAAGAATAGGCTTTGGTTAGTTCGGAGTAGCTGCGGGTACATTGGCTTCTGGCTCCTCTGCCCCCGTGCCAGGAGGAGAGCAAAGGCCCTGCTGGGCCGGGGGCAGAGAAGTCAGGAAAAGGGGGGGCTTTCTGCCTCTCGACACTATTGCTCCCTTCCAACGCAGAGCCTGGAAAAGCACTCAGCTTGCAACTCATTCAAAGGAACCTCGTAAGAAGAGTACGTTTCCGAGCACAATTCAAAGTGTTGGTGTTGACCTTGAAAGCCCTAAACGGCCTCCGCCCAGTAGACCTGAAGGAGCGTCTCCACACCCATCGTTCTGCCCGGACACTGAGGTCCAGTGCCGAGGGCCTTCTGGAGGTTCCCTCATTACGAGAAGCAAAGCTACAGGGAACCAGGCAGAGGGCCTTATCGGTGGTGGCACCCACACTGTGGAACGCCCTCCCATCAGATGTCAAAGGGAAGAACAACTACCTGACATTCAGAAGACATCTTAAGGCAGCCCTGTTCAGGGAAGTTTTTAATGTATGACATATTAGTGTATTTTTGGTATTTGTGGAAGCCGCCCAGAGTGGCTGGGGAAACCCAGCCAGATGGGCGGCATACAAATAATAAATTATTATTATTATTACTGATGGATAACAGGCCAAAGGGGCCCCATCTAAACCAGTGCCCTGTTCCCACAGGGGCCAAATGCCCCCGAAGAACCTTGGAATGCAGATAGACTGTCTCTGGAGCTGGAGGTTCCACAGCAACGTCAGAAGAGCCTGGCTGCTGGATCAGGCCTAATAATAATAATAATAATAATAATAATAACAATAATTTATTATTTATTATTTATACCCACCCATCTGGCTGGGTTTCCCCAGCCACTTTGGGCGGCTTCCAACAGAACACTAAAATACAATAACCTATTAAACATTAAAAGCTTCCCTAAACAGGGCTGCCTTCAGATGTCTTCTAAAAGTCTGGTAGTTTCTTTCCTTGACTTCTGATGGGAGGGCGTTCCACAGGGTGGGTGCCACCACCGAGAAGGCCCTCTGCCTGGTTCCCTGTAACTTGGCTTCTCGCAGGGAGGGAACCGCCAGAAGGCCCTCGGCGCTGGACCTCAGTGTCCAGGCAGAACAATGGAGATCTACAGTCCTGTTCTCACAACCAGATGTCCCTGAAAGGAAACCCACAAGCAGGATCTGAGCCCAAGAGCCCTCTATCCTCCTGTGGTTTCCAGCAACTGGGATTCAGAAACATGGCTGTCTCCAACTATAGAGGCAGAGCAGAGTCACTGCGGCCAGGAGCCATCAGCCGCCCTCTCCTCCCTCCATGAATTCGCCCAATCCTCTTTTGAAGCCATCCACCTTGCTCCTTTTCAAGCTCAATCTCATTTTGTTCCAACGGCCCTGGAGAATTTAGCGTCATCGGAATGTGGGACTTCCGGGTTAGCGCCTCCGGTAATGGCGGATTTCCTCTGATCGGGAGGAATCCGCTCCGTGGAAATCAGGGTCTGGACTGCCACGGCGAGGCGGAGACCCATCAAGAACGACAGGCGGGAGAAGCCTGTGGACGTGGGATTCGGCTGGCACCTTTTGCGCCTCCCCTACTCGCGGGGAAACCCGGTTTCGGGGTTCCGGAGCGACGTGGGGTGAGTGGCGCGGTGCTTTGAATCGACTGCTTCTTTCACAGAGTGAAGCCGCATTGCTGTTGCCAGAGAGCGCTGACTTTTTCCTGTGGACAATTGGATTTTAAACAACTACCCGTGAGTAGAACGGAAAATTGGATCATTAAACATTGTAATTTGGCATCAAAACGGGAAGGTTTCAAACAGGAAGTCCGCCTTCCCCTTTTGTAAATAGATTGAAGCAAAGACATTGCAAACTAAAGTCTGGAAAGCCTTTTGTAAAGGATTAAATCTCCATCGGTTAAAACTACTAAACCCCCCTTGGAAGCAGGAGAAGAGGGGGGAAATTTTAGACTGCCTAAGCCTGCAGGAGAGAGAGTGAAGGAAGATAAATTACCACTGTCTTGAACCTGGGAACGGGCTGTCAGTAAGATCGACTTTTGGGGAAAGTTCATTGACTGTGAATAACGTATGTTGACAGATAGCTAAATAAGAGAAATATATTGTTTCCATTGTTTCCTTTTGCACTTGAAAAGGAGCAAATGTAACTGAAAATTGATCTAACTTTTTGCTGGATCTGTGTTTAAAAGGAAGGATACAAATAGAAATTGTTTCCTCTAGAGGGAGTTTTTGAAACTGTTGCAGGAGTGGAGCTGGGGAATTTTCCAGCTGTAGAGATTAAAGACCGTGAGAAACAGAGATTGACCTTGGACAAGAATGTTGACAGAAGAAGCCCTAGTGACTGCATTTTGCAAGACAAGTGCTTTATTGGAACAGCTTCATAAGAAGACGGATGTGATGATTACTAAAATTGACAATATGGGACAAAAAATGACTGAGTTGGGACTAAAAGTGAATACCTATACAGAAATAACTCAGGATTTGATTCAGGAACCTGTTTTGACATTGCAAGCTGTGGAGAAGAAGAAGGAGAAAGTTGTTGTTGAACCTCAAGTAATTCAAGTGGATAGAGCCTCGGCCTTACAGAGGCAATTTGATGAACATAAGCTGTTGCCCTTTATGATTAAATCCAGAGAAAGCCAGATTTGGAGGGATGGAGTCCCGCTTGGATTGGAGAAGGAAAGTTGGATAGATCCCCTTATGCAGGTTTGGGACCAGGATTTGGGTCAGGGGGAGATTGGAGTTGTGGGGGCCTTTAGCTTTGGAGGGACTTTTAAACACGCTCTGAAATATCGTTTGGACTTTAGTTCGGACTATGGAGAATGGGCTGACCTGTCGAGAAGGAATGATGACATTGTTAGGTTGGAGTCTCCCCGAGATCTACTCCTCACTGCCAAAAGAAGGAAACTAAGAACAAGATCAGCAGAAGACAAAGTGAAGCACATGTATAGATATGAAGAAGACCTGCAGAAGGGACATGGAAAAGAGTTAAGAGCCTCGGATAGAAGATCACCAGGTTGATGGACCATATGGAATTGATAGAAAGGACTGACAGAATCCGAGTCCAGGGAGAAGAGATGGTGGAAGAAGATTGGAAAAAAGTTTTAAAAATTTATTTAGAGAAATATTGTTAAATTAATGAGTGTTAGAAAAATTGTTGGAATGAAATTATACGGCTTTAGTAGAAATGTTATAAGGAGTTAAGTATATATAAGTTTTAGGGTTTTAATGGTAAGATAAGGTGAAAATAAATTAAGACAATTAAATGACAGAAAATAGTGAAAGATGGAAAGGATTTGCTGAAATAATTAATAACTAGAATACAAAGGAGGGAGGTGTGAGGAGGTCGATGAAACAAGTTAATGAAAGATAAAGATTTGGAAATATTGGAGGTGTTTTTTAATTGTTTTTGCTTTTGTTTTTGTTCGGATGTATTGTGTTGGGGTTTTTTTGGTCTTTTTTCATTTCTTTTTTTTTTCTTTTTATACGTACTGTAATGTTTTGATTTGCATTATTTACTTTTGCTTTTTCTTTTTTACTTTGTTTTGTAATTCTTAAACTCTTAATAAATATTTTTTAAAAAAAAAAAAAAAAAAAAGAGAGAGAGAGAATTTAGCGTCATCGGCAAACCAGGCTGCCTCACGGCTCAATGCTAACTCCAGGTTGCTTATTCTTTGTCTGTCTGTTAGCTTATTGCATTTATAACCCAATTTTTTCACCAAGGAATGTGAGTTGGTGATTCGAACCCTGGTCCCGCAGGTCCAAGTCGGACACTCTAACCACTACGCACCGCTGCCTCTCTTGTTTATGAACCATTTAAAAAGCACAGGCCCCGATCCTGATCCTTGGGGGACTCTGCTTTCTACATCTCTCCATCTGGAGAGCTGTCGATTCATTCCTGCTCCCCACAGCTGTACTTGCTTGCTTACCATTATTATTATTATTATTATTATTCCCGATCTGCAAGAGGACATCTCCAAAGAGGGACTGAGACTTTCAGGCCGCCAAAGGGGGAAGGCTGACTAGCTCTATGTGGTTGCTAGAGGCAACCCTATGGGCCTTTAATTCAAAAGTTCTAGCCCGGAGGAAAGCCCTTGGCTCTTGCAAGAGATGGGGGGGAAATGCAGAGAGGCGGAAGGCGAAGGAGCAATTAGACTTTCTGCACTTTCTGACATTATCATAATCCGCCACATTCAGCCGCGACTCTTAAGGCGAGCTTAAAATGTATTTATTTATTTAACCACACACGTATTTAATGGGCTTATTAGGCTCTGCACAGATTGAAGGCTTTAATGTTGCAGTTGCGTTTCTGCCACTGGGGGGAAATTACCGCGATTAATGGAATGCTTCACAAAGTACTTCAAGAGGCATGCAACAATGCTACAAAACAATGTAATGAAAATAACAATTTAATGTCCAATAAACATTGCAAAATAATAATAATAATCAGCAGCAACATTTAACCATTAAAAGACTTAGAAAAATAAGACTCTGCATCTATGAAGCACTTCGGGAGTTCTGAGTTCAGAGTTGTCAGGGACCATGTGGGGAGGAATGGTGGGAGCCTCCCCCCCCCCCATCAGGATCCTGAACTTTCCCAGGAGCAGTGGGACAGTACAGTGGTACCTTGTTTTTCAAATGTCTTGGTACTCAAACAACTTGGAACTCAAACACTGCAAACCCGGAAGTCAGTCTTCCAGTTTGTGAACTTTTTTCAGAAGTCGAGTGTGCTCCATTTTGAGTGTTACGCTTCCGATTTGAGTGTTACACTATCTGTTTTTGCTATTTATTTTGCGTTTTTCTTGTTTTTGTGACTGTGTGGAACCCAGTTCAGCTACCGACTGATTGATTGTGTGACTGCAGTACAGTGGTACCTCTGGTTGCGAACGGGATCCATTCTGGAGGCCCGTTCACAATCTGAAAAGAACACAACCCGCATCTGCACACACACGGGTTGTGATTCACCGCTTTTGCGCATGACATCATTTTGCGTGTCTGTGCATGCGCGAGCGGTGAAACCCGGAAGTAACCCTTTCCGGTACTTCTGGGTCGCCGCAGGATGCAACCTGAAAATGCACAACCTGAAGCAAACGTAACGTGAGGTATGACTGTACATTGTTCATTGCTTTCATTTTATGGATCAATGGTCTTGTTAGAGAGTAAAATTCATGTTAAATTGCGTTTTAGGGGTTGTTTTTAAAACTCTGGAACGGATTAATCCATTTTGCATTACTTTCAATGGTAAAGCGCGCCTTGGTTTTGGAACGCAATTCTGGAATGGATTAAGTTTGAGAACCAAGGTACCACTGTATAGATTTGGAACAGTGGTTCACAGAGGGACATAGTTCAGAAGACCGAAGTTGGGAAGAACTGGGTGATGAACAGCTGGGAGAAGAAGAACTAGAAATCATCCATCCGATCAGCCCAAAGTCAAGGAGAGCAGATAAGGTGGCAGCCCAGAAAGCAAAGTGGTTGTGAGATCAGGTTGCAAGGCAAAGAAGTGAGAAGGCTGACTTGGAGGGAAGTGGCTGTAAAACTTAATTGGGAGCACCTTTACTTTGAGAATGGACTCTCTGTTCTTTCGCTGTGGTCATTAAAATCTCTTTAAATGGTAAGGGACTATTTTTGCTTTGTTCTGCTTATCCACGGGCAAAGGGAGAGAGGAAGCTGCTCCCCAGAAGCCTGACAAGAGTAGCCTGGATACAGCTGCTGAATGAGGCCAGTGGCCCATTGAGTCCAACATCCTGTTCTCACAGTGGGCAACCGGATGCCCCAATGGGAAACCTTCAAGCAGGATTCGAAAATAATAATAACAACAACAACAACAACAACAATGATAATTTATTATTTATACCCCCCCATCTGGCTGGGTTTCTCAGCCACTCTGGGTGGCTTCCAACAAAACACTAAAATACAATAACCTATTAAACATTAGGCTGCTTTCAGATGCCTTCTAAAAGTCTGGTAGCTGTTTTTCTCTTTGATATCTGGTGGGAGGGTGCCACTACTGAGGAGGCCCTCTGCCAGGTTCCCTGTAACTTGGCTTCTCACAGCAAGGGAACTGCCGGAAGGCCCTTGGAGCTGGACCTCAGTGTCCGGGCTGGACGATGGGGGTGGAGACGCTCCTTCAGATTTAGAGGACCGAGGCCATTTGGGGCTTTCAAGGTCAGCACCAACACTTTGAATTGTGCTCGGAAATGTACTGGGAGCCAATGTAGGTCTTTCAAGACCGGTGTTATGTGGTCTCGGCGGCCGCCCCCAGTCACCAGTCTAGCTGCCGCATTCTGGATTAGTTGTAGTTTTCGGGTCACCTTCAAAGGTAGCCCCACGTAGAGCGCATTGCAGTAGTTCAAGCGGGAAATAACTAGAGCATGCGCCACTCTGGCAACAGTCCGCGGGCAGGGAGGGTCTCATCCTGCGTACCAGACGGAGCTGGTAGACAGCCGCCCTGGACACAGAGTTAACCTGCACCTCCATGGACAGCTGTGAGTCCAGAATGACTCCCAGGCTGCGCACCTGGTCCTTCCGGGGCACAGTTACCCCACCCAGGACCAGAGCCTCTTGCCTCCTGTGGTTTCCAGCAACTGGCACTCAGGCTGTGGAGGTAGAGCGCAGCCATCGCGGCCACCAGCCATCAACAGCCCTCTCTTCCTCCGCGAATTTGCCCACCATCTAAGCAGGTCGCCATTGCACAGGTAGAGTGGAAGGCAGAACGGAGCCCAGGTGTGGGAGAATCGTGAGACCAAACAGGAGCCATTTGTTCCTCCCTAAAGGAAATGTATCAGGGGGTGACTTTTTTCCCTGGTGCCCAAAGGAAGCGAGTGGAGGGGGGGATGTAGGCAAATCACAGAGTTACCCCACCTGGAAAAAATAAGCGGTGGACCGAACACAGAAGCAAGGCAAGCAAAGTCTAGAGCGGGCAATAAATGGTGCAAGGGATGCAACTGGTTAAAAACAAACACCTGGAAAGTGGATTTAAAATTTACCGATTGCATAACTCTGAAAGAGAAGTATATGAAAACGATGTATATGACTCCTGTTAAATTTGCAAAACTGTTCAGAACAAGTTCTAATAAGTGCTGGAAGTGTAAAGAGAAAGAAGGTATGTTTTATCATGTGGGGTGTAATGTAATCAAAAACTATTGGGAAATGATATATAATGAATTGAAAAGGATGTTTAAAATAACTTTTGTTAAAAAAAAAACCAGAAGCTTTTTTGTTAGGTATTATAGGACAGTGCCAAAAGAGTGGAGGAAGTTATTCATGTATGTAATAATAATAATAATAATAATAATAATAATTTATTATTCATACCCTGCCCATCTGGCTGGGTTTCCAACAGCGGCTAGGAGTCTACTAGCCCCAAAATGGAAAGACGACAAGATACCAACGAAAGAAGAATGGCAAGTCAAATTCATGGAATACGCAGAAATGGCGAAATTCACCAGAAGACTCAGAGACATAGACAATACTTATATAAAGACTGGGAATCATTTATGCTGTATTTACAGAAGTATTGTAAGGAAATGGACTCATTAGTAGGGTCTGAGTAAACACTTACAATGAAGAATACAAAAGGTTAAGAAACAACAATATGGAAAATTTGGTCTAAAAATGTTAAGAATATAAGAGCTTTCAGCTAAAAGATGGAAAATAAGACAAAATGAAGCAGAAGTAGCAAATAGCTAAAAAACCAGAAGGGGAAGTTGAGGGAAGTCATGGGCTGGGGGGAGTTTTGTTTTATTGTATTTTCTTACGTACGATAAATGTTTTGAATCTTAAATTGAAAAATGTAAGAAAAAATGTATTTAAAAACAACAACAAATGAACACTTCCAGCAACGCCCCTTACCTAAGATGGTTTCGTCCGTCCCAAAATGAGCCCGGTAGAAGAGGACCATTTCCAGCCAGTAGAAGTGGTAGACGAGGGTCAGGAGAACCACTAGGATGATGGTGGCCCCCAAGCCGCAGACCAGCTCCACCGTGTACCTGGGCACAGGGACTGGGGGGGTCAAGGGAAGAGGAAAGGAGGGGGGCATTCACCGTGGATTATCATCACCATCACCATCATCATTAATTATCATTAGATTTACATCTAGCCCACCCTTTCCCCAAACCACGACTCAAGGAGGCTTATATAAAACAAAGTGACAAAATAAATACAAGGGGGGGGGACCATTGTTAAAAGGTAGCCTAGACTCTAAGGCAGTCCAACTCATGCAACACGTTGGCGACTAATATACACACAATATTTACCAAAATAATTATACATTCTTTACCAATCTTCTGAGAAAAATGCAAAACCTTGTGCAAAGCCACAGAGACTTACGAACTATCCAACCTAAGATGAACTTACAGGTGAAACTCGGAAAATTAGAATATCATGGGAAAGTTCATTTATTTCAGTAATTCAACTTAAAAGGTGAAACTAATATATGAGATAGACTCATGACATGCAAAGTGAGATATATCAAGCCTTTATTTGTTATAATTGTGATGATTATGGGGTGCAGCTAATGAAAACCCGAAATTAACAATCTCAGAAAATTAGAATATTAAATGAAATCAGCAAAACAAGGATTCCAAATAGAGCAATATTGGACCTCTGAGAAGCAGAAGCATGCATATGTACTCAGTACTTGGTTTGGGCCCCTTTTGCATCAATTACTGCCTCAATGCGGCGTGGCATGGATGCTATCAGCCTGTGGCACTGCTGAGGTGTTATGGAAGACCAGGACAGTGGCGTAGCATGGGGGGTGCAGGGGGGGCCGGCCGAACCGGGCACAACATCTGGGGGGGCGCGCTCGCACTCGCAGCTCTCTGCCCCTACCTGGCTCACTCACTCTCTCTCTCTCACTGCAGTGCTGGCTGTGCGAATCCGATCCGAGCCGCTGGGTCGCCGCCCACTGTGGAGGGGGTGGGTGCCAGGCGTGCGGTGCGGAGAGAGAGCGAGGGACTATCTGGGGAGGGACAGTGCAGCGGCCGCCCAGCGCAGCGCTGAGCGCGGGAGAGAACCACACCAGACCAGACCAGGCAGCAGCAAGAAGAAGCTGGCAGCGACGGCAGGTTAGGGGTTAGGGGGCGCAAATTACTTGCCTTGCCCCGGGTTAGGGGGCGCAATTTTTTTTTTTTTAAAGATATTTATTGAGATTTTCAGAATGTTACAAAAAATAAAAAAAATAAAATAGAAGCAGAAGAGAATACAAAGAATAAAAATAGTTATAAGAAAAAATTCCAAATGAGAAAAAAATGACAAGAAAAAAGAAAAAAAGAAGAATGCAAAAATCACAAAACTTTAAAAACATTTAAAAACAAATTCATTATTTTCAAATCCTTAACTGTCATTACCTTCTTTCTTAGACCTCCTCCTCCTCCCTTTCTTTGTATCCTAGTTATTAATTATCCCAGCAAATCCTTGACGTTATCTTTCTATAATAAAATAAACCTTAACACTTAAAACTTAAATCTTATCCTTACCAACTTCTCATAATCATAATATTCTTTCATAATTCTTTAAACATCTTTGCTAAAGCCAAGTATTTTCATTCCAACATTTTCCTATCATTCATCAATTTTATAAAACAGTTCTAATAGTAGAAAAAAGAGGTATAAACAGATCCAATCTTCATCCAGCGTCCCTTCCTCCTGGTTCCGGGTTTTGTCAGTCCTTATTCCCGTCAATCTAGCCCATTAACCTGGCAACCTTATATCCGAGGCCCTCAAGTCTCTTCCATGACCCTTCCGCGGCTCTTCTTCATATTTGTAACTGTATTTTCCCTTGTCTCTTGCTCGTGGTAACTCCAGCTTGACAATGTTTTTAATCCTTCTCAACAGATCAGCCCCTTTTCCATGTTCAACAATGAATTCCATGTAGTATTTAAAAGCATGTTTCAAAGGCCCTCCAAAATTGAGAGCCCCCACAGTCCCAAACATCTCACGGCCCGTTGCCGTATTTGAAAAGTCCAAACATCCCAGCATAGGGGGGTCAATACAGCCCCCCATTTCCAAACCAAGCCAAACTTTTCCTTTCCAGATATGGCTTTTTCCAAGTTCATTTGTCAAATCCAAAAAAATCATATTCCTGTTGGGCCTGTTCTGTCAAAACACACTCCTGATTTAATGTCAAAAACTCCTGTTCTGTCAAGACACACTCCTGATTTAAATCCTGAGTGGGCTCCACATATTTTCCCACTGTCTGTTCAAAGTTTCCCACTGCCTGTTCAAAATTTCTAGTCGAAGTCGCCATCCAATTCACCTTCTCATGTAATTGTTCCAGTAGATCGTTTGTTTTATAGAGAGCATACAACAAGGCTTCTGAATACATTGTCCCACAAGGTCAGATACTTGTTCCCACGGTTGTAATCTGTAACAGCTGTCGACTCCCTGGAGTTAGTTACAGTTTCACAGTTACAATTTCACAGACTCCCCCGAGGGGGAAGACTGCTATTTATTCTGGCAACAAAGTTTCCTTTTTAAGATACTTTGTCCATATATAATCCTTTAAAATGCGAAAGGGAACAGTGGAATCACTAGGTTTCTCTTCTTTTAGCCATCTGTCAAAAACACTTGTCTTTGGTTAATGAACTTCACACGTCAGTCCTGACAGCCCGCTCCAGGATCAGGACGGAGGAAAGTTACTTCACTTTAAAGTCACTTTAAACAGTCCAAAAAGATCCCCCCCTTCTCCTGGTGTCGAAGGGGGGTTCCACAATTTTAAATGGTGAAATCCAATCTTTTAAAAGCGATTTTCTGAGCTCTAGTTTAAGTTGCCTTTGCTTTATTCTGTTTACAAAAGAACGGAAGGATGACTTCCTGTTTAGACCTTCCCGTTCCGTACCAAATTCAAGTAAATTTTTAAAGTCCGATTCTTTTCTACTCGCAAGTCCTTATTTGATGTCCAATTGTTCAAAGTCTAAGTACTCACGGGTGCTTATTTTAAAGTCCAAATTGTCCCAGGAAAAAGGCAGCGCTCTCTGGCAACAGCTATGCGGCTTCGCTCCACGGAAATAGCAGTTGACTCACAGCACCGTGCCACTTCCCCCTCTTCACTTTGGAGCCCGTTAGTGGGTTCCTTAGCGGGTTGGGGGGGCGCTAAAGGTGCCCGCCGAGTCCCATGGTCACAGGCTTCATCCGCCTGTGATTTTTAAGTGGGTCCCCGCTTCGCCGTAGCGGAGAAGACCCGTTTTCCGCAGAGCTAGTCCCTCCAGTTCAGAGGGAGTCCGCCATTGCCGGTGGTGCCACCCCGGAAGTCTAGGGGGCGCAAATTACTTGCCTTGCCCCAGGTGCTGACAACCCAAGCTACGCCGCTGGACCAGGTTGCTTCAATAGCAGCCTTCAGCTCTTCTGCATTGCTCGGTCTCATGTCTCTCATCTTTCTCTTGGCAATGCCCCATAGATTCTCTATGGGGTTCAGGTCAGGCGAGTTCACTGGCCAATCAAGCACAGTAATCCCATGGGCACTGAACCAGGTTTTGGTACTTTGGGTAGTGTGGGCAGGTGCCAAGTCCTGCTGGAAAATGAAGTCAGCATCCCTATAAAGCTCGTCTGTGGAAGGAAGCATGAAGTGCTCCAAAATCTCCTGGTAGACAGCTGTGTTGACCCTGGACTCAAGGAAGCACAGTGGACCAACACCAGCTGATGACATGGCTCCCCAAATCTCTTTTCTGATAAGAGCAGCTTTTGCATCTCATTTGGAAACCAAGGACCCAGAGTCTGGAGGAAGAATGGGGAGGCACACAATGCCAGATGCTTGAAGTCCAACGTGAAGTTTCCACAGTCTGTGTTGATTTGGGGAGCCATGTCATCAGCTGGTGTTGGTCTTGACATATCTCGTTTTGCATGTCATGAGTCTATCTCATATATTAGTTTCACCTTTTAAGTTGAATTGCTGAAATAAATGAACTTTTCCACGATATTCTAATTTTCCGAGCTTCACCTGTATAATGTCTGGTTTCAATGGATTCTCTGTGGCTTTGCACAAGGTCTTGTATTTTTCTCAGAAGATTGATAAAGAACGTATAATTATTTTGGTAATTATTGTGTGTATATTAGTCGCCAACATGTTGCATGAGTCGTACTAATTCTATCAGCTACACAGGTTGCATTTTTCTAGACTCTAAGGCAGGCAAAGTTTCGGGGTTCTAATCCGGCCCGCCGGTCAGTTTAATCCAGCCCATGTGGCAGTTCATTTCCTGGGGTAAAATCCCCCCCGAAACCACAACAACTTCAATCCTAAAAAAAGGCTAACAACTTTGGCCGGCCCTCACGGCCCTTCACTTCATCAAATCTGGCCCTCTTTGAAAAAAGTTTGGACACCACTGCTCTAAGGGAATTCTTTTTTGGCCGAGTAATTTTTATTGAATTTCAAGGTTTTTAAAAAGGAAATGAACATCAAATTTAAGACACAATTTAAAAGATGAATTCCCACCCTTCTTCCATGGTGCTGTTACCCCCATTTTAGCCCCCCCCCAATTCACTTGCTAGAAATAAACAAACACCTTTTTTCAGATTTCAGCGATGGGCCTTTCTAGTTTGCTAGCTACTGATTTTTCTCATGTTCTCTGCAAGACTGGGAATGTGGATGTTTCTACTGGTTTGTGTTAGGTTGTGTGTAGTTACCCTTCTATGCTACATCATACTTTTATCTCCTCCACAATCCTTTCACTGCTATTTTATTTTGTTTTGCATCCACTCCCCAAAATTTAAACAATATTTTTTTAAAAAACCACACACCAAAGCTATTAAAATGCAGGTCATAAAAACAGCGCAGTGCTGTCGAAAGCCAGTTCTGATGGGATAAAGAAAGTCTTTGCTGGAAGGAAGAGGAAACAAGGAGGGAAACAGGGAAGGAGCCTGTCTGGCTCCTCTAGGAAGGGAGCAGCCACCAAGAAGGCCCTTACCTTTCATCTTCACCATGGCCTCCTGGTGAACAGTCCCCTTCAGGTTGTGCGCGCAGCAGGTGTAGTTTCGCTTCAGGTCCCTCTCTGTGACCTTGGGCACGACCAGAGTCTTCACAATGGTCAACTCACCTAGGCTGGAGGGGATCTCCCTGGGGAAAGGCCAAGGGAAAAGAAGAAGAGAGGTCTGAGCTCAGAAGCTCTCTGAGATGCCAAGGGACTGTCAGTATGCCTTTGAGCCAATGCCAATGACCGGGCTCAACAATTAGTTCTGCCCTAACTGGGCTTGGTGAACTAGAGCGCTTCCAGAGATCTTCCACTCCTGGAAAGCAGGTCTAAGTGCCCTGGACCCACAACTGTCCATTGTGAGCACCAAACTCAGCAGAGTATGAACAACACGGAAGAAAGCTGTGAAGCGTAACTTCTTTTATTTCTAACAGCTACTACAAACTAACACTAAAGAGGCACTGGCTTGCATGAAGGTTACAGCTCTCACTCAGCCATCTAATCACTACATAGATAACACACAGACTCCACACAGAGTCAGGCCATAAGATGCACACACATTTCCCCTTACTTTTTAGGAGGGGAAAAGGGCATCTTGCGGAGTGATAAATACAGTACTTGTGCCTGTTGTTCTCTCGGAGCTGGAGAGAATGGAAGCTAGAAGAAGAAGCAGAAGCAGAAGCAGAAGCAGAAGAAGAAGAAGAAGAAGAAGAAGAAGAAGAGGAGGAGTTTGGATTTGATATCCTGCTTTATCACTACCCGAAGGAGTCTCAAAGCAGCTAACATTCTCCTTTCCCTTCCTCCCCCACAACAAACGCTCTGTGAGGTGAGTGAGGCTGAGAGACTTCAGAGAAGTGTGACTGGCCCAAGGTCACCCAGCAGCTGCAGGTGGAGGAGTGGAGACGCGAACCCGGTTCACCAGATTGCGCTCTTAACCACTACACCACACTGGCTCTGTACTTTTGCTTTTGTCTGTACATAGTGTGTAAATAAATAGTAGATTAGCTCTGCAATGTCTCACGCTTCTTGCTGTGTTCTGCCAGAAGCTTAGTGTGCACATATCATTATGATGTATGTCACTAGAAGCGCACCGGAAGAGAAGGGAGATGCTTTTTCCAGAGCTGCGCATCCCGGAGGATGCTCAGAGTTCCGGCGGCTTGCAGGCACCCCTAGGGCATTTTCCAACAAGGGGGACCATCTGGCCCAGCATCCTGTTCCCAGGGGGGCCACGAAGATGCCCCAGTAGGAAGCTGCAAGCAGGAAACCCGGCACAAGAGCCCTTTCCCGAGAAACGCCAGCCTTTCTCCATGCAGTGCATGGTTAATCTGTGGAACTCCCTCCCACCGGAGAAAGCGGTGGCCGCCAATTTGGATGGCTTTAAAAGAGGATGAAACAAATTCATGGAGGAGGAGAGGAGTTATGGGTGGCAAGTAGCCAAGGTGGCTCTGCTCTGCCTTTACAGTCGCAAGCAGCAACACTTCTCAATCCAAGTTTCCGGAAATCTCAGGAGGGGAGAGGGCTCTGGGGCCTGAATCCTGTTTGGGGGGGGGGTTCCCACTGGGGGTGTCTGTTCAGACCAGGACTAGATGGGCCATGGGCCTGATCCAGAAGGACTCTCCTTATGTTCTCATGCTTGTTATGTTCTTTGCATACGCTGTAATTGTGACTTTCTGAGAATTTCTCTCCGCCTTTTGAAAGGAGCAAGAACAGGAAAAGGCTCACGCTAAAATTAATCTGCAACTCCAGATGGGAATCACCAGATGTGACAATCACACATGTGGGTTTTTCACTGTACATAAGGATGGACAGCAATCTATTTTCATTCCTCTTTTCCCAATCTTAGATTCCATTCCTCACATCTTCACGTAGGCTTGCATTTTGCATTATTTTATTTTTAAAAAACCACACTAAAGTTCAATGCATTTTAGTGGACATTGCTCCAAACATCATCATCATTAGCAGTATATTATTATTGTTTGTTTGCTTGTTTGTTTAGTCGTTTAGTCGTGTCCGCCTCTTCGTGACCCCCTGGACCAGAGCACGCCAGGCACTCCTGTCTTCCACTTCCTCCTGCAGTTTGGTCAGACTCATGTTTGTAGCTTCGAGAACACTGTCCAACCAATATTATTATTATTATTACTATTATTATTATTGGCATGATGCATTCGCTTACCTATACATTTTTATGCACACGCTTTCCCTCCTAACAAACACATTTGTAGATCTATTTCTAGTCGGCCTACTGCATCACAAAATTCAGAATGGCGTGAATTGCGGGGTGGGGGCTGAGAAAAGGGTGGGATATAAATGAAACAAACAAACAAACAAACAAACAAACAGATGGACCTGTGATCAGACTCCGTCTACGGGAACTTAATATTTATCCATGGGGGGTTTCACCCGCCCTGCAATCAATTTCTTAGGATTTTCTCAAATGGGAACAAAAAGGGGTCACTGGGTTGCTGTTGCTATTATTTTGATAATGGTTTTATATTCTGATTTTATCCTGTGAACTGCCCTGAGACCTGCGGGTATAGGGCAGTATTTAAATATAATTAATAGTAATAATAAATACAATTAAATAGCAAGACACACACACAAGTACTGAAAGGAAAGAGGTCTTTAAGATGCAGCTGAGGGAAAGGGTCTTCCTATACAGCCCCTCTTTTATAGCAAGTCACTGATATTTGCCCAAGCCCCCCCCCTCCAACACCCACCATACAGACGTCTCCATTGTGCTTCCTCCAGCCCCTGCGAAGGATTTCCATCTCCCCCTTCGCCCTGGACTAAACTGTCTCCCCGTTTCAGACAACGGGGAAATCCTTTGCGCTCACATCAGTGTGATGTTGAACTTCAGGTCAGCGACGTCCTCTGGGCTCTTCCCGTCCACCATCCACCAGACCTCTTGCGGAGAGTCCTTCAGGAACGTGAACTGGACCTCGCAACGGATCTCCAGCGCTTCTCCTGGCACACACAAGGTTAAGAACAACCGTGTTCAATGCAAGAATACGAAGAGCATTCAATAGCAGCCCTTAGGGCTGTGTGCGCCCTTTCTGGACAAACCCCAGGTCCCAAACTGGACTGGGCCAATGATCTGGGCGGATCTGGGCGGATTTGTCTGCCGCAGGGTAGAAGCAGACCTGGGTTTCCCTAGATCAGGGCTCAGCAACCTTTTGCAACCGTAGGCCGGTCCACCATCCCTCAGACCTTGTGGGGAGCCGGACTATATTTTTTGGGGGGGGAATGAACTAATTCCTATGCCCCACAAATAACCCAGAGATGCATTTTGTCACCTATGAATAAGACTGTTGTGTCTTTATTCTTTTAGGAGGGATCAAAGGGGTCTTACCAGGGATAGTAGAACATATCCCAATCTGGGCAAGCCAGACTGAATTACTTATTATCTTAAGAGAGTCTAACGAGTCTGCAACCAACTTCCTGCTGTGTAATAGGGGAATGAACTCTGCTATATGAAGACGCTTGCTAGCGCAAGTTAGGAAGGATAATAGTAATCAATAGATCCTCTCCTGTTACCCACAACATCCCTACACTTTTAGGGAGCAGAAACGAGCCCACCGTGTAAAGGTAACATTTAGATTTGTTGCTCCATCCTCCATTGCACCTGAGGTTCCAACATTGCAAGGGGGCTGGACTCCAGGACCCTCAGGGGTCCCGTCTGGACTAAGGATTCTGAGCTCCTGTGCTCTGATTCGATACATGATGCCCAGTCACAGAACATTTCAGGATTTGGGCCTCTGCCATTGGCCCCATTGAACTCTTGAGTCCTGATTTGCAGCTTGGAAGTTTAGACAGCCAATCACATTGGGAGTGGGAGTGGCCCAGGATTTCAGGAGTGTATATAAGCCAGTGATGGCCAATCTTGGCCCTCCAACTGTTTTGGGACTACAGTTCCCATCATCCCTGACCACTGGTCCTGTTAGCTAGGGATGATGGGAGTTGTAGTCCCAAAACAGCTGGAGGGCCAAGTTTGGCCATCACTGATGTAAGCAGTTGCTCTGCCCCTGTTTCCCAGTTATGCAGTTCAATAAAGGTTCTTGCTGTTGTCTCTGTGTCTTGCCTCATGGCAACCCAACTACACCTTACTGGTGATGAAGCTGGGATGCTAGGCTAGGTTATCTCCCACTTGGACTACTGCAATGCGCTCTACATGGGGCTACCTTTGAAGGTGACTCGGAAACTGAATTACAGTGGTACCTCGGGTTACATTCACTTCAGGTTACAGACTCCGCTAACCCAGAAATAGTACCTCGGGTTAAGAACTTTGCTTCAGGATGAGAACAGAAATCGTGCTCCGGTGGCGCTGCAGCAGCAGGAGGCCCCATTAGCTAAAGTGGTGCTTCAGGTTAAGAACAGTTTCAGGTTAAGAACGGACCTCCAGAACGAATTAAGTACTTAGTACAGAGTAAGTACAAAGTAAATTAAGTACAGAGGTACCACTGTAATCCAGAATGCAGCAGCTAGACTGGTTACGGGGAGTGGCCGCCAATACCATATAACACCGGTCCTGAAAAATCTTCATTGGCTCCCAGTACATTTCCGAGCACAATTCAAAGTGTTGGTGCTGACCTTGAAAGCCCTAAACGGCCTTGGTCCTGTATACCTGAAGGAGCATCTCCACCCCCATCGTTCAGCCCGGACACTGAGGTCCAGTGCCGAGGGCCTTCTTGCGCTTCCCTCCTTGTGAGAAGTGAGGTTACATGGAACCAGGCAGAGGGCCTTCTCAGTAGCGGCACCTGCCCTGTGGAACACCCTCCCAGCAGATGTCAAGGCAATAAACAACTATTTTACTTTTAAAAGACAACTGAGGGTGGCCCTGTTTAGGGAAGTTTTTAATGTCTGACGCTGTATTGTTTTTAATATTCAGTTGGAAGCCGCCCAGAGTGGCTGGGGAAACCCAGCCAGATGGGTAGGGTATAAATAATAAATTATTATTATTATTATTATTATTATTATTATTATTATTATTATGCACCAGCTAGCTTCCACGAGCTGAAATCCCCAGGGCCAACCTGAGGAGTTTGACACCATGGGACCACATCACCCGGCTGGAATTTTTCCTGCAAAGTGGTGGCTCCACCTTCACTTCACCTTCCACTCTGCAGAGGGGAATCAACTGTAGAATCATTTTACGATTCTAATGCCTGACTCCGTCCAAGGCGGCTTCCTAAGCTGCGCAGTCAAGCCAGAAGCGATTTGAAAGCTTCTCCAGAGTCAACGCCTTGTTTCAAACATGCAGAAGACACACATTTCAATTGGCAGATTTCGAACTGAGAGGACGGGCAGCTACTGGCAGACCTTACCTGGTGTGAGTTCATAACCGACTTGCTTATTTGGTGAGATGATCGTTGGAACCGTTGCCTTGTCTGGAGGCCCTGCCGACAGAATAGGATCGTGATTATTTACTTGCCCTTCAGCCTAGGGAAGGTTATGGCATCAAAAAACAATATTTAAAATAAATAAAGCAAGCAAATGGTGGGTCCTGAAAACATGCAGATCCTATGTTAGAAGCATAGCTGTCAACTTACAGATTTGAAAATAAGGGACCAGCAGCCTCAAAAATAAGGGACCAGCAGCCTCAAAAATAAGGGATCAGCAGCCAAAATAAGGGATTTTTCATGCTCAGGTATGTTCAACTTCTGAGCCCCTCCGAGCCAAAGGCAGAAAGCCCAGCCAGCAGCCAAACGAAGCCTCAAGCGGTGGTTCCCACAGCGCAGCAACCCGGCAAAGGGGATGCAGCAAGGAAAACCACCGTCACCTCTCCGCTGGGAAGCGCTGAGCAAAGGCGAGTCCCCAGGCAACGCGGCCGATTTGATCGGCACAAGGCATGCAAGCTCCACCCCCCAGTCGTTCTTAGACTCCTTACTGGCTGAGCAACGCAGCCAAGCAACACAGTTGGAGCCTCCCTCCTCCCTGGCTGGCAGGGAGGGAGGGAGAGGAGCTGCTTCCTTTGAAACCCGGGAAATTTACGGGACATCATCAATAAGGGACAGCAGCCGGACACTGCGCTGGGATAAGGGACTTTCCCGCCAAATAAGGGACGGTTGACAGCTATGGTCAGAAGTCAGGTCTTCAGCATCTTCTGGAAGCCGTGCAATGAAGGCGCCTCTGTGGAGAGGAAGTCCCACAGATTTGGGGCTGCCACGGAGAAAGCCCTCTCCCCTGGGGCACCTTCACCCCAAACCTCTGACTGCTACCAAGAGGGCCCCTTCCATCAATCTCAAGAAGGTCCATAGGGAAGGAGGCAGCTTCTCAAGTGTTTGGGGCCTGAGTCGTAGAATGGGATGGAACAAAGGGGAAAGTTTGTTTGGCAAGGGTTTATTCGCGGGAAAATTAAACTGTACTTCTTGAGTTTCTGCAGACCTTGAAGAAACTGCTTGGAGCAAAGGCTGGATTCTGTGCCCCAAGGGAACAATCGCTAGGCCCTCCAGCCTCGAGCCTCAGGGCTGTCTCTGAGGTACACTCAGGCATCAGCCCAACATGAATGGCTCTGGCAGGCAGTAACTCAGAAAACACGTGTGCCTTTAAGAACTGCCTGAGGCAGGCTCACGTCTCCCAGCATCCTGCAACATCTGAATGAACTTTCTGAGGGCAAGAACTGCTCCACAGTGGAACGGATTCCCTTGGAAGGAGGTGGACTCTCCTTCCGCGGAGGTTGTTGAGCAGAGGTTGGATTCTTCAGCTGCAACTCGGGCACTGCAGGGGGTTCAACTAGCGTATTTTTTGCTCTATAAGAAGCACCTGACCATAAGATGCACCTAGTTTTTAGAGGAAGAAAGCAAGAAAAAAGCTCCCTGTCCCAATTTGACAGAGCGCGCAAGGGAGAAAGATCCCCCTCCGCGCTGGCTCCTGGCTGCTCTCATGCAAGTCACAGAGCCCCTTGGATGCAGGGAACTCTGAAGAGTGTTCTAAAGCCCTCTTCCCCTGCCTCTCCTCTCCCCACCCCCTCGCACGGGCGGGGGATGCTTGCACGAGCGACGTGCCAGGCCCCGTTGCTCCAGGAACCAAAGTCCCCAGCTCCGCCGCTGCCAGGGACCACACATTTGCTCCATAAGACGCACAGAGATTTCCCCTTACTTTTTAGGAGGAAAAACATGCGTCTTATGGAGCGAAAAATACGGTAGGTGTCCCTTGGCAGGGGCATAGGAAGGGGGGCGGTGGGGGCGGGGTGTCCTGGGTGGCATCCATGAGGGGTGACAAAATCCCTTTTGGGTGCTGATCACCATGCCGATCGCCCCCCTGGACGCCGATCGTCACACCAATTGCCCTAATGGGTGGCAATTGCCACGCCAATCGCCCCCAATGGGCGCCAATCACCCGCCTGGGTGCACAGCATGTGTGCTGCTCCGGGGGCCCGAGTCGCTAGCTCCGCCGTTGTCCCTCGGGTTCCTTCCAACTCTACAATTCTATGAAATATCCAAATATCTCGTCAGCGCAAGGATTTGTGGTTGTGCATGGGAACATCCCCTCCTCTCCCCACCATGTACACCCCCCCCAAAATCTCTTCTGGGGGTTCCCCTGAACCCCCCCGGAACAGATCTGGGAAGCAGGAGGAAAGTGCTTAAATTCCTGCAGCGGTGGAAGAAGTTAGTGCCGCACCAGATATAGCCCATAATGCTTTCCCTCCATTATCATGGAAGTTTTCGAACCTGGCCCGGCTCACTCTCCAAAAATTGCAACCTCTGCAAAGCGCAGGTGTTTTTAAGTATCCTGTCATGCTTCAGGGCTTGGATGAAGCAGATATTTGTAATGACATGGATTTGACAAGCCTGCTCTCCTCGTGACAGAGCAAAGCACTCTTGAGCTGAGGGGGCAGTGGAGGAGGGAGAAGGTGCTTCCAAGAGAGGACACCAGGACACAAATCCCACCCCAGCAGCTCAAAATGTGGGTTATTTTCTTAGGAAACTTTTTTTTTAAAGCAATGCTTTCTGCTTTTGTCTTGTTTTTCCAAAAGCCATTTTCGAGGTGCCCTGAAAGAACCTCCTGTGGCTCTTACAAGAAATCTCAGGGCAACCATAACACCTCTTCTTTGTTCTAACCAGTGACAGTATTTATTCGGATAGTGGTATCACTGGGTCTGTTGCTTTAGAATCACAGAATTATAGAGCTGAAAGGGACCCCAAGTGCCATCTAGACCAACCCCCTGCAATGCAGGAATCACAACGAAAGAGTCCATGACACATGGCCATCCCACCTCTGCTTAAAAACCTCCAGTGAATGAGAGTCCACAACTTCCTGAGGGAGTTTGTTCCACTGTCAAACAGTTCTTACCACCAGAAAGTTCCCCCTGAAGTTTAGTCGGAATCTCCTTTCTTGTAACCTGAAGCCATGGGTTCGAGGCCTCCCCTCTAGAGCAGGAGAAAACAAGCTTGCTGCATCTTCCATGGGAGAGTTCTTTAGCTATATCTCCTGTGTGTCTCCTCTTCTCCAGGTGAAACATACCCAGCTCCTTCAACCGTTCCTCATCAGGCTTGGTTTCTAGACCCTTGATCATCTCAGTTGCCCTCCTTTGCACGCGTTCCAGCTTGTCAACATCCTTCTTACATTGTGGCACCCAGAACTGGACACTGGACTCCGGGTGTGGTCTGACCAAGGCAGAATAGAGTGGGACTATGACTTCCCTTGATCTGGGGGGATCCCTATCCTGAGGAATTTACAATCTAGGTTAACTAAGGGATGGGTAGGTGACAAAATGAGTCAGTTCCCAGAAGGGAGGACAGCAAGGAGGGAACCAGCCTAACTGAGGTCCAGCGTCGAGGGCCTTCTGGCAGTTCCCTCGCTGTGAGAAGCCAAGTTACAGGGAACCAGGCAGAGGGCCTTCTCGGTGGTGGCACCTGCCCTGTGGAATGCCCTCCACAGGCGCAGGTCAATTCTGTGTCCAGGGCAGCTGTCTACCAGCTCCATCTAGTATGCAGGATGAGACCCTCCCTGCCTACAGATTGTCTTACCAGAGTGGTGCATGCTCTAGTTATCTCCCACATGGACTACTGCAATGTGCTCTTCGTGGGGCTACCTTTGAAGGTGACCCGGAAACTACAACTAATCCGGAATGCGGCAGCTAGACTGGGGACTGGGAGCGGCCGCTGGGACCACATAACACCGGTCTTGAAAGACCTACATTGGCTCCCAGTACGTTTCCAAGCACAATTCAAAGTGTTGGTGCTGACCTTGAAAGCCCTAAACGGCCTCAGCCCAGTAGACCTGAAGGAGCGTCTCCACCCCCATTGTTCTGCCTGGACACTGAGGTCCAGCTCTGAAGGCCTTCTGGCAGTTCCTTCCCTGCGAGAAGTGAAGTTACAGGGAACCAGGCAGAGGGCCTTCTCGGTAGTGGCGCCCGCCCTGTGGAACGCCCTCCCACCAGATGTCAAAGAGAAAAACAACTACCAAACATTTAGAAGACATCTGAAGGCAGCCCCTTTTTAATGTTTAATAGGTTCTTGTGTTTTAATATTCCATTGGAAGCCGCCCAGAGCAGCTGGAGAAACCCCGCCAGATGGGTGGGGTATAAATAAATAAATAAATAACAACAACAATAATTAACTTCCCTAGGCAGGGAGTTCCAAAGTTGCCTGGGAGCAGCCACCACCAAGAAGGCCCTCTCACCATGTTCTCACCATGCATCCCTGTGAGGGTGGCAGGGGTGAGAGAAGGGGCTCCCCCTGAAGATCTCAGAGCCCAGGCAGGTTCATATGGGGAAATGTGATAGCTTGGGCATGAGTCGTCCAGAGCTTTATGAGCTAGAAACCAGATGCACATCAATAATACCTCAATTGATGCCCCCTGCCTCCCTTTGTCCCTCGATTCTCCTTACCTACCACCTTGACCCTCAAAGTCCGTGTGAGGTTGAAATCCCGGCCGTTCTCCTTGTAGCTCACGACACAGGTGTAGTCGGCCTGGTACGCCTCACGGACGAAGCCAAAGGTCAGGTTGATGCCTCGGGGGTATCGCTCGTTGAAATTATCCATGAGTTTGCAGTTCTGCAGGAAACGGGGATAAGGCACATTCACTCACAGCCTCTGCATGCAGAAGAGGCACATCTGCTAAGCACACAAGATGGACATCCTCCGAGAAGAGGAAGGTTGGAACCCAGGATCCGGAAGCAGCACTCGCTCAAGACCGGGCAGCCCCTAGCCGGAAACTCACAATTTCAGAAGCTGTCATCTCCATTTGTAACATTTTGCCACCAAAACTACGAAAACTAAGAATATAAGAAGAGTGTGACGGATCTGGGCAATGGTCCATCTAGTTCAGCATCCTTTCCTGATGTTACCCAACCAGATGTTTGACCAAAGTGCGGGAGGCAGTGGAAGACAGGAGTGCCTGGCGTGCTCTGGTCCAGGGGGTCAGGAAGAGTCGGACATGACTAAACGACTAAACAACAACCAACAATTCAGACACAGCAAGATTGGGACTAGATGGGCCATGGCCTGATCCAGCAGGACTCTTCTTACGTTCTCATGCTTGCTATGTTCTTTGCAAATTCTGTAATTGTGATTTCCTGAGAATTTCTCTCTGCCTTTTGAAATGAGCAAGGACAGGAAAAGGCACACGCTAAAATTAATCTGCAACTCCAGATGGGAATCACCAGATGTGACAATCACACATGTGGGTTTTTCACTCCACATAGGAATGGACAGGAATCTATTTTCATTCCTCTTCTTCCAATCTTAGATTCCGTTCCTCACATCTTCACATTGCAATTTTTTTGCAATTAGAAAAAAATAAAAGACCTCACTAAAGTTTGAAGCATTTTGGTGGACATTGCTCTAAACATGTGGGGGTTTTTTTGGCAAGTAGTATAATGCATTTTGGCAAACATGCACTTCCATATAATTTTGCATACACACCCTTTCCCCCCCAAAAAAACCATTTTAAAATATATTTCTGGTTGGAGCACTGCACTGCAAAATTCAGAGAACTGTGAAGAACCGTGGAGGCAGAGCAAATCCATCAGGGCCAGTAGGCTTCAATAACCTTAGACTCATCCACAAATTTGTCAAATCCTCTTTCAAAGCCATTTTTGTTGGTCGTCAACACTGCGTTCCTGCAGGATGGAGTTCCACAGTTTAACTGCACACTCTGTGAAGGATTTTCTTTCATCTTCTCTGAGTCTTCTGAGGTTCATTGCATGTCCAGGAGTTCTAGTGTTAAGGGACTAGAGGAGAGAAAGCGTCCCTTGTCAAGGTGCCCAACATATTCTCAAATGGCACGATGGCAGGGAGGCAGAAACAGAGTTGCTGTGCGGTAAAAATCCGAGGCTTCTGAGTTTGGCAGCTGAGCTAAGCCACTTCCTTCATGTGCCATACCTCTTTTTATGGTTCCTTTGAAGGGAGTCAAGAAGGGAGGAAGGGAATAGCTCAGGTGAACCATCTTCCCGATCACAGAAGGTTGGCAATCCACAATTTTGCAGCAATTATTCCTCTGTGGCCCCTTTCCAGATCACGTCCACCTCCACATGGCAAGGGGAGACAGTGGCAATATACCATTTCTGACGAAGTCTTATTAGCGGGGACGAGCAATCTACCATCTGCAAAAAAATTGTTTCCAGAGAGGGTTCGGTTTCATTTTGCTAATTGACGGTTGGGATCTGAATTTTAATGGACCAGCTCCTGAAGCCAAATAAAGGCGATTGCTCTTAGCCCAGAAGAAAAGGGGTATTGATCAAAGGGACAGGAGTCTTCCAGCTCCGCTGCTGGAGCCATGAATTGCATTTCCACAGAGAGGGCATCTGAGTGTGAAGAGTATTTGGTCTCAGGGAGGTGGGGGGTGGGGAGAATGCCCTCCCCTCAGAAGCTGACCCACAGAGCGAAGGATGAGCAAAGCTCTCAATTTACCGGGATTCAAAACTGTATCTAACAAAATTCCACCTGCAGAATGCTGAAACATAAGTGACTACTGCACCTGATCCTCATTTAAGAATATTTTTTTCTGCTCTTTTTTTCATGCTTTAATCCACTTCTGCTACTCAATGAGCTATAGACAAGGGTCGTTTTGGAATAGATAAGGGAACTGCAGAATTGCATGAAGTTTGGAACCCCTCCCAAACTCCAGAGTGGATTGCAAAACCTGGAATGTATTTCGTGATCCACAAAGGTCATTAGAGAGCCCCTAAAATAGGATACAAAGTGGGGGGGGGTCTCTGGAAGTAGCAGGGGGAGAAAAGCACACCACCTGCTTCTTGCCTCGCAGAACCGCTGGGGGACAAAGGGGTTGTGGCCCCTTCCAAGTGCATGAATGGCTTACTTGCAAGTGACCAGGTGAGAGCCTGGAGCGAAACACATTCCTCGCTTTGCATTTGAAGTTTTACTGCTCTTATCACTTTCAAAGCAATTTCCTTGGGTCAGACATGTTTGTATGTAGGATTCCGAGTTGTCACACGATATCCAATTATGAGTAAATGCCTGGGATCACAGGATCAAGTCCCTCAATTTTGTTCACTCAATTAGACGAAATAGTTTTAATTGGATTTTGAACAAATGTGCAATTAATTGTTACTGCTTTGAGTTTTGTTGGGTTACTATCTTCCTTAGATGGTCGTGAAAACCACTATTCTGAAAAATGCTCAATCCATAGAGCATGAGACTCAATCTCAGGGTTGTGGATTTGAGTCCCACACTGGCTAAAGGATTCCTGCCTTGCAGAGAGTGGAACTAGATTACTCTTGTGGTCCCTGCCAACACTATAAGAATTTTATGATTCTTACAGGGTCAGGGGCTCTGGGAATGAGTTTATGTAACCAAGGGGGCAGAGGTCCAAAATGGTTCGGGAACCACTGATGTAGAGCAAAACCGAAACATGGCTTTTAGCAGTACTGTGAACAGCCCGGCAACATGACAAGTAATTTGAGCACGGCTTCAATTGCCTATGATTGTGAGTTGGCATCTGTCTCGAGAGGCAATGAAGGAGTGAAGTCAAACTGCTGGAAAATTGCAGCGTCTGCTGTGGCTGTAGAGACCGATATAGGAGAGACATGTTTTGTTGCAGCTGGGGCAGAAGACGTGCAGTTATGCTGATGCAGATGATGTTTCTTCTCTCTGTGCTCCTCCCAATAGACATTCTGTAGAGTATGGTGGTTATAGGATTAACCTTCTTGTGTTCTGCTCTGGGGGGAGGAGCATCTACAAGACACTGTTCTGTTCGTCACAGGTCTTTGTTCTGTGATTTGCTTTCGGTTTTAGACTAAGCGTGCTCTTAGCACGGAGACGATGTCTGAATGTTTGGATGGCGGATTTACTGCTGGTAAATAAACGCTTTTAGCTAAAGAAAGCCGCCTCTGGACTATTTCACTTCCTCTGCTCTTACACGAAGGCAAGACTGCTGCATCTCTGCTAATTTTCCTGCCTAGGTCGTTATTCCTCAGAGTATACACAGGGGAAACGGCTGGACGGAGGAAGACATAAATCTGCAAACATTCCTCCTCTGGTCACCTCTGCGGACTGTCTGTCTCCATGCACTGTGATTGTCTGCAAGAGAATTCCCACCTGGCAGGTTGATGCTTCCAACCTTCAGGTCATGTTTGTGGGCATGTTTCGTCCGCCAACGGGTCTGGTGCCAGCTCCCCATTGAGGACGTCCTTGAGGATCTTGCCAACTTCCATTCTGTGGACGTGACCAAGTCAGCAAGACGTCACTATGTAGGGACACAGGTGGTGCTGTGGTCTAAACCACTGAGCCTTTTGGGCTTGCCGATCGGACGGTCGGTGGTTCAAATCCCCACAAAGAGGTGAGCTCCCGCTGCTCTGTCCCAGCTCCTGCCAACCTAGCAGTTCAAAAGCACACCAGTGCGAGTAGATAAATAGGTATCGCTATGGCGGGAAGGTAGACGACGTTTCCGTGCACTCTGGTTTCCATCACGGTGTCCTGTTGCACCAGAAGCAGTTTAGTCAAGCTGGCCACATGATCCAAAAAGGTCTCTGTGGACAAACGCTGGCTCCCTTGGCCTGAAAGCGAGATGAGCGCTGCAACCCCATAGTCGCCATTGACTGGACTTAACCATCCAGGGGTCCTTTACCTTTACCGTACCTAGACGTCACTGAGACAGAAGTGCAAGCATGCTGGGAATGTTTGTTTGGAATTCTGCTCTGCCATCAGATTCCCAAAATCCTCGTGACACAGTCCATGCGGAAGGCATTGAGGCGTCACTCCTGGAAGCTGTGAGTTGCCCATGACTCACTTCCATAAATCAGCGTGCTCAACGTGCAGGCCTGATAAACCTTCATCTTGGTATTGGATGTTAGCATCACATTCTCCCAGACCCTTTTGCAGAAGCAAGCCATTGCTGCAGCTGCCTTGCCAATTCGCTTGTGCAGAGCTTCATAAATGCATACAATCAAAACCCTCTGCAAAATGAAGCCTCCAGCCCCGGGCTTCAGAGCTTACCATATACCACCAGACCTTTGGCTTGGTCCCAGCTGGATAAAACCCTTCCACATCCGGGCAGGTGAGGTTCTTGTTCGTGTAGTCCAGGTACATGAGGACTTCTTCCGGTCTGATGGCCTGGCTGACGCAGGAACCGGGGTCTTTGTCAACGACTTCCAGCGGGAAAGCCACTTTGCTGCAGTAGGTGGTGTTTCTGCATGGAAAGGAGAAAAAATAGATTTCAAGGTTCCGACCACAAGGTTAAAAGGGAAGGTTCACACTCAAAATACAAAAGGACTCACCGGTCACCCGAATATCTTTCTTGCATGTAACTGTTGAACATTTTAATGTTTTATTGAAGTGGGAACTGAGAGGATGCAGTGATGAGATAGAATTTTAAAAAACTGTAGCATTGGAAGAGACCCAAAGGGTCATTTGGTCCAACCCGTGGGGTGTGGTGGGTGCAAAGAGAGAAGGTGGTTGAAAGAATAATTCATGAATTCCCAATTTGACCCATGAGAGCTTTCTTTCTGTTGGCAATTTTCATTTTAGACCTATATTATAATTATATTTTATCCTGGCATTCTACCTTGATGTACTTTTCTCCTGCATGCAATTTACTTTCGCTTATTTTATGTGCATTTTTTCTCAGAGATTTATCACTGCAATTAAGTTGCTAAAAATGTATAGTTATGATTATTTGCAGCAGCAGCTGTACTGAATGTGGAATTTGTACTCATTATCACATACAGTGTATATATATATATATATATATATATATATATATATGCACAAACACACACATATATATACACATACAGATACATATGTATATATACTCTGTGTGTGTGTGTGTGTGTGTGTATTTACTGAGATTTGTAAACAGCATGGAGATTCCTTGAAATACAAAGTAATCTGCAAGCTAAACAAACCAATAAATATTTGTTTGCTTCTTCATATTTATATCTGCCACTATTCCTCCCATCTGGGCCCATCACCTCCTGGCAAATAGAAGGGGAAGAAATGAAGGCAGTGAGGGATTCTACTTTCTTGGACTCTATGATCACTGCAGATGGTGACAGCAGCCACGAAATTAAAAGACGCCTGCTTCTTGGGAGAAAAGCAACGACAAACCTAGACAGCATCTTAAAAAGCAGAGACATCACCTTGCCAACCAAGTTCCGTATAGTTAAAGCTATGGTTTTCCCAGTAGTTATGTATGGAAGTGAGAGCTGGACCATCAAGAAGGCTGGTCGCCAAAGAATGGATGCTTTTGAATTCTGGTGCTGGAGGAGACTCTTGAGAGTCCCATGGACTGCAAGAAGATCAAACCTCTCCATTCTGAAGGAAATCAGCCCTGAGTGCTCACTGGAAGGACAGATCGTGAAGCTGAGGCTCCAAGACTTTGGCCACCTCCTGAGAAGAGAAGACTCCCAGGAAAAGACCCTGATGTTGGGAAAGATGGAGGGCACAAGGAGAAGGGGACGACAGAGGACGAGATGGTGGGACAGTGTTCTCGAGGCTACCAGCATGAGTTTGACCAAACTGTGGGAGGCAGTGGAAGACAGGAGTGCCTGGCGTGCTCTGGTCTAGGGGGTCACAAAGAGGCGGACACGACTAAACGACAATTTCCTCTCAAGCAGAACACAAAGCGGCTGTAAGAATTTTCTAAACAATCATGGAAAAGGGCAAGACAGATGATCGGATGACCCAAACACCCTCGTTCTTCCAACCTTAAAACCCCTCCCTACAAGCATGGCCCCCTCTCTATCGGCTTCCTTACCTGAGCATGCAGGTGTAGTTCCCGGTGTCGTTGAGCAGAGCGGGGCGGAACCAGAGGGTGTCCTTCTCCTTGCTGATGTGGTTGTCGGGGAGGCGGAAATTGATGGGCTCCTCAATGTCCTGGCCTCGCCCAATCCAGTACCAGATCAGGGTGAGGCCCGCGGAGTGGGCGGTGCTGTAGTTGTACTTCAGGAAGGCTTCAAAGAGAGGACACTTGATTTTGGCCGGCTCCCCGTTGTAGACCGGCTTGTGCTTCATGGTGTCCACGCCCCAGTCGTCGCAGCGCTCTAGGGGGGCAGGGAGACAAATTTGCAGTCACCGGCACTCGGCTTAACCTGCCTCACAGGGTTGTTATGAAGGTAAACGGAGAAAGAATGCTGCTTGCCAAATTGCTGGGATAAAAATATAATTTTTTTAAAGGATACTTGCAAAACCATATCGAAAAATCAGAACTCCTATTAGAATGAACAACTTCCGTTTTAAATACTGGAATACTAAAGAAGATGGATAACAATGTGTAATAGAAAAAGAAGCATGAAATTAGGTTAAAGGTGTGTGAAAGAAAGTAAAAGAAGTGGAAAGAAACTGCAGTTGAGTAGATTGGAAGTCTGACACAAAGGTGGGGTGAGGGGCGGTGGATGGTGATGGGAAAAGGAATTATCTGTGGGACTGAGTGTAGGTATGTTTGAACATTTTTAAGGATTGTATGAAATGTATGTTTGTATGCTTGTATATTCGCAATATGTGTGTATTAATGCTGAATTATTTTAACAATAAAAACATATATATATATATATATATATATAATTTTTTAATTTTTTATTATGCAATATTCAGGACCATTCCATGAAGATGACTGGGTGCAGGGTTCTTTCTTGCCCCTTTACATGCTTAGAAAGCTGAAGTATAGAATCATAGAATTTTAGAGTTGAAAGGGACCATGAGGGTCATCTAGTCCAACCCGATGCAACACAAGAATCTTTTGCCCAACAAGGGGCTCAAATCCACGACCTTGAGACTAAGAGTCTCATGCTCAACCAACTAATGCTAATCAGTTTTTGTATTTTAACTTTAGGATGTTTTAAAATACTGTTGAAATAAATTGCAGTAGCCGTGTTGGTCTGATGCAGTCGAAATAAATAAATAAAATTTAAAAAATTGTCCAGTAGCACCTTAGAGACCAACTAAGTTTGTTCTGGGTCTAAGCTTTCGTGTGCATGCACACTTCTTCAGGTACACTGAAACAGAAGTCACCAGACCTATATATATAGTGGGAGGGTGGGGTGGGGTTTTAGGAGATGGGTGGTTGACTCAATGGGTATAGTCAAACTGTTGACAACTGTTAATGTCTGCAATTAGTCCTACAGGAAAATATGTAAAATACTGTTGTATTTTTTCTCCTTGAGCTTATTGCTTTTGCTTACTCTAAGGCGCTTTGACACTTTTTTTCTTAAGCAATCCACCAGTGTGCAAATTTTATTAAACAAAATAATTTTATAAAAATGCATTTAATTTATCGACTATGTAAGTGCAGGAATGGCACTGAGGCAGAGGGCTCAAACACCTTACCCATTGCAAAATCAAAATGGTTTAAGCCAAGTGGTACAGAGAATCGGCCACTTGCTGAGGGGTATAAAACGGCCATATGTCCGGGGGAGGAAACAAAATGATCAAAAAAAGACACAGGTCAGAAAAGATTCTGTACACTTTCCTGGGCAGAAATGCAATTCTTATTTCCCTCTATCCTTATAACTGCCCCATTCTGAGATTTGCACTGCTAAACCAATTTTAGGGAAGCTTTTAATGTTTAATAGGTTATTGTATTTTAGTGTTTTGTTGGAAGCCGCCCAGAGTGGCTGGGGAAATGGGCGGGGTATAAATAATAATAATGGGTGGGGTATAAATAATAAATTATTATTATTATTATTATTATTATTATTATTATTTTCCAGTCTGCAAAATAATCTAGCATCCCCAGATTGCTATATTCATACACAAGAGCCTTTGGGTGAAGTACTTTGTCCAAACATCTCCCAGAAATCAACATGAAGTCGGATCGCGGGTTTGGACCCTGTGGAACAGCAGGAATCGTTCCGAGATCTGGCAAGACGTCCGGCAGCAGTCGCTGGCAACCGTTGCGCGTGTGTAGATTTAATTCCACGTCTAATTTACCGTGGCCGAATGTTGTCTGTCACACTCGGGGAGCATATTTATGCATTTGTCTAGCCTGTCTCTCCCTCCCGGGATTCTCAATTTACATGTTAATAAGTCTTATCTTGCAGAGGTTTGGATCTGGGGCACAATGCCATTCACGGAGCTCCCAGTTCAGAATAGCGCAGGGTCTAATCTTGTTACCAAATGGGTGGAAGGAAGCAGGATTCAGAGAAGCATAGAATCATGCCCGTTATGGAAAATAAAGTCCGTGCGGTTCTTGACTCTGTCCTGAATCTCCCAACTGTTGGGTGTTTTGTTGTGGATGCCCACAAATTCTACAGTTATAAGAAAGGGGGATGAGGCGTTCCCAAAGTAAAGGAAGGATTGAACTCTGATTAATAAGAATACACACAGAGGCTTGAACCAGCAAGACTCTGGGAAGGCTGCGTATAATAATCTCTGTCCCTCCAGCCCCTGGCCCAGGTCATTCTATTCACAAAAGAGCTTTTTACAGAGTGTTCGTAAGAACCAATCAGATTTCTTCTGAGCATTTCAACAAACCCCACGTGGGGACAAAGTTAAACTACCAAAACTAATTAAGCATGGGGTAAACAAAACAGAACTACAAAGGAGTGCATTTGGCAACCCCTGAGGTCATAAACAAGCAATACACATGATAAGAAGGATGGCCAGGAGGACAGCGATCACCAGGTGAGATCTGTTTCCTGGCCCTAAGATTAACATCCTAAGATTAACATATCAGAAAAGCTACATTAAAGAAACTTGCTCACTGTCTTTGATGGCCCAGGATGCCTGCCTGGCTAAGCAACTGGGCTGTGTACGTGACTTGTCAAGCAAGAGAAATGGGCAGTAGAGGAAATGGCCAGAGATGCAGAGGGTTGCGGGATTTGATCAGAAATTATTGTCAACGTATCAAACCCAGTCAACACAATGCATTCATCATGGACACAATGTCTTGATGCATATTTTATAATTCCTCATAGTAATCCCACCTGACCCCACACTCTGGATATTTGCACTCCTACAGGGGGACACACACATTTTTCTGCTTGCTTTCGTCACACCATGTATAATCCTATACTTTTCTATTTTCATTCAAATCTAGATGAGATGGGCCCTTGGCAGTTCAATCCTTGCATACTCAAGTCACAAAAGAGAGATACGGTCAGCCTACAGCAACTTTCACATCAGAATTTTATTTATTTCTAAGAATAAAATGCACAAAGAGGGATAGTTCAGTCATTAGAGCATGAGACTCTTAACCTCAGAGTCAGGGGTTCAAGCCCCACATTGGGCAAAAGATTCCTGCGTTGCAGGGGGTTGGACTAGATGACCCTTGTGGTCCCCTCCAACTTTTATGATCCAATGAAAATGTTTCCGACAATCAATTTTGCCATTTCCACAAACTCACAGAGCTTGCTTTGCCATTCTAATAATGATGGTCTTTTTTCCCCTTCCAATTCTTTGCGATCAATATTCTGGCCGCTGCTGTTGCGTAAAGGAATACATTTTTTGACGGCAATCATTAGAGGCCATTCAAATCAAAGAATAATTAAAGAGTGGGATGGAGTGAAGGAATATATAAAAAATATGGTTCCAGAACTGGAATATTAATAGATAATGTGTAAAACATGCAGGGGTAAGCAAGGAAATAATAAAAGAATCAATTGAATAATTATTAAACTACAACAAGAAGATGGAAGAAGTTTAAAAAAAAAATATTGAGATCACACATGGGTGAAGGGGAGAGGGGGGTATAGGGGAATTTATAAAAATTTCTAATAGAATATTTCTACTTGCGTTGCATTTATATATAGCAAAGGGAAGTCTATAGCAATTAGGTATATTTTAATCTAGTCACATATGTACAGTGGTACCTCTGGATGTGAATGGGATCCGTTCCGGAGCCCTGTTCGCATCCTGAAGCAAACACAACCCGCATCTGTGCGTGCAAGACTGAGAGGAGATATAATAATAATAATACAGTCATACCTTGGGTTAAAGCAGCTTCATGTTAAGTATTTCCCAGTTGCGCTCTGTGGTGACCCGGAAGTAATGGAGCGTGTTACTTTCGGATTTCGCCACTCACGCATGTGTAGACGCTCAAAATGACGTCATGCGCATGCGCGGAAGCAGCGGAAAGCGACCTGCGCACACGCAGACGCGCAGTCGTGTGTTACTTTCTACTCAGGATGCGAACGGGGAAAGTGCTAGGAGGAAGGCACGCTTGGCAAATCCACACCGTGATCAACTCCCACCCGGAAACCAATGTCCCCACTGTGGAAGGATGTGTGGATCCAGAATTGGCCTCCACACTCACTTACAGACTCATTGTAAAAACCGTGTTTATGGAAGACAATCTTACTCAGCTAGGAGGGATCGCCAAAGAAGAAGAAGAAGAACATATCGCTTTGTATAGTATCAGAACACTTACACACAAAACCCGCCAACCCAATAAAACATACATTAAAGCTAGACTTTCCCCAAATTCCTAGAGCTCGGCCTCACAAGAATCCCAGCGCTCTCAATTTAAAAAGAAAGGAGTCTTGCAGATGTGAGGAGTCCGCTTCTAGCAACCTCTTTAATCTCGAGCAAAGAGGCAGAAAAGCTCCCGTTGGCTTGGAACTGGCCTTGGCCCAGCGCCAAGGAGAAATCTGGCTGCGTTTTCCGTTAACACAGAGCGGGTGTTTAACCATTGTGGCCGCCTGCCCAGGGAGGAAGGAAGGAAGGAAGGAAATGGGCTCCATGACTCAGCAATGTATGAAGTCGAGGTGACGCGCAGCCCTCAAAGAGATGACTGATTCTCACAGATGTATCTTTAGCCGTCCCACCTTCCTCTGAACTCTTGCACGTTCAAGTTGGCTAACAGTAACCACCACCTTGGGCAGATTTCACATTAATAAGGGCAGTAGACAGATATCACCTTGCCAACAAAGGTCCATATAGTTAAAGCTATGGTTTTCCCAGTGGTGATGTATGGAAGTGAGAGCTGGACCATAAAGAAGGCTGATCGCCAAAGAATTGATGCTTTTGAATTCTGGTGCTGGAGGAGACTCTTGAGAGTCCCGTGGACTGCAAGAAGATCCAACCTCTCCAATCTGAAGGAAATCAGCCCTGAGTGCTCACTGGAAGGACAGATCCTGAAGCTGAGAAGAGAAGACTCCCTGGAAAAGACCCTGATGTTGGGAAAGATGGAGGGCACAAGGAGAAGGGGACGACAGAGGACGCAATGATGGGACAGTGTTCTCGAAGCTCCCAGCATGAGTTTGACCAAACTGCGGGAGGCAGTGGAAGACAGGAGTGCCTGGCGTGCTCTGGTCCAGGGGGTCACGAAGAGGCGGACCTGACTAAACAACAAAAGGAAGCAAGGGAGGGGAGAGGCACCCCTTTGCCCGAGACCATGCTGAAGAGTTGCAGCTGCCAGTCACTGGGTGACTGACATAATAAGAGGTCTGACATCATCCTAGGCAGCTTCTTGCATTCTTCTCTGCAATCGTTTCCGATTCCTAATGAAAGGATGAATCATACGCAAGGCAGATGGAGCTCATTGTATAGCAGGAAAGATCAAAGCACCCATCCACTCCCCACTCAGGAAACCGTGAAGGAGCAGGAAGGAAAATTCATTCATTCGTACACTTTCGCCATCCTGAAAGTTTAACATTGCTCAAAGTGTGCAAGGACTCCACGCGTTATGCAAGCTTTATGACACTCTTCAGAATCTCTCGATGTGGAAACGCAGATGGGTACAATTATGGTTGCCCCACATCCAAAAGGATATTGCAGAGCTGGAAAAGGTTCTGAAAAAGGCAACCAAATTGATCCAGGAGGACGGAGTGACTCCCTTACGTATGAAGAAAAGTTGCAGCATTTGGGAGTTTTCTTAAAGAGAAAAGTTGTGTCAGAGGCGATGTGATAGAAGTTTATAAAATGAAACATGGCATGGAGGAAGTGGCTATTGAAAAGTTTCCCTCCCTCTCTCATAACACCAGAACTCGTGGACGTCCAATGCAGCTGAAGGTTGGAAGATTCAAGACAGATAAAAGAAAGGAATTGTTCACATTTTGTTGTTTAGTCGTGTCCGCCTCTTCATGGCCCTTCATGAGCACTCAGGGCTGATTTCCTTCAGAATGGATGGACAACACTTCTTCACTCACATGAAAGCTAATACCCAGAACAAATTTAGTTGGTCTCTAGGGTGCTACTGGACAATTTTTTATTATTTATTTATTTATTTCGACTGTGTCAGACCAACACGGCTACCTACCCGAACCTTGCATTGCAGGGCACTGAACCCTTGGTTGTCCCTTCTAACTCTACAGTTTTATGATTCTATCCTTAGAATTTCACACTTATCTGAATTTTGCAATGCAGTTTCCTAAACAGCATTTTAATAATGCACATTTTGGGGGGAAAGTGTGCACAGAAATGGAGATAATCATAGAAATAGCATACATACAGAAATTGCTTGCAAATACATTAGTCAAGACCACATGCAAATATATATTTAATAAAGAAAAAATCGCACTAAAATGCCAATGTGTCCCCCCCCCCACTTGCAAATTGTTGCGAAATGTGGAGAATGAATGAATTTAGGACCGGAAACTTGAGAAACGAAGAGACCCAAAATTGACAGGACCTGCCATCCCTAATCCAAGCTGCAGCAAAACTCTCCCAAAGATTATCAGGCCATGAGGAAAGCAAAGAGTATCGTTGAGAGAGGATAAGTCCATTTATCTTGGACTCCCAGAGACCCATCAGTAGGAAGCCAGAATCACTCAGCGCCTGGGTAGCTTGGGAATCCCCAGAGTTGATTCCTCCTGACTGTGACAAATGGGCCTGCCAGCGGCTCTGGCTAATTGCATGCCAACATGTTCATCTCGCTCTGCTCTGGGCTCATCTGCTTCCCTCAAGGGAGCCCTTGGCCGACAAAGCCCCGAACCACCGCCCCGCTTTGCAAAAGAGGAGGGGGCAGCCTCACCTTGTGGGAATTGAGGGGGCTGCATCTCTCAGTTAGCACTCGGCTTCCGTCCTGGGCTTCACGTTTGCACGCTCAGCGCCCTCATGGCCTTTGGCAACAGGAGGGGGGTATTGGAAAAACCTATTTGGTGTTTCGCAACTTTCTGACTAGTTGCAGGACCTTAGCCAGACCTAGCAGAGTAAACACAGAATCCACGGAAACAATTGGCGACTTGGCTGCAGACAGGATAGACGAAGCAGGAACCAGGAACTTGTAGTTAGGTATTTATTATATACAGTGGACTATTTACAGGAACAGAACTCGGATCTTTTGCTAGCTCTCTGTGACACGACTCACAACTCCTACACTCACTGACACACTGAACCACTGAACCTCTGAACTCTGAACTAACACATTCCAGTTAGTAGGCCATTAATTATCACTCCCTTGAGAGAGCTTGACCAGTCAGGGAGCTGTATCCATGTCTCTGTTATCACCAGGCAGACTTACTCCTTCAGATTGCCTTCTGGCTGTCTGCCAAACCTTAAATGACTCTGTGTGAGTAGCTGCACATACAGTTTCCCAACAGGGGGTGCTTCTCTGCATCACCATGGGACAGCCTGGGTCCTTTGCCTCTGTCCATGCTCAGAGGAGCAGCTCTTGGGATCCCAGATGCCAGGCATGTCCAACTCCCAAGAGACTGCGATCTACTCACAGTATAAAAATACTGGCTGTGATCTACTCATTGTCAAAGCTGGGGAGACAAGGTTGGGGGAGGCATAGTTGTTGAGCTTTTTTTGGGGGGGCGGCAAAGCTGTTGAGCTTCTTTTTTTTGGGGGGGGTAGATATCAACCTGGTTGATATCTAGCCAACCTAACTGGAAGAGTCCGCGCCCAGAAGGAGGAGGAGTATCAAGAAGAGTGGATTAAATTTAATGATTATTTAGTTAAATATGTTAAGTTAAATTAACTGAAAACAGCTTGCAGATACTTCATTGGCTTAGGATTTTATTTATGTTAAGGGATGAATTAATATGTTTAATTTCATAATGTGAAGATCTAAGGATGTTAATGTTTAAGTTAAGTTTTATAAGAACTGTGATTTGGAAAACCGTTAAAAGGACATGCAATGAAATTCAACCAAGGGGGAAGCGAGGAAGTCACTTAACAATGTTAATAAGTGTAATTTTCAATAAGGCTATGATTTATGTTCGTTTGTCATATGTGTTTGTTTGTTTATAATGTTGTGAAAACCAATAAAAAAAAATTGAAGCAAAAAAAAGGACCCCGTGATCAACCAGGATCAGCCATGGACGCCATGCAATCGACCAGCAGATCGTGAATGACTGGTTGGACATGCCTGCCAGATACTTATTTTGCATTTTCCAGGGAAGCTCCACCTGTAGCTTCCTGCCCAAGGCCAAAGTGGGATGGGGTCACTCACCAGAGGGGCTGCCAAGGTCAAGGGCGCAGAGCCAAAGAGCTACCAGCAGGAGGCAGCGGACCTTCATCCTGCAGGGACAGAAAAACAACCACAGGGGGCAGAATGGTTATTTCGGCTATTTTGTTGTTGTTGATGATGATGATGATGTACTTATACTTATAACCCACCTTTCCCCCTGACAGGACTCAAGGCAGCTGACACATAAAAATAAGAACCACTAAAAACATAGAAAAACCAATCATTAAAATACAATTCAGCATTGATGGAGTTAAAAGCTATATACCAGGCATCCCCAAACTCAGCCCTCTAGCTGTTTTGGGACTACAACTCCCATCATCCCTAGCTAACGGGACCAGTGGTCAGGGATGATGGGGATTGTAGTCCCAAAACAGCTGGAGGGCCGAGTTTGGGGCTGCCTGCTATATACCATCTCTTTTAAAACATAGCAATAATTATAATAAATATAACACTACAACACGCCCCCATTGGCTTTTTAAAATAGTGTATTTATAGAGCAGCATCAATGCACCTGGGGTAGTCTAAAGGCAAGGCGGGCAGGTGCCTGACCCAAGAAACAGGTGCCGACAATTTAAAAATCATAATTAAAAACAGTTCAAACAGAAAATCCCTGCCCAGGCAGGGCCACAGCTGAGACTCCATCCAAAGCTGATAAAAGGCACTTCTAGCCACAGAGGCCACCTGAGCCTCAAGTGATAATGATGGTTACATAAGAAGGTCAGAAGAGGCTGCTGGATCAGGCCCATAGTCCATCTAGTCTGGCATCCTCTTCTCACAGTAGACCTGAAGGAGCGTCTACACCCCCATCGTTCTGCCCAGACACTGAGGTCCAGGGCCGAGGGTCCTCTGGCGGTTCCCTCATTGCAAGAAATGAGGTCGCAGGGAACCAGGCAGAGGGCCTTCTCGGTAGTGGCGCCTTCCCTGTGGAACGCCCTCCCACCAGATGTCAAAGAGAACAACAACTACCAGACTTTTAGAAGACATCTGAAGGCAGCCCTGTTTAGGGAAGTTTTTAATGCTTGATGCATTACTGTATTTTAATATTTTGTTGGAAGCCGCCCAGAGAGGCTGGGGAAGTCCAGCCAGATGCGCGGGGTATAAATAACAAATTATTATTATTATTATTATTATTATTATTATTACAGATGCCTGTGGGAAACCAGCAAGCAGGATTCGAGAGCAACAGCAACACTCTCCCCTCCTGTGGTTTCCACAAACTTTCATTTTGTTTTCATTTACTGTATTTCATTTATCAAATTTATATACCCAGAGGTTATAGGCTACATGAGATTCAGAAGCACTGTTGCCTCTAAATGTGGAGGTGCAGAGCACAACCATCGCGGCCAGTAGCCATTGACAGCCCTCTCCTACTCCATAAATTTGCCCAGTCTTCTTTTAAAGCCATCTAGTTTGGTGACCACCTCCTGTGGGAGGGAGTTCCACAGGTTAACTATGCGGGTTCTAGTGGAGAGGGAGAAAAACCTCCATGTCACTTAAAGGCTTTCTGGGAAACGATATATAACGAGTTAAAGAAAATGTTTAAAAACACTTTTGTTAAAAGAAACCAGAAGCCTTTTTACTGGGTATAGTAGGCGAAGACATCCCAAGAAAAGATAAAAGACTGTTCATGTACGCAACAACTGCGGCAATAATTCTTTTAGCCCCAAAATGGAAACAAGAAGAAGTACCAATGACAGAAGAGGGGCAGATGAAGAAGATGATGATGATGATAATGATAATAATAATATTTTTTTATTTATACTCCGCCCTTCCCGGTTCAAAAACCCAGTTCAGGGTGGCTAACAACAAATTTAAAACACTTTAAAACACTTAATTATAAAAGCAGCATAAAATACAGTATAAAAACATGAATAACAATTATGGACTTTGAGGAACTGGAAAACCAGGAAAACTCCACAACCAGCAAGATCAAGTATTCCAAAAAGACTGGAGTAAATTTACACAATATTTGAAAGATCATTGTAAGCAATTAACAACACTAGTAGGGTTACCCGAAGACTTGTAACGAGAATTTTTTGTACCTTTCTACATTTATTTAAATTTGGAGGTATTTTGTGATGAGTTTTATTAGAACTAGAAAAAATATAAGATGCTGTGATATAAAGGTTAACTCTGAAAGCCAAGAGGCGGGAGGGAAGGAAGTTGATAGGCCCAAAAGAGCCAAAGAGGTAAAGTGGATAATAATGATGTGATTATATATCTTTAAATGGAAAATTAATAAAAATTATTTTAAAAAAGAAAAAGAAAAACCTCCATGCCATTCAAGCGAGGAAAAGTTATGTACGTGAGCTGGAATGTGCCATTCATTCAAGGACCCCTACCAGCAATTTTCATGCGCCTTTTGCTTGCTATTCCCAGTTGGCGAGGGATGCGGGTGGCGCTGTGGTCTAAACCACAGAGCCTAGGGCTTGCCGATCGGAAGGTCGGCGGTTCGAATCCCCATGACGGGGTGAGCTCCCGTTGCTCTATCCCTGCTCCTGCCAACCTAGCAGTTCGAAAGCACACCAGCTAAGTAGATAAATAGGTACCACTCCGGCGGGAAGGTAAACGGCGTTTCTGTGCGGTGCTCTGGTTCACCAGAAGTGGCTTAGTCCTGCTGGCCACATGACCCGGAAGCTGTATGCCGGCTCCCTCGGCCAGTAAAGCGAGATGAGCGCCGCAACCCCAGAGTCGTCCGCGACTGGACTTAACTGTCAGGGGTCCTTTACCTTTTTTTTTTTTATGCAGTTGGTGAGTTTTGTCCGGGAATAATTGCAGAGAGGAAACAAAATTTAAAAATTCCTTCCAGTAGCACCTTAGAGACCAACTAAGTTTGCTATTGGTATGAGCTTTTGTGTGCATGCACACTTCTTCAGATACGAAGCACTTTGGCAAGTTATCAGGCGTTGAAACAGCTATAGGGATCTGACCGATTTATTGATAGAAATTTACATCCTGCCACCAAGGCAGCTGATAAAATATATACATGTCTTTTATACATGTGCAGACAGATTCCTATAACAATTCCATTTAAAAGGCCTATAGATGATGATGATTTAAGTATCTGAAGAAGTGTGCATGCACGCGAAAGCTCATACCAAGAACAAACTTAGTTGGTCTCTAAGGTGCTACTGGAAGGAATTTTTAAATTTTGTTTCCACTACGGCAGACCAACACGGCTACCTACCTGCAGAGAGGGAGAGAGAGATTGGGGTCCTTTTCTGCAACCCCTCCCTGACCCACCAAAGGCTCAGACCAGCCCCTCGACATCCTGCACCCCCTTCCTGGAATAAGCAGCTCTCTTGTGGTCGCTGCTGCTGGCTGGCGTGCCTTCAGATGTTCTAATGAGCTTGGCTCTCCCCTGGGGCCTCCAGATCATTAAGGAAGGAAAACAATTAGAGGAGTGCAGGCAAACTTCGTCAAGCGCCTCCGCTGCAGTACGCACCTCTGCCTCCAAAGGTGTTCAAAGACAAAGCAAAAAAGCAAAACCAGGGTTGGCGATGTAGACAGGTCAGCTGGCAGATAGGATGCCTAAAAACCCATAATTAATTAGGATCCAATGACCCAAGACACTGATCCTGCCCAGAGTTGCTTCTCAATACCAAATCAGAAATGATGGGGCCAGCCACATTTGTTTAAACATCGTCAGGGTGCATGAAATTAGTGTGGCATGAACTTTGGAACTCCCTGCCTCTTCAGATCTTGCAAGGCAGCAAAAGTTTAGGATCAGAGTTTTCCTTCTCCTAGGTGGGCCGCCTTCGCAGGCTGATGAGCCCCATCTGCCTCTGCCTGGTTCCCTGTAACCTCACTTCTCACAGGGAGGGAACCGCCAGAAGGCCCTCGGAGCTGGACCTCAGTGTCCAGGCTGAACGATGGGGGTGGAGACGCTCCTTCAGGTATACTGGACCGAGGCCATTTAGGGCTTTAAAGGTCAGCACCAACACTTTGAATTGTGCTTGGAAACGTACTGGGAGCCAATGGAGGTCTTTCAAGACCGGTGTTATATGGTCTCAGCGGCTGCTCCCAGTCACCAGTCTAGCTGCCGCATTCTGGATTAATTGTACAGTGGTACCTCGGCTTAAGTACTTAATTCGTTCCGGAGATCCGTACTTAACCTGAAACTGTTCTTAACCTAAAGCACCACTTTAGCTAATGGGGCCTCCCGCTGCCGCCATGCCACTGGAGCACGATTTCTGTTCTCATCCTGAAGCAAAGTTCTTAACCTGAAGCACTATTTCTGGCTTAGTGGAGTGTGTAACCTGAAGCGTATGTTACCTGAAGCATATGTAACCCGAGGTACCACTGTATGCCAGTACCTACCTCACTGAGGGTTTGAGGTCTATTGGCTCACCTCACCTGGCTCAGTCGGCCAGTCAAAGCCATTCCTGGGATACGGCCGCTGTCACCTGCTGACAGCTTCTAGGAGCCCCAGGTGAAATCTGAGTGCAGGATGGGGACCAAAGGTAAATATGCTACCTGAGATGGAGCACAATGTGTCCTGTATCAGAGGTACCATCCCCTCCCCTAACACCCCATACATCCCAGGTTGGAAGAAAATGCAATAAATCAATGTATATATATTTTAAACATTCTGTGACAAAGCTATTGGCTCCATTTGCCCCTTGGTTCATTAAGAGGAAGCCCCCTCAGCACCATCCACTAAGCCCCTTGGACAGAGACCATGTCAAGATCCCAAGCTGGGCCACTATCCTGTTTCTTTTTTCTTTTTCTTTTTATACAGCAAGAAAAGAAAAAAGGAAAACACAGATACCAAATTACACACAAGAATAGCAATAGATACTGAATTTTCGTAACAAAAAATGAGCCATAAATTGGTCTTAACACTAAAGACCGAACCGCCCATCTATTCCATACTTTGATTTCATATAACTTATTGCCAGTACAGTGGTACCTCAGGTTACATACGCTTCAGGTTACAGACTCTGCTAACCCAGGAATAGTACCTCGGGTTAAGAACTTTGCTTCAGGATGAGAACAGAAATCGTGCTCTGGCGGCAGTGGGCGGCCCCATTAGCTAAAGTGGTACCTCAGGTTAAGAACAGTTTCAGGTTAAGAACAGACCTCTGGAATGAATTAAGTACTTAACCCGAGGTACCACTGTACAAACTTTATCATTATTAAACTTTTTCTTAATATATCTTAATTCTTATATCTGCCTTTCCACTATTACTGAAGTTCCTCGAATGCTGCAACCGAGTTTAAACTACTATATTTATATTTCAAATATTCTTTGAAAACCTCCCATTTTGAAACAAATTCCTGTTTGGATTTATTGTTTATTTTTTCCTGATAGACCGTCTAATTCTGCATATTCTGTCAGCTTTTGGATCCAATCTTGTATACACTCTCCTGTTTCCATTTGCCAAGGATTTTCTGTCACCTCTTAGGTGGTCCTTCCCGAAGTCCCACCACTGAGTTGTCCCCTGGGCAAGGCTGAACAGCAACCTGCCACTCAACTACCGGACCCTTAGCAACGAGAGACAAATGTCGTGGCAACCAGCCCTCACTCCAAATACAGATGATCTGTTTTCATTTTGCTTTAAGCACCTACGACTGACCCGAAGGCTCCGAAGCAAACTGCAAATGGCAGACTGAAGGACCCGACCAAACCGTTTTGCACCTTTGCTATTATTAATCGTTATTATACTTGTTTATCTCCTGCAATTTTCCCCACACTAGGGCTCAAGGCGGCTCAGACAAATTAAAACAATGCAGATAAAACTGAAAAAGCGAAAAACATATGAAAGAAAATGGCTAAAAAAGTAATCAGACGCTGATGGAATTAAAAATAAATAACCGGTAGATTAAAATGCACGGCACTATCAAAAGCCATTTCCTTTAAAAAAACAACAACAGTCAGTTCCCAGAGGCCTGCCGAAATAAAACTGTCTTTGTTATCCCACTTTTTAACTACTATTACCCTTAATATCTGGATATTGGAGAACCACAGCAGAATCCTAAACAGTGTTGACGCAGAAGCTTGCAATGGCTCTCCTTTTATACCACATTCAGTTAATAGTTCTGTGTGCGTCACAAATTTGTATCACCAAGCAATTCTCAAAACCTGGTGGCGATGTCCAGGGAGGGCTAAAGATCCACATTATATGATATTATAAGAGGAGGTCTCCCTAAGCAGCAAAAGAGCATCGTGCAGGATCAGTATCCTGTTCTCACAGTGGCCAGCCAGCTGCTCCAGAGGGAAGTTCGGGAGTCACAGAGCCAGAATTGGAGAGCCACCAAATTAATACCCACAGTTGCCGGCTATTTGTGTATCCGTTCTTCCCAGCTATCTGGCATGGAGAAGTGGAGGGAGAAACTTTTTCATAATACTAGAACTCGTGGACATTTATTGAAGATTATTTGGGACGGATAAAAGGAAGGACTTCTTCAGGCAGCACATAATTAAACAGCGGAACTCCCTCCCACAGGAAGAATTGATGGCCACTAAGCTTGATAACTTTAAAAGAGGATGAGACAAATTAATGGAGGAGGCAAGGATTATTGATGGCTACTTGCCAGGATAGGAATGCAGGTGGCACTGTGGTCTAAACCACCGAGCCTCTTGGACTTGGTGCTCAGAAGGTCGGAGGTTCGAATCCCCGCAACGGGCTGAGCTCCTGTCACTCTGTCCCAGCTCCTGCCAACCTAGCAGTTCAAAAGCAGGAAGGTAAACAGTGTTTGTGTGCGCTCTGGTTTCCATCACGGTGTCCCATTGTGCCAGAAGCGGTTTAGTCCTGCTGGCCACATGACCCAGAAAGCTGTCTGTGGACAACGCCGGCTCCCTTGGCCTGAAAGCGAGATGGGCGCTGCAACCCCAGAGTCACCTTTGCCTGGACTTAACCATCCAGGGGTCCTTTACCTTTAACTTTTACCTTTACTTGCAAGGATGTCTCTGCTCTGCCTCCAGTGTGGTGTAGTGGTTAGGAGTGGTGGACTCGTAATCTGGTGAACCGGGTTCGCTTCCCCGTTCCTCCACCTGCAGCTGTTGGGTGACCTTGGGCCAGTCACACTTCTTTGAAGTCTCTCAGCCTCACTCACCTCACAGAGTTTTTGTTATGGGGGAGGAAGGGAAAGGAGATTGTGAGCCGCTTTGAGACTCCTTCGGGTAGTGATAAAGCGGGATATCAAATCCAAACTCTTCTTCTTCTTCTTCTGCAAATGGCGGCAGCAATGCTTCTGAATACCATCTGCTGAAAACCGCAGGAGGGGAGAGTTGTTGTTCTCGATCTCAAATCCTGCTTGCAGGTTTCCCATTGGGGCATCTGCTTGGCCACTGTGAGAACAGGATGCTGAAGTAGGTGGTTCCCCTTTGGCCTGATCCGTCAGGCTCTCCTTACATTCTTATCTGATTCAACCACACTTGAAAGAGCCTTCCGGAGATGGGAAGATAAGAACTCTGCAACGTGAACTGGCCTGTTATTGTGGGTGCAGACTGGCTGCTTGCCTTTCTCTCTGGAAATTGCAGGCATGCCCACCTCAAGATCCACCAAGGCAAGGGCGCCAACTTGTCCCCCACATTGCGGGGGCTCATCGTGAGATGCGTCGTGCCACAAGTCTTGTGAGGCCTCCCGCCTCCGGGCCAGGATGCAGGGGCACCCTGCTGGTGCGCTGGGTGGGGAATGGGGAGCATGTATCTGGGCTCCACATTCCACACATCAGGCAGGGGGCTGAAGACCCCTCAGGCTCTCCCAACCTGGAGCCCCTGCACCAAGGCCAAGGGAGAGTGCAAGTGGTGCATTGCAACATGGTTCAATGCTGTCTACAAAGCCTTCAGCATCCTTGGGAAGGGGAGGCCAACACAAGTGTTTGAAGGTGAGATCAAGGAAAAAGACATGCATATAGTTGAGCAGTTTTCTCTCTCCCAAAACCTCCTCCTCCTCTGCAGCCTCATCCACGTGGTTCAAGAGCACCTCTAATTATAGGTAAAGTCACACGCGAGACTCTGCGCACTGGGTTACAGGTCATATCAGGGCCGGGCTGTTTTCGTTCTTAGTTTTCTTGTGTTTTCCTATATCAGGGGTCGGAGACTCTTGAGAGTCCCATGGACTGCAAGAAGGTCAAACCTCTCCATTCTGAAGGAAATCAGCCCTGAGTGCTCACTGGAAGGACAGATCCTGAAGCTGAGGCTCCAAGACTTTGGCCACCTCATGAGAAGAGAAGACTCCCTGGAAAAGACCCTGATGTTGGGAAAGATGGAGGGCAGAAGGAGAAGGGGACGACAGAGGACGAGATGGTGGGACAGTGTTCTCGAAGCTACCAGCATGAGTTTGACCAAACTGTGGGAGGCAGTGGAAGACAGGAGTGCCTGATGTGCTCTGGTCCAGGGGGTCACGAAGAGGCGGACACGACTAAACGACTAAACAACAACAACATATCAGGGGTCAGCACACTTTTTCAGCAGGGGGCCGGTCCACTGTCCCTCAGACCTTGTGGGGGGCTGGACTATATTTTGAAGAAAAAAATGAACGAATTCCTATGCCCCACAAATAACCCAGAGATGCATTTTAAAGAAAAGCACACATTCTACTCATCTAAAAACACGCTGACTCCCGGACCGTCCGTGGCCCGGACTGAGAAGGCGATTGGGCCGCATCCAGCCCACGGACCTTAGGTTGCCTACCCCTGCCCTATATTGTAATTTTAGGCTGCAACTGCCCTGAGATCTATGGTTGAAGGATGGTATACAAATAATGATAATGAAATAATGAAATGCAGGGAACTGGGAGAGGGAAGGGTGGGGGGAAATGAAGAAATCACGGAAAGAGAAAACAATTTACAAAAACAGCTGACAAAAGGCGGGACAGTGGGCAGGAGGGAGGGGATTCAGGATTTAACAGATACTGGAAAAGGTCCTTCAGACCCTCCAGGAAATGGTTTTGCTTCTTACTATCGGGAACTGCAGAAAATAAGGCGATGGGGGGGGGGGGATTTGCGGAAATTGGACAATGGAGAAAATTACTGTAGCAGGAGCCATCTGGGCTCCATTGAGCGGGGAATAGAAAATGCATTCCAGGCAGCCAGATTGCTCTTCTGGGGGCGATTGGTGCCTCTGAACATCAGTTGCCGTTTTATCAGAGTTTATCGGGACCTCGGCAGGCAGATCAGGGGAACAGAGCCTGCATTGAGCCCCGGCAAGCAGAACGACAAGCTACAGCAAACAGACCTGACTGACAAGCAGCCAACCTCCCCGACATAATAGGGCATGGCCTTTCAAGGTCGTGACGGGATGACAACATTTATTTTTTATTTCTCTGGCTTAGCAGAGAGCATTGCTGACGCAGCAGTCCCAGAAACACAAAATTGCTGCTTTCAACAGGATCTACTTGCTCCTTGCTTTTGTGCTATGCAAAACTTTCCAAGTAAATAGGAAGCGCCCCTGCAAAAGCTGTGCAGCAATGGTGCCTGCTAGGGGTGAAATCACCTAAGAGACATCACCTTGCCAACAAAGATCCATATACTTAAAGCTATGGTTTTCCCAGTAGGGATGTATGGAAATGAGAGCTGGACCATAAAGAAGGCTGATCGCCGAAGAATGGATGCTTTTGAATTCTGGTGTTAGAGGAGACTCTTGAGAGTCCCATGGACTGCAAGAAGATCAAACCTCTCCATTCTGAAGGAAATCAGCCCTGAGTGCTCACTGGAAGGACAGATCCTGAAGCTGAGGCTCCAAGACTTTGGCCTCCTCATGAGAAGAGAAGACTCCCTGGAAAAGGTCCTGATGTTGGGAAAGATGGAGGGCACAAGGAGAAGGGGACGACAGAGGATGAGATGGTGGGACAGTGTTCTTGAAGCTACCAGCATGAGTTTGACCAAACTGCGGGAGGCAGTGGAAGACAGGAGTGCCTGGTGTGCTCTGGTCCAGGGGGTCACGAAGAGTCAGTCACGACTAAACGACTAAACAACAACAACAGCAACAGGGGGGAAATTCAATCCAGTTCACATTTAAAGGCAAAGCTACCTGATTTACAAACCCCCAAACGCAACCATCCGCCCAAATTAGCAATGTGCTGAATTTTGCCATGCAGTTATCAAGCCAAGCCATGTGTTCCAAAGCACATGTACCAGGGGCAATGTGTATAGAAATGCTTTTTCATCAGTGCTTGCAAAAATATGAATTACTGGGCAAAGGTGCGTACAAAAAAAAATGCATTTTAGGGGGGGAAATCACGGATTAATTTGGTGGGGAAATATACAGAACTGAACACGAGAACGGAAATATTGGAAACTGAAATTGACAGATTCACCCAAGCCTCATATTTGTTTAAGTCAAGTTAACATCCTATTCCTACCTAGTATCTCAGAATCTGCTTAGGAATTCTAAGAAACCTTCTGCAAAACAAACAAACAAGCAAACAAACAAAAATTCTAAGGAATCAGTTTTGGAATCAGCAGCTAAAATCAGTGCTGTTTTGAAAGGTTCAGTTGTGCCACCTCATTTCAGAACAGTGCCAAATTGGATTCAAATGCAGGTGCAAGCCTGCAAAATTTGGTTATGATGAGGTTTTCAAATGCAAAGCAAACAAGAAGCATTTTTTCCCGGCAATAATTTTGTTAGCCCAAAGAGGGAAACAACAGGAGTTACCAACCAAAGAAGAGTGGCAGATGAAATTGATGGACTTTGCAGAACTGGCGAAACTGACGGGAAGAATCCGGAACCAGCGAGACCAAGTATTCCAAAAAGACTGGAACAAATTTATATTCTATTTGAAAGACAACTGTAAGCAATTGACATCACTGGCAGGGTTATCTGAAGATCTGCAAGGTGAAATTGCTACCTATTCAGGTTGAATAATATAATATTTTAGGTGATGATATAAGAAGGATAGGAAACGAAGCGAAATGTAAAGATGTAAAGTTTAATTTTGTAAACCATCGGATGGAAGGGAGGGAAGTTGTTAGGCTCAGCCGAACCAATAAGAGGGTATGATGTTATGTAATGTGATTATAAGGTAAAGGGACCCCTGACCATTAGGTCCAGTCGTGACTGACTCTGGGGTTGCGACGCTCATCTTGCTTTATTGGCCGAGGGAGCCGGCGTACAGCTTCCGGGTCATGTGGCCAGCATGACTGAGCCGCTTCTGGCGAACCAGAGCAGTGCATGGAAACGCTGTCTACCTTCCCGCCGGAGTGGTACCTAGTTATCTACTTGCACTGCATGCTTTCGAACAGCTATGTGGACAGGAGCAAGGACCGAGCAACGGGAGCTCACCCCGTCGCGGGGATTCGAACCACCGACCTTGCGGTCAGCAAGCCCTAGGCTCTGTGGTGTAGACCACAGTGCCACCCGCGTCCCAATGTGATTATATGTAAAACCAATAAAAATCATTTATAAATCAAAAACAAAAAAAGCATTTTTTCCAAAATTTATAGTTGATGTTTGAGGGCAAGAGGAGGTTGAGGGACTGCAATGTGAGAATAGATGTGCTGGGCCAGATCACGAGTCCATCAAAGCCAGCATTTATTTATTTCAAAAGCAGTTAGTCAGGTGAGTGTGCCCTGTCCCAGAAGACCATTCTTATGTTCTTAATTGCTGCCAATTAAGCTGGAGGGACGAATGATCTGACTCTGCATAAAGTGGTTTCTGGTATTCCTAGAATGCAATACCAAAGTAGTGCACATACTTATTTATTTTCAGTCTTCTTTCTGTCCACACTCCCTTCCCCCACTTCACATTTCAGTAACATAAATCTAAGCCCAGGCCATTTCCCTCTATTGCATATAGCTGAAATGCATACGAATTCAAATGTTCCTCAAATTAAATGACTAGCATTTTTAAAACTAAAATAATAATAATAATAATATATGTTTTCTGTAGCTCACATTTCAGAACTGCCAATAGTGAATGACAGAATGCCCAGTCATGTAACTGGATCAAAAATACCAACAACCATTCTTCATTACTTACGCTGGAAATATCACTGCTTGACTTATTCTTTCCTAGATTTCTTTAAATGTGGGTTGTCAAACTGGTTCTTACATTAGAATTTACAGCTTGTGGAGAATATTCGCCCGAGGATTTTCTAGCAGAGAATATTCTCACCTCGCATCACTCCTCCTGCCATCCCTGACCCCTGGCATGAGCTGCCTGGGTTGAAGGGAGTTGCAGGCCAAGAATCTTCTCAAGCTCTGATACGAATGATCGCGACACTCAACAGGGTACGGGATCTGAAATATACTCGAAGTCGAGAGTGGATTTCATGCTCTTTATTCAGCTCACAGTGGTGAGGAGGAATGGAAGTTCCCCCAGAATGTCTGCTTTAAATACATTATTTACACAATGGGCCCCATGTGATTGGCTAATTCCGGGATTCTCCTGTAGGCCAATCAGGTTGCGGATTCACTTCCACCTGGAGCTGGATTGGGTGGCTCCTGTGGACGGCTGCATTCTGAATCCTATTGTTCTAGGGCCAATCAGACTGCTGCATTCTGGATCCTATTGTTCTAGGACCAATCAGACTGCTGCATTCTGAATCCTATTGTTCTAGGACCAATCAGACTGCTGCATTCTGGATCCTATTGTTCTAGGACCAATCAGACTGCTGCATTCTGGATCCTATTGTTCTAGGACCAATCAGACTGCTGCATTCTGGATCCTATTGTTCTAGGACCAATCAGGCTGCTGCATTCTGGATCCTATTGTTCTAGGGGCAATCAGACTGCTGCATTCTGGATCCTATTCAACTCAGTACATAACAGGATCCCTACTCACTGGCTCCAACAGGCAGCGCTCATGAAAATTCACCTGCCCAGCCCCGTGTGATGAAATCCTTTTCCCCACACTAGGAACAGGCTGAGTACCATCTCCCTTTTTGTGATGGACTGCGCTTCTTATGACTTACAGCCCTTCTCTAAACGCTCTATCTGAAAAGCTTTCTGCATGCAGAGCCTTGCGCTAGTAAGGACACGGAAAGGCTGGCGTGAATGTCCTTCATCAATATGTATTACCTGGAGGGAAGGAACATGCTACAATTGATCCTCCAAAGCTCTTGAGCAGCGAACACAATGCAGAGAAAGCAGCGGGAGCTGTGGAAACAGGGGGCTGCAATGCCTGGCACGGGCACAGCCATCTGGGATTCTCTCAAGCTTTCCAGCGAGAGCTTCCATCGCTTGGAACTTGACGTACCACTGCCATTTTTTCATAGAATTGTAGAGATGGGAGGGAGCCCAAAAGTCATCTAGCCCCACCCCCAGTAATGTAGAGAGCACAGCTAAGGGATCCCTGGCAGGTATAATAATAATAATAATAATAATAATAATAATAATAATAATTTATAATTTATTATTATTATTTATACCCAGCCCACCTGGCTGGGTTTCCCCAGCCACTCTGGGCGGCTTCCAACAAAACACTAAAATACAATAAACTATTAAACATTAAAAGCCTCCCTAAACAGGGCTGCCTTCAGATGTCTTCTAAAAGTTTGGTAGTTATTTTTCTCTTTGACATCTGGTGGGAGGGCGTTCCACAGGGCAGGCGCCACTACCGAGAAGGCCCTCTGCCTGGTTCCCTGTAACTTGGCTTCTCGCAGCGAGGGAACCGCCAGGAGGCCCTCAGAGCTGGACCTCAGTGTCTGGGCAGAACATGAAAGATGGAGCAGGCCTGTTTTCTTCCTGACCTGGAGGGACCCAAAGCTTCGAGTTACAAGAGAGGAGATTCTAAACATTAGGAAGACTTTTCTGACAGTACAGTGGTACCTTGGTTCTCAAACTTAATCCGTTCCGCAAGTCCGTTCCAAAACCAAAGCGTTCCAAAACCAAGGCGCACTGCTTTCCCATAGAAAGTCATGCAAAACGGATTATTCCGTCCCAGACTTCTCAAAATAATCCCTAAAACAGCAGTTTAACATGAATTTTACTCTCTGATGAGACCATTGATCCATAATATGAAAGCAGTCACACAATAATCAATCAGTAGCTGAACTGGATTCCACAGTGTCACAAAAAAGAGAGCCACAAAAACACAAAACAAATAGCAAAAACAGACAGACCTCAGCGTAACACTCAAAGCGGAAGTGTGGCACTCAAATCGGAAGCATAACACTCAAAATGGAGCATGTTCGGCTTCCAAAAAAAGTTCACAAACTGGAACACTTACTTCCGGGTTTGCAGTGTCTGGGTTCCAAGTTGTGTTTGGGGTTCTCAAGGTGTTTGAGAACCAAGGTACCACTGTACAAGCAGTTTGACAGTGGAACGGTCTCCTCTGGAGGTGGTGGACTCTCCTTCCTTGGAGGTTGTTAAGAAGAGGTTGGGTGGCCATCTGTCAGGGATGCTTGAGTTGAGATTCCTGCATTGCAGGGGGCTGGACTAGATGGCTCTTGGGGTCCCTTCCAATTCTACAGTTCTAGGATTCTATTATTCTCGGCTGATCTAGCATAGCTCTTCTTGTGTTCTCATGTCCAGAGCCATCACTAGCCTGTGCTGATTCACTCTGCCGTGTGTCATCTCCACGGGGAATTCAGAGCATCTCATAAGGTCAGATGTGATGGAACTGAGAGATGTTCTCTTCCCACCAATTCACACCTGGCAGAGAAGAAGAGCAAAGCCTGGCAAAAGCTTTCATTAACACATTTAGAAAGTCCATGGGCAGGTCTCAGAGGTCTGGAAAAACACCTTCAGTTCAGGGGAAATGCTGCAGGAGTACCGCCTGGTGACAGCCAACATTTTCCTGCTTAAACAATATCACTCAGGCTTCCTCCGGATGATTTCATTAACTGTGGTTCATTAAATTCCACGTGATGAATATCCTCCCTAATTTCTTGCAAGCCATGGGGACAGAGAAACGTCTGAGCGATCGCCCTTCTCTCGGAAAAGACTCTCCAAGTAATAAATCAGAGCGCATTTTGGGCAGATTCCAAAGCTTTTCACTTAGGAGAAACTGCTAATTTCCTCAAGGAGAGCAGGCAAGGACATGGGGTAGCCTGGTCACATGGTAGCAGCGGCAGCCAGTCGGAACAAATTCCCCAATGCAATTACATCTGCCATTTTGGCTGGGGCATTTGGCCCTTTCTGTGATGGTTGTCAGAAGGGCGGGGCGAAGAGAGAGAGAGAGAGACCATACAAAGGTTGCCAACTGACCAGAAGCCAGCCTGGCTTGCCCCTTGACCTTCTAACTGGAGCTTGAACTTCAGAATGTAGGTGAAGCTTTTCACAGCAGGGAGGTAGAAACACACAATTATGGTGTTGGAAGGGGTATCTAGCCCGATCCAAATGACCCTCCAAACTCTCTTTAAAAACTTCCAGTTCAGGAGAATCCACCATCCTCCAAGGGAGTCTGTTCTGCTGTCGAACAGTTCTTGCTATCGGAAAGCCCTTCTGAACGTTCATCCGGAATCCTTTCTTGCCAGTTTAATAATTGGTCCAACCCTTTGAAGCAGCAGAAAACAAGTTGGCTCCCTCCTTTTGCGGGAGAACTTCCCAGTGGATTAAGATCCCTTGGAGAAACGGATGAACTATGCAGAACGGGCGAAACTGACATAAAACTGCGAGATAAGAACAACTGCGACTTTAAAGAAGAATGGGAACTTTTTACAAATTACTTAAAAAGACAACAAAATGAACTGGACTCCTTGGCAGGTTTGGAATAAACACGCACAAATTTAGTGAGGGTTAACATAGTAGAGGGATGCGGGTGGCGCTGTGGGTTAAACCACCGAGCCTAGGACTTGCCGATCAGAAGGTTGGCGGTTCGAATCCCCGCGACGGGGTGAGCTCCCATTGCTCGGTCCCAGTTCCTGCCAACCTAGCAGTTCAAAAGCACGTCCAAGTGCAAGTACTTCTCCGGCGAGAAGGTAAACGGCATTTCCGTGCGCTGCTCTGGTTCGCCAGAAGCAGCTTAGTCATGCTGGCCACATGACCCAGAAGCTGTACGCCGGCTCCCTCGGCCAGTAAAGCAAGATGAGCGCTGCAACCCTAGAGTCGGCCATGACTGGACCTAATGGTCAGGGGTCCCTTTACTTTTACCTTTAACATAGTAGATAGATAATACAAGGATGTATACAATTTTACAATATGCAGAGAACAACATGAGTTGAGAAATCAGAGAGAGAAGCTGAGGTAAGTCTTGGGGGGGGGAGGGAGAGTTTGTTGGGGAGATGGGAGGGGGGAAAGGGGGGAAATAATGTTCTGATAATTTGTCATGTTGAAATTGTTAATAATTATATATATATATATATCCCTTGGAGAGATCTGCTCAGCTCCTGCTGTCCAACCCTTAACACTGCCCCCCCTCCATTGCCAAAGCAGCCATGCCACCTCGCTTCATGACAGTTCCGTTTCTGGTTCTAAATTTAGCTGCGATTTCTGCATTGCAGGGGGTTAGAATAGATGAACTTTGGGGGGCAGCCCATTCCAATTGTGCAATTCCAAGATTCTGCGGATTTCCACCAGAGCTGCCAAACCATGGCACAAACCGTTGCAGTGTCAATGTGATCTTAAACTCTGCAGTTTAAGCAAGTGTCTTGCAGAATGGAGAACTCCTCTGTCCCCCTTGATGGAGAGGGTTGAAATCCCAGTTTGTTTTAAGGTAATTGATTTAGCAGCTACCGTAGGATAAGCAATGTCCGCTGCCAGATGAAGAGGTGGAAAAAGCCTTGGCACAAAACATACAGTAAATGCAGTTTATTGCTGTGCAGAAAATAGATACTCTTGTGTTCAACCCCTGCCTTGTTTCTCTGTAGAAGACAGCGTGGAGAAGGACTGCGCTCCAAAATACTAAGTCAGCTATGACTGGTCTTTGCACATAGCTGTCAACTTACAGATTTGAAAATAAGGGACCAGCAGCCTCGAAAATAAGGGACCAGCAGCCAAAATAAGGGATTTTCCCAGCACAGGTATGTTCAGCTTCTGAGCCCCTCCGAGTCAAAGGCAGAAAGCCCAGCCAGCAGCCAAACAAAGCCTCAAGCGGTGGTTCCCACAGCGCAGCAACCCGGCAAAGGGGATGCAGCAAGGAAAACCACCATCACCTCTCCGCTGGGAAGCGCTGAGCAAAGGCGAGTCCCCAGGCAATGCGGCCGATTTGATTGACACAAGGCATGCAAGCTCCACCCCCCAGTCGTTCTTAGACTCCTGATTGAGTGAGCAACACAGCCAAGTAACACAGTTGGAGCCTCCTTCCTCCCTGATCAGCAGGGAGGGAGTGAGAGGAGCTGCTTCCTTTGAAACCCGGGAAATTTAAGGGACATCATCAATAGGGGACAGCAGTGGGACACGGCGCTGGGATAAGGGAGTTTCCCGCCAAATAAGGGACGCTTGGCAGCTGTGTCTTTGCAGCGATTCTTCACACACACACACACACACGTTCATTGGATTTGTAAATGATCAAACCCAGATTAAAAACTGCAGGAAGTGTCTTAATCAAAGTCCAGGACTTCAGGGCCCCTGTGTGAGTCACGAGGCAATCATGCAAAATAATACTGCGGCCACGAGAGTGGATGGGATTCATTTCCTACCTTTCAGAAACGCAATGCTCTGTCTGATAATGGTCTCTCTAAGGATGCCATTCTAAATGGAAATACAGTGGAAAATTGATGGGATTCATAGTATAGCTTGCTGCATCATTGGTCCTGCAAAGGTTTACAGAAAGCCTGGACAACTCCAGCCCTGAACAGTAACTTTTTACATGAGTAAAACCAAAGAAAACTGGGTCTGTGCACATCGCTCTCGGTTCGACAGGAACTCAAAGGTTACTGCTGGGTGCAAATTTCAACAGGATTTGCTCTCCCCCTTCCACTGTATGTAACACAACCCTTCTTGTACTTTGCATGGAGCCGTTTTCAAGTTTAATGTTCAGCTGTAAGGTTCCTCCTGAACTGGATCTTACCAGTTTTCCCAGTCCAGCCCCACTGACAATGTGTTTTGCAGAAATTCCACATCACTTCCCAATTCGAGACCCAGGCTGTGGGAGCGCATATGTCTGCGCATGGATCTGCTCTCTTGCTCACTCTTTACGTCTCCTCAGTAAAGTAACTAAGTGACGACTAGTGATGGAGGCACATCATCGGGGGGGGGGGGGGCAGTTCCAGGACCAGAGGGAAACCGTCAAACTCCCTTGCTGTTTTTGCTATGGTTGCCGGATTTTGCTTATGCAGTCCTGGTCTATTTAACACACAGAAATGTTGCTTTTTTGCATGTTATCATGTTTGCTATTGAGCTGTTTTGCTGTGCTGTTATGAAATTGCTTTTGCAATGCTAGGTTCTGAAGTGCACTCCTGCTTTTAAAAAATAATAATATTTTTATTAAAGATTTCTTGGTTTACAAAAATACGTGCATCGTCTCTTTTTTCAAGTTGTGTTTTCTACAGATCAGCTGCATTTGTTGTGAAACATTAGTGTTACATTAGGAAGAAAAGGGGGAAAGAGGTGGAGGGGGGGATGGTGAGTGGGGTGGGATTGGGTGGGAAAACTTCTATTCTCCTACTTAGTGTATGTGTGGGGTTTTGTTTCAGCCTCACTTGTGTGGGTTCTCTTACTATTCGCTTGTTGTATTTCCTTGGTGGTGAGAGAGGTTGGGGTTGGTTTAGGGGGTGGCTAGTTGTCTTTGATTGGCTGTAGTGATATTTGTTTTTGTGTGTGAGCAGGGTGTGTGGGTGTGTTTGAATCAGGTTAGCCAGATTGATTCATACAGTCGGCAGATTCTTGTCGTTGTCTTGTTGGGCTGTGTATGTGATAAAGGGGAACCATACCGGGGTGAAGCCGTCATCTTCTATTTGTCCCCGTGTCAGTTTCAGTTTATTGGTTAGTTTTTCTAATAAGGCCTGCTTTCTTTGTTGTAAAAGGCTTTAATCCGGATTTTTGCATGTGTGGAAAAGGGGCCTTCAAATAAATGGAAGGAAGGAAGGAAGGAAGGAAGGAAGGAAGGAAGGAAGGAAGGAAGGAAGGAAGCCTTGGCAAAACCACTGGGAAAGCTCTCAGGTATTCTTCTTTGGCAATCACTCGTAGCCGAGTAAGATTATCTTCCATAAACAGGGTTTTAACATGTATGCTTGTGAAACATGGACCACTTATAAAGGCCACCTCCAACTCCTCGAAAGATTCCATCAACGGTGTCTCCGAAAAATTTTACACATCACTTGGGAAGACAGGCAAACTAATACCAGTGTCCTGGAAGAAGCAAAGATCACCCATGTTGAAGCAATAATTCTTCAACATCAACTTCATTGAACTGGTCATGTTGTGCGGATGCCTGATAGAATCATAGAATCATAGAATCATAGAGTTGGAAGAGACCACAAGGGCCATCGAGTCCAACCCCCTGCCAAGCAGGAAACACCATCAGAGCACTCCTGACATATGGTTGTCAAGCCTCTGCTTAAAGACCTCCAAAGAAGGAGACTCCACCACACTCCTTGGCAGCAAATTCCACTGTCGAACAGCTCTTACTGTCAGGAAGTTCTTCCTAATGTTTAGGTGATGATCGTCTTCCAAAGCAACTACTCTATTCCAAACTTTAAAAAAGGAAAGCGTAATGCTGGTGGTCAACAAAAGGGGTTCAAAGACTCTCTCAAGGCAATTTTTTAAAAAAGTAGTACAAACACCAACAACTGGGAAACACTGGTCTGCGAGCGCTCCAACTGGAGAACAGCCTTTACCAAAGGTGTCATGGGCTTTGAAGACTCTCAAACTCAGGACGCAAGGGAGAAACGTGCTAAGAGGAAGGCACGCTTGGCAAATCCAGACCGTGATCAACTCCTGCCCAGAAACCAATGTCCCCACTGTGGTCTGACTCGGTAGAAGAGAACTTCCTGTCTTCCTAGGACTGCAGGCAGGCAGCTTGCAATGCACACCTACAATGAAACTTCTTCTCCTGGCTCAGCCTTCAAGGCAGCCTCCTCCTGCTGCCTGCCTGACCTCCCTGCCTACTCGCCATCTCCACAGGCTGGACGCAAAGCCGCAGCAAGACACAGGAGGGACAGTAGAGGACAGTCAAGTGGAAGAGGCATGAGCTCATACCTTGGATTCGGTTTGGGGCACAGGGGCCAAAACAGACCGGCTGCACAAATCAGAGGATGGAGCGCAGGGGCCGTTCTCCCCAGGCGACAGATGGCAGAACCTGTACCTGGACACAAAGAGAGCCAAAAATACACTTTGTACAAATGGGCACCCCACCAGTCTGGAAGACCACCGCCAGCCATCGCTTCTGGTCTGGCAAGCGCTCAGCAATCCCCCTGTTTTTCAGTCTCAGGTAATCAACCAAACCGGTAGGGTTAAGAAACTCTAACTGGCTCTCAAATGTGGCCAAAAGAGGCTGAGTTTGGGGTAGTGGCCGAAGGTGACCTGTTGGAAGGTGAGCGTCCAAGGACAGACACTCACAAACTGGAGTTTGCAACGGCTTCTTTTCTGGGACAAGACTCGATAATAAGCAAACTCTCCCTGGGCTCTCAAAGATACGGCGCTATAAATGGGTGCGACGAGGACTTGCAGATTGCCTTCGGCAAGGATGATAAATAATAACAGCACTGAGCCTTCGCAGGAAGACCCGGCGCAGGACCTGAATGGCACTTCCAGGTGCAAGTCAGCTTAACAGAAGCAGGTCTGAGATTTAAAAACAGTAACAAGAAGAAGGAATTAAGGTAAGAAAGAGAAGGTCATGGAAAGCAACGTCTGAAATCTCAGGTCAAAACCAAACAGAACTTTCGCAGGAAGGAAGAATATTTGAAGAAAGAAGACATTGAAAGGGAGGAGCAGGAGAAAGAATGAAGTATTTCCCCCCCCTTCATTAACTGTAGCACTCCACTGAATTTATAGCCTCTTCCATGCCTGAATACCTATCATCCCAAAGAAGTTATGCTCCAAAACTCTAACCATATTTCTCTCTGCAAGTTGGAATTCATCAGTTGTCTCAGGGTTCCAGTAAACGTAGCTGGGAGATAGAGGGGAAATGAAAGAGTACTGTTCAGAGAGGCGTCTGTCGCCACCCGTTAACATCAAAACATCTCTGCTCAGCATAATAATTGTGCACATAAGGGTTGCTTCAGAGTCAGGGATGCTCAGGCACACGTGGAGTTCTGGGCTGCAGAATTGCAGAAAAATGCAGAAACAACAACAACCACCACCCTCCCCAAAAGTAAACCTCCACTTCTCCCCAAACAAATCAGAATGTGTGCAAGAGGCAGCAATGTTCAAACGTACAGTGGTACCTCGGGTTACAGACGCTTCAGGTTACAGACGCTTCAGGTTACAGACTCGGCTAACCCAGAAATATTAGCTTGGGTTAAGAACTTTGCTTCAGGATGAGAACAGAAATCGTGCAGCGGCGGCACAGCAGCAGTGGGAGGCCCCATTAGCTAAAGTGGTGCTTCAGGTTAAGAACAGTTTCAGGTTAAGAACAAACCTCTGGAACAAATTAAGTTCTTAACCCGAGGTACCACTGTACTTGTTTAAGTAGTTTGCGATGAGATCAACCATTCCAAGATGAAAGTATCGGGACTGCTTGTATTATTATGCAATCTTTACATTCTCTGTTTTCAAACTGCAACGTAAGGAAAAATGTGACTATTTAAACCTCCCCATCCATATATCTGTATGTGTGTGCATACCTCAGTACATAAAATCACATATCCACATTAAGCAACAGACACCCAAATCAGATAAGACAAAAGTGGGGAGGGAGACCCCAGAAAACCTTAAGAAGAGCCTGCTATGTCAGACCCAAGGGGGCACCACATAATCCAGAATCCTGTTCTCACAGTAGCCATACAGATGCCGTTATGGGAAACCCACAAGAGCCCTCTCCCTCCTGGGGTTTCCAGATACTGGTGCTCAGGACCATGGCCACTTGGAGGCAGAGCCAAGCCATCCTGACTGGGAGCCACCGATGACCCTCTCCTCCATTAATTTGTCCTCTTTTAAACCCCTCTGAAGTTGGTGGCCACCAATGACTCCTGTGGTAAGGAGTTCCATAGTTTAACTCTGCGCTGTGAGAAGAAGTTTGCTTCCTAGCGTATGGAAATGAAAACTAAATCTAGGTAAAGGTAAAGGTACCCTGGACGGTTAAGTCCAGTCAAAGGCAACTATGGGGTTGCGGCGCTCCTCTCGCTTTCAGGCAGAGGGAGCCGGCGTTTGTCCACAGACAGCTTTCCAGGTCATGTGGCCAGCAGGACTAAACTGCTTCTGCTTCTTTTCTTTTCTTTTTCAGTGTTTAAGGAGTTTTTATGTTTCTTTGCTCAGCTATCAATTCCTACTGCTAACTACAGCAGTAGCGATATTTTGAGCATTTTCCACAGTAAATTACAAAATTAAAGAAAGGAATGCTTTAAACTTTCGTACTGTGCTGAAAATTCTTTTCCTGGGTTTATAAAACATCCATTTGTTGTTGTTTTTTAACTTTTGCTATTTTTTGTATTTTAAATCAATAGGTAATCTAGGTAATTTCGCTTCACCGAAGAAAAATATCTAAACATGGAGAAACTACTAAATATTGAGGAAAAACATTGCAAAATATAAAATAAATTTAAAAAGGAAAGGAAACTTTGAAGCTTATGTACACAACAAATGCCAGGACTAGGACTAAACTGCTTTTGGTGCAACGGGGCACCGTGATGGAAGTCAGAGCATACAGAAACACCTTTTACCTTCCTGCCACAGCGGTACCTACTTATCTACTTGCACTGGTGTGCTTTCAAACTGCTAGGTTGGCAGGAGCTGGGACAGAGCAACGGGAGCTCACCCCGTCACAGGGATTTGAACTGCCGACCTACTGATCAGCAAGCCCAAGAGGCTCAGTGGTTTAGACTGTTGAATGGTTCTGTGTACATTGCAGCAGCCTTTGGCTATGTGCAATAAAACTGACTGACCCTTTCTGTGGTTTAGACCACAGAGACACCCTAATACAACCCTGAACCCAACATAGAGGCAGAGATACTGCTCAAAATGCAGCCTGGAATTTGCAGTTCATGAATTTGTACACCTACCAGCCCAATAGTAACGAACTCATCCTCTCGGGAGTTATTTTTTATATGCATCGTGGATGAGTTCATTTCTCTCCCTCTGCCCTCTTTCAAAGAAGCAGGTATATTGCTTAGTAACGACAGTGTTTCTGAATGGGCTGCTTTTGTCAGGCTGGATTTATGCTCAATGAGAGCCTGGAGCTGCCTCTTCTCTCGTACACAATCGCTTGCTCCAGTTGCCTCTCCGCTGCCTGACCCACTCTAAATTTAGAATGAATGTTTCTGAAGGATGGGACTCGCCTTTCGCCTAAACTGTGCCAGAGCCTTGTCTTCCTGCCTCCTCCACTTGGATGGCCCTCAGCCAGCGAATATCTCCCAGTGCTTTGTTTTTTCCTGCATAAAACCTGCCGCTTCATTCATTCTTTAGTAACAATGAATGGATGCCAAGAGTGAATAGGCGAATGGATGCCGACTGCAAAGAAATATTAGGCAAGCACAGCAGTTCTTCTGAAGCTTTTAGCTGTGTATACAGTCATACCTTGGGTTACAGACGCTTCAGGTTCCGCGTTTTCGGGTTACGGACACACTAAAACACGAAAGTACCGGAACGGGTTACTTCCAGGTTTCAGTGCTTGGGCATGCGCTGAAACGCTAAATTGCGCTATGCGCATGCGCAAAAGTGCAGAATCGTGGCGCTGCGGGTTGCAAAGGTGCCTCCTGCACAGATAATAATATAATAATAATAATTTATTATTTATACCCCGCCCATCTGGCTGAGTTTCCCCAGCCACTCTGGGCGGCTTCCAATCAAGTGTTAAAAACAAAACAGCATTAAATATTAAAAACTTCCCTCAACAGGACTGCCTTCAGATGTCTTTTAAAGAGAAGATAGCTGCTTATTTCCTTCACATCTGAAGGGAGGGCATTTCACAGGGCGGGCACCACTACCAAGAAGGCCCTCTGTCTGGTACCCTGTAACCTCACTTCTCGCAATGAGAGAACTCCCAGAAGGCCCTCAGAGCTGGACCTCAGTGTCTGGGCAGAACGATGGGGGTGGAGACGCTCCTTCAGCTATACAGGACCGAGGCCGTTTAGGGCATTAAAGGTCAGCACCAACACTTTGAATTGTGCTCAGAAACGTACTGGGAGCCAAGGAATCTCTTTCAGGACTGTGTTATGTGGTCTCAGTGGCCGCTCCCAGTCGCCAGTCTAGCTGCCGCATTCTGGATTAGTTGTGGTTTCTGGGTCACCTTCAAAGGTAGCCCCACGTAGAGCACATTGCAGTAGTCCAAGTGGGAGGTAACCAGAGCATGCATGTTCGCAACCCGAGCGTCCACTGTACTAACATAAGAACGTAAGGTGAACCCTGACGGATCGGGTCAGTGGCCTATTTGGTCCAGCATCCTGTTCTTACAGTGGCCAGCCGGGTGCCCATTACGGGAAACTCACAGATCCTGAGCAGACAGTAAATATATACCGTACTTTTCCGTGTATAACACGCCCCTCTTTGGGGGGACTCAAATTTAGGAAAATGGGGGGAGATGGCACAGAGTTGTTGAGCATCACTAAATCCGCCTCTCGGCTGTCCCCTCGTCGGAAGAAGCTGCCAATCGCATGCCCAATTGCCGCAGTGTCAGCTAATCAACACCACCCATTGACGTAGCAACCAGTAACATGCACAATGGCCGCTAACAGCCATGGGAGCAACCAATCAAACGCCTGCCCTATGCACTACCAATGTATAAGATGACCCCCATTTTTAGCATGACTTTTTTAACGGAAAAAACCTAGTCTTATACACTGAAAAATCTCATATGCAAAGTGAGGAGCTGCAAGGCAGAGCCACGCCCCATTGGCAGAGCTAATGCAAGACCCAGCCAAGTCCACGCAAATCAAATCTGCTGGTAACACATTAGGAGCGCAAGTTGGAATCCACTAAGAAGCCGCAAGGAGCACTTCTGGCTGCTTTCACCCCAAACCAACCTCCATCACTTTGGAATCTGGGGAGCTGTGCACAGAGCACTGCAAGCACACAAGCAGCACGGCAGAAATGTCAAAAATGCAGAGCACTATTATTAAGTCATGCAAAGGTACGCAGCCACAGCAAGACCTGCTCATTCTCTCATTACAAGGGGAACATGACTCTCCTGTTGCAAAAGCTTCACCGGCTACCTGTTTCCAGGCTCAGTTTGAAGCGCTGGCTATGGATTTCATTCATTTGTTTCAAAGAAACAATACATCTCAAAGCAGTTTACCAAAGGACAGAACAATGAAACCAAGAAAAATATATATATCATACTTTAAAACATACACATGTTAAAAAGGTAAACAAACTAAAATTACCTCCACTTTCTAAGCCTTTGGGTAGGCTTGTCTAAGCAAGAATGTTTTTAGCAGGTGCCAAAAGGAGAACAGCGAAGGCGCCTGCTTGATATCAATAGGCAGGGAGTTCCAGAGAATAGGCAGGGGCTGCCAGACTAAAAGAACAAGTTCCTTACAGATGTGGAATGGGAATTACGTGGCAGTTGTGGCAGTGCTAATTCCACCCACCCAAGCAATGCGGTGGACGCATGTGGGGTATTGACCCCAACAGCAACACCTTGAACTCGGCCCGGTAGCAATTTGGAAACCAGCGCAGGACTCTGAGCGCAGGTGTCATTTGCTGACAAGGCCTCCCTCCTGTCAGCAATCGCGCTGCAGCATTCTGCACTAACTGCAAGCACTGGATCAAGCACAAGGGAAGCTCCAGACAGAGCACATTGCAGTAGTCCAGTATTTTATCCATGTTGCTTTAATGCGTGGAAGCTGCCTTGAGTTCTAGTTGGAGGTAAAGGCAGTATATACATTTATAATAATAATTTTTATTATTATTTATACCCCACCCATCTGGCTGGGCTTCCCCAGCCACTCTGGGCGGCTTCCAACAAAATATTAAAATACAGTAATGTATCAAACATTAAAAGCTTCCCTAAACAGGGTCGCCTTCAGATGTCTCCTAAAAGTCTGGTAGTTGTTTTTCTCTTTGACATCTGGTGGGAGGGTGTTCCACAGGATGGGTGCCACCACCGAGAAGGCCCTCTGCCTGGTTCCCTGTAACTTGGCTTCTCACAGTGAGGGAACTGCCAGAAGGCCCTCGGAGCTGGACCTCAGTGTCCGGGCAGAACGATGGGGGTGGAGACACTCCTTCAGGTCTACTGGGCAGAGGCCGTTTGGGGCTTTCAAGGTCAGCACCAACACTTTGAATTGTGCTCGGAAACGTACTGCGAGCCAATGTAGGTCTTTCAAGACTGTTATTATGTGGTCTTAGCGGCCGCTCCCAGTCACCAGTCTAGCTGCCGCATTCTGGATTAGTTGTAGTTTCTGGGTCACCTTCAAAGGGAGCCCCACATAGAGCACATTGCAGTAGTCCAAGCAAGAGATAACTAGAGCATGCACCACTCTGGCCAGACAGTCCGCGGGCAGGTAGGGTCTCAGCCTGCGGACCAGATGGAGCTGGTAAACAGCTGCCCTGGACACAGATTTGACCTGCGCCTCCATGGACAGCTGTGAGTCCAGAATGACTCCCAGGCTGCACACCTGGTCCTTCGGGGGCACAGTTACCCCATTCAGGACCAGGGAGTCCCCCACACAATACTTGAGTCACATTCAGCAATGCCTAAACTCACCCTGAAAAGCCATGGATACCCAATGCAGTGAAAATGGTCTCCCTTCCTTGTGCCACACACACACATACACACACCCAATTGTCTGAGTTACTTGGCTTCTGAAGCTCACAAGGCTAGTTTTTAAAAGAAGTGAGCTTCCGGGTTTTTGGAAGGGAAATGACTTTGTTTCTGATTAGGGGTCTGATTAGGTTGGGAGATAGCAATCTATCTCCTTATCACATCCACTCCTCTTCGAAACATCAAGTTCCACGTGATCCTAACCAGGCATCATTTAACGTGTCTGAAATTGCTAGGTACGAAACATTAAAAGTTGGAACAGGCCTTGCCTGCAAGATGTACAAATGAAGGTCAGTCAGGAAAAGCTAGGAGAGGAAAGGTATGTAGGAAGGGGGGTGGGGGAGAGAGAGTCTGATTCTAGGGGACAAGACGTTATTTATTATTATGCATTAAATTTCTATCCTACCGTTCTTCCCAAACGAACCCAGGACAACAAACATCAAACGATACCAAGTTTAAAACAACCCAGTGGTAAGGAGCCTGTGTTTGCTCAGAAGGAAAGTGCAAATTAATCCCAATGAAGTCAGAAGCGACTCTACTCGCGATCAGTTCTTATGTTCACTGTTGATCTCAAGCTGCTACCCTACCGGTACTTGGAAAGCTCTCCACAGGCAGCTGGAAAAACGTGTGTGTTTGTTTGTTTTCAAAACTTAGGAATCACCTTTGCAATGAACAAGGTACTCAAGGCAATCTGCACGAGGATCGGCGAGACAGTAAAAACATTGCCGGAAAAGACAAAAAACCGCAGAACCTAAAAGATCTACGCCAAGGCAAAACACATGGTGCAAAGGCAGGCAACAGTGGCTGGTTCTTTAGAGGCTAAGAAAAGCCAGGAAGGCTAAAGGGTGCGGGGAGGAGGGTTTTTATTTGCCCCCCCCCTTTTAGTCCCAAGCCAGGCAGCTAAATTCAAGGGATGATGAGGGTTGTGGTCCAGTAACACCTGGAGAACCACGTGTGCCTCATCCTTGCAGAGTTTGCCATTTTGGTTCTCAGAAGCTGTCGGGAGTCCAGCGGCTGGTGGCACAGAGACACAGCTAAGAAAGGGGAGCTGGAATTAAGGTCCTCCGGGCCAAATCTCTCTTGGGCACCATCCTTAAGCAAGCCACTGCCCTCTTGCCCCCAGAGCACCTGCCCCCCCACCTGTAACAGGACAATAATCACACTGGCCTACCTTGCAGTTGAAGATCTTCGTGGTCACAAACACAAAACCCTCCAAGGGCTTGAAAGCATGATATAGATGCTCCTCCACAGAGAGGGGGTCATCTGCAGCCTCGTTGCTGTTTTTGAACAGGCCTCCTCCTGCTTCCACCCTGTAGCAAAGGCAAGCAACGGGAGTTAGTCTTCCCCACGTGGTATGATTCGGACGGCATGAACATGCGCCTGCCTTCAAAAGTGGAAACTCTGGAACTCGCTGCCGCAGAAAGCAGTGATGGAAACTGCGCTGGAGGAAGGGAAACATATCCACAGAGAAGGAGGAGGAAGCTATCGATGTCTGCCAGCCCACGATGGTTCTGCTCTGCCACCATGGTAAGAGGCAGCAATCTTGCTGAGCCCCAGTCGCTGGAAAAACCAGAAGGGGAAAGTGGCTGCGGTGCTCGGATCCTGCTTGTCATGGGCATCTGGCTGAGAACAGGATGCTGGGCTAGAGGGGCCTGTGGCCTCATCCTGCAAGCACTTAGGTTCTGGCAAACATTGCACTGCCCCCAGGAAGCTGCTTGTCAGAATCACAGGCGAGATGACCCCCAGGTGCAGGAAATAAGAGCTGTGGTTAATTCTCCCCTGGCCTCCTTGCTGGCCCAAGGAGGACCAATTCAGCCAGCTAGCCCTGGGGATTATCTAATTGATTTTGATTTTTGAATTTGTTATTCTGCTGCTTTTATGCTGCTTTTATAATTAAGTGTTTTAAAGTGTTTTAAATTTGTTGTTAGCCGCCCTGAACCCGGTTTTTGAACAGGAAAGGGCGAGGTATAAATATACATTTATTATTATTATTATTATTATTATTATTATCCCGCTAGGGTCCTGCTTGGGAGTGGGGGGGCATCTGGCTGTCCACTGTCAGACCAGGATGCTGGAGGAGCCAGGCCTTAATAAATTATAATAATATAATATAATGTATTTATACCCTGCCCATGTGGTATCAACTCCGGGTGGCCTCCAACAAAATATTAAAAATACAACAAAACATCAGACATGGAAAAACTTCCCTAAACAGGGCTGCCTTCAGATGTCTTCTAAAAGTCAGATAGCTGTTGATTTCCTTGACATCTGATGGGAGGGCTTGGCGCCACTACCGAGAAAGCCCTCTTTGATGGGACCCTGCAGCCTGACGTTCCTTCGGTTAACATTAATTCCCCTTCCTATCCTAGGCGATTTGGGAGAAGGGGGAGGGAGAGAAGGGAAGACTGGCAGCTGTCCAGGCAGCAGGGACCGTCCGAGCGCAGCTGCCGCCTCCATCCTCCGGGTCTCTGTTCCAGCGCGCGGCGCTCCAGCTCGGAGCCGCCGACCAGGAAGCACCGGAGGCGGGGAAGGCTCTCGGCAAGTTGGCGCAGGAGCCGGGCGCATCCTTCTGACTCTCCAAACAGACAGAAACCCCAAAGCGCGATCGGATCCGGATCCCGATCTCGTAGGAGGGAGAGGAGGGGAAGGGGGTTAAAGTCTCCCCCGCGTTACCCTCTCCGGATCGGAGCCCCTGCGCTCGCAATCCGGTTTTCTTGGAAAAAATAAACGTGTTCCAAAGGGCGCAAGGACGGAACTGGAGCCTGGCGCGATTTGGCGAGACGACAGCCCGGAGAGGTAGGACGGGACCCGAAGCAGCGCGTCTCTCTCCCCGAACCGAACCACGGAACCAGCACCCAGCCGTGCCTGGAAGCCTCCGGGCGCTGCGCAACGCGGAGCCCTTCCCGAGGATCGCTCGCCGTTGACACCGGCGTAGGAGCCAGAAACCGACCTTTGCTACGCCTGGTTCAGTGATGCCTGCACGGGCCGGCAGCGGCTTTCCGGGATTCCAGGCAAGGCGCCTCTCTCCCCGCCCTTCCGGAGACGCAACCGAGATTTGAACCCGGGATCTTGGAGGGCAGGCGCTTTGCCCCGGAGCTGCGACCCGGGGGGGCTCTGCCTCCCTCCCGTGTGAACCTGGGGGGCTACTCCGGATTAACTCCTCCGGGTCCGGATCCCCTTCGCCTGCCCGGACTCCGCGCCGTCGAGCGGCAGCGGGCAAGACCCGGAGCGCCCCGGCTTTGCCCCGCGCAGCGCAGCGCAGGCACCCCCGGCCCGGAGCCCGGCAAGGGTTCCTCGGCCGAACCGGCGTCCGCCCCCCTCGCGCCCTTCCCGGCCTCGCTCACCTCGCCCTCCGGGGGCGCCCTCGCGGCTGCCGCGCTGCTGACGGAGAAAGGCTCCCTCGGCCGGTCCGCCTCGCTCGCCTCCTTCGGCCCCCCATTCGCCTCTCCGGCGCGCTGATTGGCAGTGACGTGGCGGTATGCAAAGCAGCGGGCGGCCGGAGGGGCGGAGCGGGGGCGGAGCGGCGGCGCCGGGCCGGGGTGGCGCTCCAGGCGCCCGGGGAGGCGGAGGCCGGGGCGGCGCCTTCCTCCAGATGCGGGAGGGGAAGGGGAGGTGCGCGGCACGGCCCGCCTTGGCCCCGGAGGGCGCGAACCGCCTCCCAGATGCTCTGATTGCGCGACCTGCTAAGTGCATTCCTTTTTTAAAAAAATGCAAACTTTATTGCATTAAAAAACAAAAACAAAAAACCAGTTACTAAGTACAAAGTGAGCTGGTCTTTGACCGTAATAAGATCTACTAAGTACAAAGTGTTGCCCGCTGCAATATTTGCCTTTTGCTGCTGTCAGCCTCCTCTGGAGTAAGTATATGGGATCTGCTGCACGTCATCTGTCACTGAGCTGCGTTTAAACCCGGCTCCTTGGCGCGCAGGACCAGAAACTTATTGTTGGTTAACTCTTGATTTGCTTTTTATTTATGTACATAAGATTAGCTTGGGTCAGAGTTTGGCCCACCCCAAGGCCGCCCTCCCCCCCAGCCCCAGGCCAGAAGTCCTAAGAGGCAGCTGTCCATCAACGCCCAACCAAGGAGCCTGGAAGTGGAGTTTCTAGACTGACCACAGCAGCAGAAAGAAATGTGTAAAGTTAGGTATAGCACAGGGAAAGTGCTTAGAGAGAAGTTTTTCTCCCTGTCTCCTAACACTAGAACCTGAGGACATTCGAGGACAGTGAAAAGTGGAAGATTCAGGACAAGCAAAATAAAGTCAAGGTTTAAAGACTGTCTCAAGGCAAATCTTTAAAATGTAGTATAAAAAGGTAAAGGGACCCCTGACCATTAGGTCCAGTCGTGACCGACTCTGGGGTTGTGGCACTCATCTCGCTTTACTGGCCGAGGAAGCCTGCGTACAGCTTCCTGGTTCTGTGGCCAGCATTATTAAGCTGCTTCTGGTGAAACCAGAGCAGCGCACGGAAACGCCGTTGACCTTCCCGCTGGAGCGGTACCTATTTATCTACTTTGTCGTGCTTTCGAACTGCTAGGTTGGCAGGAGCAGGGACCAAGCAACGGGAGCTCACCCCGTCGCGGGGATTCGAACCGCCCACCTTCTGATCTGCAAGTCCTAGGCTCTGTGGTTTAACCGACAGCACCAATCGCGTCCCAAAATGTAGTATAAACACCAACAATTGGGAAACACTGGCCTGCGAGCGCTCCAATTGGAGAACAGCCTTTACCAAAGGAGTCATGGGCTTTGAAGACACTCGAACTCAGGACGCAAGGGAGACACGTGCTAAGAGGAAGGCACGCTTGGCAAATCCACACTGTGATCAACTCCTGTCCGGAAACCAATGTCCCCACTGTGGAAGGATGTGTGGATCCATAATTGGCCTCCACAGTCATTTATGGACTCACTTTTAAAACCGTGTTTATAGAAGACAATCTTACTTGGCTACAAGGGATCACCAAAGAAAGAGGAAGAAGTTAAACTATGGAACTCCTTCCTGCAGGAGGTAGTCATGGGCACTGCCAGGAATACGGGGGCAGGCTTTTGTTGGGGGGAGCAGAACCTTCGATTTGTATTGATTTGTATTGTTTTGTGGGGCAGCTGTCCTCCCCCCTTGTCCCCCTGGCTACACCCATGGAGGCAGTGGTGGCCACCATCCTAGATGGCTTCAAAAGAGGATTGGACAAATTCATGGAGAAGGAGAGGGCTATTGGCGGCTATTGGCCAGGATGGCTCTACTCTGCCTCTGAATTTGGAGGCAGCAATGTTTATGAATACTAGTTGCTGGAAACCACTGTAATAAACGAAAATCTGCCCTTATTCCCTTATGGGGGACACAAGAGCCCTTATAGAGTCCTTTGCAGGTTTTCCATTAGTCGGAGAAAATAACAGAGGCCAACCAGAGAATACTGAGAAGCAAAGCAGCTAGTAAGCCTGATCTTTATTGAACTGTTGCCCAGAACCCAGAACGAAGGTGTGTCCGTCCTTATATAGACATTTTAAATTGCCCACCCTGGAGTCCAAGAGCACCTCCAGAAACATCATACATACACCACAGAAGAAGTGTAGCCCAACCCCCCCGATACATCATACCTACATCACAGAAAGGGCGGTCTACAGCAGAAATCTGAGTGCGTTGTTTACCTCCTGTCTGGCAGGTTACCTGTTAATGCTCACTTGATTGGATACCCTGGGGAGCCTGGCCAGTCTTTTGTAGTGACGAATACTTAGTTCCTGAAAGCCAGGTCACAGGCTCACCCTATTCATACACAGACATACCCTTAAGACAGGATTTGTGAAGGAAAAGACAATGGGGAGGCTTTTCCATTTGACTTTGGCCTTGCAGAGAAAACATTTGGTCAGTTTGGGAGCCAAAATGGTGCCAGGGCTGCTTTCCTGTGCTGCTTCAGACATGTGGTTTATATATTTATGTACGTGTTTGCTTGGTACATTTATGAACATTTATTATATATATAGGGACGCGGGTGGCGCTGTGGGTAAAACCTCAGTGCCTAGGACTTGCTGATCGTATGGTCAGTGGTTCGAATCCCCGTGACGGGGTAAGCTCCCATCGTTCGGTCCCAGCGCCTGCCAACCTAGCAGTTCGAAAGCACCCTTAAGTGCAAGTAGATAAATAGGTACCGCTCCGGCGGGAAGGTAAACGGCGTTTCCGTGTGCTGCGCTGGTGCTGGCTCACTCACCAGCTGCAGCTTCGTCACGCTGGCCACGTGACCCGGAAGTGTCTTCGGACGGCGCCGGCTCACGGCCTCTAGAGCGAGATGAGCACGCAACCCTAGAGTCGGACACGACTGGCCCGT